GGAGATACTAGCTTTTTGATAAGTTTGTATAGGAAATCTTTCTGTCTCCAACCTTTTCCGTTTGCCAATAAATGATTTTGCAAACGAAGGCTATTCTCTACAGTTTGGTCGACATGAGGTGACAATTCTTGTACATTTACTATTCCTACAGAGGTTTTTTCATGCCTTAAGTAGTTAATTGGTAGAGTTTGCTATATCTATACTGAGTTATGGGAATTCGAATCCTGAGGAAAAATTACACGCCTTTATAAAGAAAATGCTTAGAAGCACGAAACCGAAACGAAGCAAGGTTTTCTCTCAGTTGCATGCTAAGCTAATTATTCGATATCCTGGTAGTTGCCTATCTCTGGCATAAAACTGGTCAAAAGTCAGGTCAAGTAACTCATCAAGTACATGACTGATTGGCAATTGTCAGTACTACAAATCAACAGTAATTTTACTTAGCTTGATCATTTAACAGTAATCGGTTTAGCTGTCAAGTTCTGAGTACTACTGATCCAAGTCTATGAACCCTATTCTCATTTCGCCTAATTACGAATATTTCGTAGTCTTAATAAGTCCAGGTTATTCAAAATTGATTACTTAGAGTTTTATATAACAGAACTTAAGTGGAAAAACTGTCAGGAAATATAGAAGACAGTCACACCATCCTGTTATGGAACGGTTCAGGTCTTAGTTACTCAAAGATGGCACAATAATCGATAGGAATTTTATCATGGAAAGGTGATATAAGACCTAACACTTAGCTCTTAAGCAACTCATGGTCATGATCATCATCACTATTAACATAGGACCAGGCATTACTGCGTACCGGTTCGAGTTGTCACAGCTCATATCAGTATATCAAGTAAAAAGGCAGTGAAGTGAAAGATGAAGATAAGAAAATTAAGTACGGAAAGAGAGGAAGTACGAATGAGAAAATGGTGAGATTCGGTATAGGGTTAGGATGAGGATAATGTGTATATAAAACAACTCATGAGCCTATGAGTTATCGTTTTTATTAGGATCCATTGAAGATATTCGATTTTACAGGCAATAGTCAATTTTCATTTAACGTGCTTATGAACTTACTATGATTAGTAAAGACAGTTAATAATAAATAATCTTGGAGATTCATCTTCCAGTTTTAATTAGTACTTATACTGTCCCATCAATACCCACCTTCTAGAATTGTTAGAAACCAGTAAGTGGTCATCGTTGTGAGATATCAAAACTATTTCACAAAGCAAAGTTAATTTAGTGTAATTTTTATAAGTTTTCAAAACCGTGAGGAATCATTTGATTCAGAAGAACTTTAACACACTAAAAACGGGTACGTTCTTAAATATCATAGTACACTGCTCATCTTCGAATTATATGCAAGCACTCACTTAAATTTCAATTTGAACTACTCGATAATATAACTTTGGTATAAGAGAAATTTATGGGCGATCATGATAGTTTTCTAGAGGTTTTACATTGACTCAGAGGTCTATTAATACACTCATCGTTGAGACAATGCAGTAGTAAGAAGAAGCGCCCAGTTACAAAATGAGCAATTCACTTAGTAGTTAAAAATGGCAGTGTAAATTGATATTAAATTAATGAGAACGGAATAAATGAAGTAAATGACTGTAACAAATTTTTCATTTTAAGTAGTTGCTCTGCTGTAACTTCTGTATCTCCTTCAGGGAGTACTATTAATTGCAGTATTATTAGGTTAGAAAACTATCCAAAGGTGGTCTTATCGAGATATAGTAGGAACATGTTAAGATGTATAAAAGTGTACGATGCCTTGAAGGAGTTATGGAGGTAGTAGAAATCAAATTTGGTGATCAGAATGTTCATAGAAAAAGACAAGACGCAGAATGCCATAGAGATATGTTTTTACTCTGTTATCTTCAAAGTTTTGAAAATCTTATTTATTTTGTCTTCAACTGTATCCTCTTTTTACTCAATTCAATATTCCTGGATGTTGCTTTGCCATATGCGATTTTTGTTGTTGAAATAATCGTTTTTAAAATCTGTTTTCAGTTTTCAATCTGACTGACTGACAAAATCGACACAGAACCTCACACGTAGGTCCACCGTCGCAAGGTTCCACGCTTCACAGGCGGATGGAAAAATACTGACATCAAAATAGACAAAGTAGTACGAGGGAAAATTTTTGAAGATAACGGTTAGTGTGAATATTCAGTCTTAAGAGGATATTAAGGAGTGAATACATCTACGCCATTGTGACCGATTTTCAGATATTACATCAAAAGTCTTCAGTCACTGATTCCTTCCGTCTCGGGGACCCAAGCTAGGCAGTCTATATCTCCCCCACACAACTCAGACCATTTAGCACTTCGAATATGCTTTATTGTCTACATGAGTCTAATGGTTCATAACTTTTAAACCGGTTATTTTGTGATTCTGCTATTGATGTGGCCGAAAATCTATCTCAGCAGAAAAAATAATTTTGAAGATATTTATATGACAAATTTCATTTATTACTTTTTTAAAGGAAATAAATTATGCAGTAACTATTTTCTTGTAGATAATTTATTCAGAGATGCATTTGGATAGAATATGCTTTTTGCGAGCTATGTAAGCAAATCCTTAGAAGCAGATGAACTGGTAAACACACATGAAGGTGATTCAGAGTGGTAGTGGTATCCTTCGAATTAGTTGTTGACTGTAGAAAGCAATCTGAAGTTGGTTGGGAAAGGTCTTTCTTAGTGTTCTACCCAATCGATTCTTAAGTATGTTAAGGATGGATCGTGACTAGCAGTGGAATCCAGGATGAGTATTTCCTACTATTTGGGACTCGTCAGCTGGGTATATCTGCTTCCCAGTGAGTGTTGTTGTTCCCACCGGGATTCGAACCCGGGAGCGATCGCTTCAAACGCGAGAGTGTTATCCACTACACCACCGAGCCACGATAGCCACCTCTTGTGCGACGGGTATAGTTTTTAGTATAAGGGTTTTTATATGACGAGTCCCGAATAGGATGAAATGCGCATCCTGGATTCCACTGCTAACCACAATCCATCCTTAACATAATTAGAATGCAGGCAATATCGAGGCATCCGCACAGGGGCCCATATGATAATAGAGACAGATCAGTTCGGTCCAAGCAACGACGGTATCATATAAAACCCTTATACTAGATTTTTAAGTATCTTTGTCGTGGTATCTCCTTGAAATCAAGTGTTCTTAAGTATTGTCTTTTTTGGAACAATAGGAGTTCGTTCACTGTAATCGTTAGGCTTCATGCCCTCCCCCCCTCCCTCAGTGAATAATGACGGATTAATATTCTTTATGAAAGCCCTTCGAAGTACTTTCAGCTCCTCGTATACTCCACTATCACTACAAATTCTTATGTTTTAGCATAGTGAATAAAATAGGTTTATTTTCTTTTTTAGTGGGATCCAACTTTGAAACTTAGTATATAGTTCATTCCAGGTTGCTTTCCTGTAAATCGATCTTCTTAGGGAGCCATCATATCTCCTCCTGAGTTGTTTTCAGTTCCCATAATAAATTTAACTGACTTGTGACATTCATTAAACTGTCCTATGTCTTCAAGGTAACTATTCTTCTCAAAGATGATAAAACTGTCACTCATGTATCTCTTATACAGATAGAAGTGGTTGATCAAATGACGTAGTTCACTGTTCTCCAAACTAGCCGTGAAGCAATGGGCTGAGAGACAGCTGAATGGTGAAACCATTACTACTCCGTTCTCTCATTATTAGATTCAAATCGTACACAAGAGATGCAATGTAAGAATAATTCCCTTAGAAAGTGTTTAGGAATCCCGATTTCAAGTTTTTTGATCTCATTCAATATAATCACATAGAAAGCAGATTTTTTCTATCAAAGAGACATTCTTGAAGAGCGATGTGACGTCCAGTGATAACATAAGCGTAACACACACGTTGATGTCTCTCATACAGTTTACGAAGTCGAAAGAGTCAGGCTTACTGTAATTATTGGTTCGATCCCTTATCAAATGAAACCTTTCCGTTGACCATTTAGCAATCTTATGATTTTCCATGTCGAGTACTGAACAATAAAGAACATCTTTTTGATGAACTTTCAAGAGTGTGTAGAGTCGATGAATTACCAAACCAGAAGTTCATTTACCTAGAGTGTATTTCTTTTGCGTTTATGTAATGAAGTTATTATTTATAAATCGTTGATTTAAGTTGTTCGAAACTCTTGCTGCAATTAGATCATTTGTTTGCCTTATTATGGTTTCAAACTGAACTTTTTTAACAGGTTTCTTTAAAGTTGTTGAAATACCATAGAACTTAAGACCCAACGAGTGTTTGCAATTGAAATATCGATAAAGATACGTTAGAAAAGTCAAATAAATTCAGTGCATTCAAAATGCTAGTCATAAACAGAAAGTAATAAGCACTCTAATTTCATCTAGAGACCACCACTAGGAAAGTTACATCGAAATCAAACTTAATAGGTGATCTAATTATGTGTTCAAGATGCCTATATGCAGAACGAAATAGGTTGATTAGATCAACTGAAGTCAGAAATGAGACTGCCGATTGCTTCCAACCAACAGACAGACAAAATCTGGCACATAAGAGGATCCATTCAAGTTAGCACACTTCACAGCAGCAACCTAAAAAAAAGGTGTTCATTAAAGACTGATATCGAAGTATACAAAGGTGTACAGGAGGAGAAGAAACTTAAAAATGAAGATTAGTATGAGCATTCAAGCTTTAGATGTTGAAGAGTGAGTACATTTGCGTCACTGTGATCAATTTATGGCCACATCACTAAAAAATTCTCAACCACTGATTTCTATTGTCTTGGAAATCCAAAGCAAATGACATCAATCAAAGTGTATCGTGATAGTGAGTTTTTTTAGCTTATTGACCACACTGCAAAATGGTCAACAGAATTCAACCAAGACTAGTAGCTTATCAATCTATGTAAGAAATGTGTGTGTGTGTGTGTGTTAACTATTCTTCCACATTTTTATTTATTTATTTGATATTCCCTTTTCTGTGCAGTGGTCCCAATGAGTATGAACTTTATCTACGACCAGATTTATTCACAAAAAGGTATACACAATGGTTCTACTTTCGTGTACAGAATACAGAAAATTCTGGTACTTACAGATTTACCATTGTTAATTTCTACAAGGTAACACAATACGTTTCCATAGTTATATGGTACTGAGTTAATTGTTTATCATCGTTTTAGGAGTAGTTAGTGATTGAAGTGAGAAGTTTAAAAAGTTACTGGTCATTAACGGGGTGAGAATCAATCATAAGTAAAGCATAACAATTGAGATTACCAAGTTTCAGTATAAAGTTGCTCCATAGGCTAAAGCAGTTTTTATGATGAAAAATGATTACTGTCAGCATACAAACTAGATTGAAATGATCTTAATTTCTTAATGTTTAATAAAAAGGAGATTTCCAAGACGCAAAATGTGAAAAAATCAACTTCCAAAGCCCGTGATCATGATTATCATAAAAAGGGGTTGATAAAGTTTATTTTAGGCATTTTTGTTGTTATTTAATCACTGTTTTATTATTTTTAAATTTTTGTCTGTCCTCGATATATCACGAATGTCATCTAGTGTCGTTGGAGGAAATCTGTTCCAGCCTCCAATTTGATTGACACTACAAATCAAAATTTATCAATGATCTCTGAATTTCTATTTTATGGAATGGTTTATGGGGAATCGATTAACCTGAAATTAATGTTGATTAGCTAGTTGTTAGTCTGTAGTATAGTACTACTACTACCACTACTACTACTACTACTAATAATAATTAAGTTGTTTACCTATTATGTTTACACTTTGACATCTATAAGGGTACGTGACTGAAAACGTTTTCTTACCTAAATGTTGATTAGGCGATAAGTTTCAATGTAAACCGCCTAACACGAAGCTAAACATCCATATTTTTAGTATGAAACATTTAACTTTTAGCAAGAGGAACTTATACGGCGATTATCATAAGTATGGTAAAAATTATATTATAATGGTGATATATAGTAGTCATATAGTGGATAATTTACCATCATTTGTAAGTTTAGTCATACATTCATTGGATTAACTCTTCTGATAACCATTTTCATGATTTTTGATTCACGTTTCTAACCACTAGACATTTATTCTTTCGGAATTAATCTCATCATATAAGTTAATGAATTATTATGACCACAATATAAGATATTCATATATCTTTTAGAAAACTGTAATACTTCTATCCAGGATGTAAGGGGGAAAAACATGTTCAGTTTGATGGTGGCTACTTGTGTATGGTTAACGTTAATATTTTTAAGTATGAACTGAGAAAAAGAAGCTTTGTACTACCTTGAAGTAAATATAGTGTGTTTACTTTGTTTATTTGGACATAAAATAGACAGTTTAATGGAGAAATGATATTTTTTTCGATAACTCCCTCATCAAGTTGTATATCTATAATGTTTAAGGGATGAGAATTAAATATATCAACAATAGTGTGAGAGATTTCATAACTATAGATATTCTGATTAAGTTGAACAGAGAATTTTCTTCAGTAAATAGGAAAGTAAATGACATTGTGGTTCATTGGTTTACAAAGTTGACTTTCAACCAGTGAGTGACGAGTTCGAACTTTGTACCTCCCAATAAGGTTTAGGCAGCCTGGTATTATGTGTGACTCACTACCCATTGCACGAATATACATAAGGTTGCTGAGCACATTTTAATTCTCATCACGGATATGCTTCATTGTTTTAGGAACTTGACTTTCAAGCAATGAGTCCTGGAGTTGAAGCCCGCGCTAACTATTTTGGCAGTTTGGTGCTATCCTAAGCCAACACCCACAATTGTTGCTCATAACCTGGTACATAAAAATGCACCAAGTTGATGTATATTTTTACTATTTATTCAGTCGATGATAGCGTATTTTGTAAAACAAAAGAAGACTATAAAATTTTGCATGAAATTTTAGTGTAAATTACCGCTAGTGACAAGTTAATACTAATAAATGTTTATGGTTAAAGCTTAAGAATGAATTAAATCTAGTAAGATTATCATCTTTTAGCTGAAAACGACATATCTACATGACAAATGAGATTTCGTGGTGAAAGTAAACTACAGGACGTTTTCTGTAAATGTTTATGCACTTGAAAGTAAAATTGGTTGAACTCAGATAGATAATTTAAAGAAAAGACATTTAATTATAATGGTTCTAATATGTTGGCATGAAAATAAGTTAAGCGAACAGAACAAACTTGGTTAAGCTCATCGATCTGAGGGAATTCGGACAATGGGGAAGTTATAAGTTATTTTTGAATAAATGTTAGCACTCAGGAAACAAGCTGGGACCAGACTTTCGTGCGAAACATCTGAATTTCTCATTTCAAATTAGCCATGATTTTTACAAATATAACTTACTAACTTATTTTTCACCCGAGGCTCAATATTTGTGAAATTATCCAGGGAAATCTTGACTAGAATTCATGTAAACTGGAAAATTAATCCAAAAGTAGGTAAACTTAGTTGTAGTGGCGGTGTATATGTTCTCTACAAACGCAAACTAGTTCCGCTGACCATTCTGTTCTTCGCTAGGAAAGTGCCTGCTAATATGAGACTTAGAAACGAGCTAATTATGACCTCATTAACCTATCTGTATAGTTCACCTGTAAACTTAAAGTTAATTTAAATGATGTATTTGAGCTGTAATTCTTCAAGGACGTCAATTGTAACTCCATTATTGATGGACGTTTTCTTCATTCCTTCATATATCATCTGTCTCTATAAGGGGAATATTTGTGATGGAGCATTTTTCATCTAGCGTCCTCAGATTGTCTGTCTCATCCGATCCAATCTTGCCTTTAAATACACAAAAAGTTTCATAATCTCAATTGACCTTCAGTTATCAGTTGGAAACTTGTCACCTATAATAATAACACTAAATAAAATCTCCTGCAATATCTGATAATAACCATGAAGTGTTTTTACTAAACATTGACTACCGTGTATTGATTTTAAGGTAAGAGTAATGCATTTTAAGGCTGCATTCACCAAGGACTGATATCAGTTAGAGGACCGATGAAAACCTAGGGGCACTGAATGTCTGTTCCGTCCTTGTATGAGACATCCCGGCAGTATAAACCCACAGCGCCTCCTCACTACGGGTCCAACTCGGGGACTTCTTTTTCACGGCGAAAAAACATTAACTATTCAGCCACTGGGTCAGAGTTCAGTGGTCAATAGTTTCTGACTCACATCATACAACGTTTTCAGTTAGCATCCTCTTCACTTACAACTAGCTGACTGCACTGATCACAGCTTCTATTTGGAACTTCGAGGTATTAATCTCGAACCATTTCACTAATGATCATTATAAAGTAATGTTGTTTGAGCTTTACGGGGATTTCATCTTCGAAGAAGCATTCATAACGCGTTCGACTCGAAACCAGAACATTCTAGCTGGGTCATGAGTGAATACTACTGACGAGCCTGTATTCTTATTTTTCCCTTAGGTTCCCAGTGGAACATAGGCCTTCAGCAGCACACCTTCATCGCACTCTCCTCTCTCCAGTCTTATGAACCTCGCTCTACCACTCCCCACAACCTTTCATTTCTTCCTCACACCATCTCTTACATGTCACCCTCACCTAGAATGCCCAACTCGTCGTTTCCCATGTGGGTTCCAATCGACGGCCTCGTCAATCCTGCCACATGATGTCCTCAAACGGTCTTTTCAGTCTATGTCCAATCCAATCCAATCCAATCCATCTCCAATTTCTTCTTCTGCATACTTAGTTGGGCAATAGGTTCTTGATTGATCCGTTGCCAGCCAACCAGACTTCCTGGTTGCTTATTCTTTCTGGCCTTCTCATCTGATCTTCAGTGTCTATATCGAGCCAGCGTAAGCAACTGTTGATGAATATCTGCAGTCCCTTCGAAATGATTTTCGTAACGCGCCAAGTCTCTCAACCATCACACAGAAGCACTTGAAAATCCGGATCTTCTTCACCCTTTATACTGAGTGCAGTAGATCTCCACACTGATTTCAGATTAGTGAAAGCTTGTCTTGCTGTGTTTCCGATCCTGCCTTTCACATCCTCATCTGTGCCACCGCCTGTAGTTGAAACGATACTGCCTAGGTAGGTGAAAGATACAACTTCCTTTAGGTTTCTCCTGTTGATGGTAGTTGGTAGTTGTTGTTGTTGTTGATGGTGTTGTTGGTTGAGCATCTTCATCACCCTCGTCTTCTCTACGTTCACTTGAAGTACCGGTTTCGCTGCCCTGACTCTTCTGTCAAATTGTTAATTTTCGCCTGTAGATCTTCGAGTTTGTGCCACAAGACATCAGACATAAATCATCGACGAAATGCACAGCTTCTAGGCATTTTCATCCCTCCAGGCAGCGTATACTCATCTTCTCCCTCATCACACTTTGCTGCATAGTCCAACATACTCGACCACAATCAGGAATATCATGGGTGATAATAAACAACCTTGTCTTACTCTTGTCTTCACTTCAGAGGTATCACTGAGCTTTCCATTATGGATCACTTGGCATGTAGCATCATATAACATATAGCTGGTGTTGAATGAGGTTGATAAAAATGTGATGCACTCCGTAGTGTTGAAGCAGCTGCCACCAAATCACTTCTCGGTCGACGCTGTCGAAGGCCTTTCCAAAGTGGATAATGTTGAGGTGGAGAGTTGACTGTCATTCCATACTCTGTTCTATGATAATGCGTAGAGTTGCAGTTTGATCAACACATGATTTGTACTTCCTGAATCCAGACTGTCCTGGTCGTGATTTTGAATCCAGTGCATCCTTTAGTCTCTCCAGGACGATGTGGTTTAATATTTCGCTTGAGGTGGACATGAGCATGATTCCGCATGAGTTCTTGCAAAGACTTAGGTCGCCCTTCTTTGTGAGTCTGACAAGACAACCCTTCTTTCAATTGACAGCCAGGTAGCTTTCGTTCCTTCCACAACTTCTGAGGTAATGGTGTAAGCATTTCCGCTGTTGTCTCTGTATCTGTTTTCAGTGCTTCTGGCGAAATTTCATCTGGTGCTGCTGCTTTTCCGGATTTCAGTACTTTTATGGCATTCAGGACTTTTTTTATCGGACGGCCTTCGTATTTGTCTAAAAAGCTGAAATACATGGGAATGTGGATTAGAACATTTTCATTTACTTCAGTCCTTAGTGAAAACAATTCTATGAGTAGTTAGTTCAAGTGGTCCATTCGTCTTTTTGTGAACGCAAATTTAATTTTTACACTTAAAGAATATACATATGCTACTGTAAAAAGCGAGGAAGTTATCGAAAGGACCATTCTTTGTTCATTCAACTGACTTCTGAGTTGTGATGGGAATTTTCAAACATACAATAATCCTATTATAGTAGATAAGTATGAGGGTTTTGAAGGTGGTGGTGGTACCACGTCAGTCAATTGTACACAACCCCATAAGGTAAATTATGGCTTTAATCCCACTTAAACAACCTGTTCATCATATTACGAAGACAATAAGCATTAATGTGTTTAACTGGCAGTGTAACCGTAATTGGTCAGGTTTATTTTGTTCATGATGTTCACAAAAGACCAGTTTACTTAAAGATAGCTTTTTTCGATGATTTACAGTCTACCAGTTTATTCGGACAAGGTATGAAACCCCTCATGTACAGTGAAAAAATGGCAAAATTAACCGGTATTGGTTGGAGACGAGTTGGAAGTGATATCAGTTATTACCAGACAAAGTAGGCTTTTTTATACTTTTATTACATTCATATTTTCATGACAATTGTGTTTCAATATTTCATCTTTATTGGGTAGTCTCAACTCACCAATTAAAGCTCCCACATATCAACATTTATGTTTTTAGTTCGATTCCTGCGTCGTCTAGACTCTGGGTTACTGTGGAGAAAAAGAAATTTTTGAATCTTATGTATGGTTTGACAGAAATGTATATCCTAAAATATCTTTCAAATTATGCCTTTTTTCTTTCCAAATCACTTAAGCGCATTTATGTACGATCTAGTCGATACTGGCTTTTCCTGCCATTGATAGCATGGAAAATACTGAGAAGAAAGAGTCGAATAGATGACTTTAAAAGAAACTCATCCGGAGCCTTGTCTTAAAACTGTTCCCCTTTTTTAATACTGTAAAATGTGCTGTTCATTTGGTCTGTTAACTCTTTACTGAATATTGATTCCTTTTTATGTATATATTTAATCCATACATATCTCATATTCAAAATATTTTATGACATTGGTCAAGAACTATTCTGGCGTCCTACGTCATTTTTCGTCATGAAACGTTGATGTCTTATCATCTGTCAAGAATAATCCCTATTTAACATTGGTCAGTCAGTGGATAACTACAAACGTCGTTTTGTGCTAAATGCACTCAGCCACCTTATGCTCATTCTTGCAGTAGGCAATAAGCCACACTTATTGTGTCAGGGTTATATATACTACCTGGCTGTCCAAACCTCACTGGGTGGAGCGGGAATCGAAACGTGACCTATTGGTTGAGAGTCATCTCCCTAAACCAGTGACCTACAGCTCCAGAATTGCTAAATGATTTTTTGTTGATGAAGTGAGTGATATGGTCATCATAGTAATTGACTTGATAAAAAGTTGAATGATTACTATAAAGTTGAGTAATTGCATTTCTGATCTTTGAAGAAGCTTCAGTTCACCAATATTCGCAAACATACCTTAGTGTTTTCTATTGCCAAAGGGAACAAAAATTGGGCTGAAAGTTCCATACTGATAGCTTCTAATACTGAACAGCTTTTACTATTCAATACATTAATATCAAGTTCTTAAATGATTAAGTAGCCTTTTTTAGGTGTATTGGTATAGTGTCTATTCTCCTTTTTATTTTATATCATTTCTAGTTGGAAATTTAGGAAATAATTCCTTGGTAAATAGTTTGTTGAATCATATACCAATGAAATTTCATCTTCATTTTAGGCAAGATAAATTAAATCCATATTTAAGCCTGGTACTTCATATGTAAGCGTCTCAGTGCTCATCTTCAATGCATTCCTACAAAAACTTGAATTCAGCATTAATTTTATGAGTATATATGAGATATATGATAAGTAGTGTAGAGAGGTTCAACAATTCCTTCCTATTCTCTGATTATTCTGTTGATAAGGGTTTTGACGAAATAACCTTCAATATGTATAGGTACCGTGAGGTTGCTTCTTTCTTTTCATTATCGATAGTGATATCACATCTATTCAGTCGTTAAGAAAACTAATCCTCGCAATAACTTCAGCAAGCTTGACAGAATACTGTAGAAACCCATTGAGTTTTTTCACTATCATAGGGTCCTTGCTAGATTACATTGTGTGAAATGCACCCATCAGAATATGAAAAGAGAACATATATTTCAGCAGAGAGTCTCTTTACTGCGATTTCATTTTCAAAGCTGTACTGTGTAAGGATTTGATACTTAAAAATGGTTTGTCAAGCATGACAATACAAATAGTGTCACTAAATGAGCTGTCATTAAAATTAAAAAAACCAAAAGCTGATGAGTAGTGAATAATAATTAAAATAAGTTTGAACTAGAAGTTTCGGAACATGACGACATAGTTGGAAACTGAATGATGATTGAGCAAAGCATAGCAACAAGAATGAGAAGCAAATTATTTAACAATTGAATAGTGTCAAAACAGAAGATTGAGAAAAAACTGGGGAAGTAAAAGACACTGAAAATCATGACCATGAAAGGAGAAGGCGTTGAACAACCTTCTTCTGCGTACACAGTTCAGTTTTCGCCATGGGGATGGCAAGAGCTTCGGCGACGCAGAGAATATGAAGACATACAGCCTTTAGGAGGTTTTTTTTCACTTTATGGATGACTTTGAACGAGGATGTTCTTGAGATAAAGTGATTCGTGTTTACGATGTGTTCAATCATAGCTCTGCTTATCGCTCCATTGTTAACTCTTTGTAACCACGCGGGATAGTGTTCTTGAACTCTTTTAGATAACAGCTGCATCGAACGACCTATGTACCTGGCTTTACAAAAGCAGGTGAATTGATGTATGCACACAGAAGTGGTCTGATATGAAAGTTTCTCCTTTGAGTAGTTAGAAATCGTTGGACAACAAGCGAATACTGGTCTCAGCGTTGATGCAAAGAGTGTTATCCTTAGAGCATTTGATATCCTTCTTTCTAGAGTGTCGGCGGCAGAATCACCTTTAAAGTTTAGATTTATATAGTGTCGTTTTTAGCACGGTGGTAAGGTTCTATTTGTGAGGTTTAGGCTTGATATGTTTGTCTGTCAAGCGAGGATGGAATCCGTTTTCATTCAGGATGTTCTTTCGAACAGACATTTCCCCTTCTAACACGTTGGGACTGCAGATTCGTTTAACGCGAGTGTGAGGAGATATGATCGGGTTTCGCATACGACTCACAGGAACACAGGTATTAAAGTTCGTCAGTTAACCATCCCACATTGGTTTTCTGTGAATCGTTCTACTTAATGTCCCATCAGCTGTTCTTGTCAGCTCTATATTGAAGAAGTGAATTTTCGATTGATTTTTGACCTCAAGGGTTAATTTAACTGCTGAACAGCACGTATCAAATATTTGTAAAATATGATTCCAATCATATTGGTGACCAAAGATGATAAAAGTTCCGTCCAAATACCTTTTATGCAGTTGAAAACCTTCAATCGTTGATTTCAAGGGTTCGTTCTCGAAACTGGCCATATGGGACTCTGCTAGTGATGGACTTGGTGGGGATCCCATGGTGATTCCATTTTTCTGTCTATAAATCACTTTAAATGTACACCCAAGCAACAACTATAGTAACACTAGAAAAATGTATACTTTGCGATTGTACAGCTTTGAAAATAAAATCACCGAAAAGAGACTTTTCGTTGAAATACTTGTTCTACTTTCATACCATATTTACTCTGTTTTTCAGTAATTAGATCAAGTTTTTTTCTGATACTTGAAATGGTTGCGTAACTGATGATTCTTCCCGACATATTCTTACCTCAATACTATATATACAATACTTCCTCAGCTTAATCAAAGTAGTATCTGTTTTCTCTTGTTGCAAATTATGGTGAAAAAACAGATGATAATTTATCAACAATTTCAGATTTCTTTAATTCACTCACCCCCACGAACTCCCAAATTTAATTCATCTAGTGCTCATTGGTGACTGACTTCGAGATGTGATTACTGAAGTTCCAACAAGAAGTCGTGTCTGATGGGGCAAACTTGGTGGTCATGAGGACAGTTACTCGACGATGACATTGGGTGATGGTCGCGCTATGTTTTGAACTGAAAAAACTAGGGAATATTTACCACTGGATTCTGACCCATTGGCTCAATAGTGAAGTGCTGGTCACGGAACCTGAAGGTTCTGACTTCGGCCTCTGGCGGCGTCATGAGTGCTCACTCCTGAGGAGTTTCATGCTATCCAGTGCTCCCAGGTTTCCAATGTTTCTGCAACTTATGTCAGTCCATGATGAATACCAACTTGAAAAAAAAACCCCAAAACTACCAAATTCAATTCTGTTACAGGAGTAAACTGTTGACCAAAGTATGGATATCAAATTTTCGAGTTCTGTTTTATATTGATTGGCTTCAGTTAAGTTTCAAGCACGTTTTATGACTACTGATCAGGTATCATGTAAAATCAGTTATCTACCGAACAAATTTGACTCCCTATCAACTGCATATGATCCACTGAAAGACCTTGATTATCAGAATGTCATTCATTCGAGTTCTGCATAAAAGTTTACTATATTTTTGGGTAGAGTGACTCAAAAATGAAAATTTACTGTGCACATCATGTTGCTGATGAAAAAAATTTGAGAAAGTCACCGTTTAACAGACTGGCGTTATTGATACTGGGTAATGAGTGAAAGTGAAATGAAAAGCTGGGTCCTGCAGCCTAATTTGACAAGGAGCGTTCCGATAACCTTGAAGCCAATATTTTTCGAATCCTCCCATAGAGCAAGTTATTTTTTATTTTGCCTTCAGTCATCACTCAGTGTCAATATGTTTCTACCATGAACAGAATCGATGGAAATATTGTACTTCAAAAAGGCTGACACGTTGCATCTCTTCAAAAGTTTTTTAGAAAACGAAAATTATCTTCTGAGGCTTATTGGTTTATGCATTGGTGTGTGCAGTATAGTAGTATTATCAGCACTCACAGGGGAGATTCATAGCCTAGTATACAATTCTGTAAGTTGTTTTCGAATGGTATGCAGCAGTTAACTTATCTGAAGTTAGAAATATATATAACAGCTGTTGTTTTAAAACTCTGCAACTATTTATTGTAAATTATTAAACTTCTTTGAAATCAATAGATTCATGGAGCCAGTAGAAAATAAATTACAGCCAAGAAGTAAATCTGACTACAGAGGATGTACCACCTACTCTCTGACATGGAAATTCAACTTTCCGTATCCAAATGATGCTGTATACTTTGCTGCGTGTTACCCTTACACGTATACACAACTTCAAGAATACTTAAGTCAACTGGCGGTAAATTCAACGACTAAACGAATTTGTCAGCAAACAATTCTATGTTATACACTTGCTAATAATCCAGTACCCTTATTGACTATCACAGAACCATGTAAAGATGAACAACAGTTTGACCAAAAAGTAAGTGAATATCTGTTGAACTGATAAATTTCAAAGTGGAAATGCTGTTTGTATTACATAGATTCTTTGGAGGCTATGTTTAGCCCTTGTTTCTGGTGAATCATTTACTAATTTAGTAAATGATAAGTTGTAACATCATTATGTCTTTTTTGAAGCGTAAACAGGCGGTCTCTTAGTTTTTGCGCCGAGTGTATGTTTCAGCTGATGTAGATATCCTGCATTAATTGATCGTAAAACAAATACTCATGTGGTTTCCAAATGTAGCCAGTACCAGCGTAATAATACAGCTTTCACTGCTTTAATAGTGAACTATTATAGGCATTAAGTTGCACAGGATTTCGAAACTTTTTCACCTGTCAGAAAGTAGAATGTTTTGTCGAATATGCCTTCTAACTAATTCTCTGATTGTAGCCTAGCCTGTCACGCTAGCTTATAAATATAGTACACGCTAGTTGGTTGGGCGCATTCACCAGGAAGCTATGACCTAGGTTTCGTGCTTGTTGGCTCTCGCCAGCAAAGCATGTCTACTATCTCAAAGGGACTGGTGTCCCCTCCAGTTAGACTGGATTAGATATATTGATTGGTCACTGGAGAGCTGACAAGGGCAAACAAGCACGAAACCTAGGTCAAACAGAGCTCCATACCGATTACCTCCAACCAACTAACATTTACCGAAGTGCACCCCGGCGCTGAGCCTTCTAACTTACTGGCCACAGTGCAAAATGATCGACTGAACTTGGTCAGTACTCAGGAATAGACGGCATGAAATAAGTTGCCCTTCAGTGACCAGTCAGTACATTGTACGCCAATCTACAGTACGATGCGACAATTTCTAAATTTTTGGTTCACGCAATTATGGGCCGACGAATATTATCATCAATATCATTTTATTGGTTGATAGTCAATATTATCCTACTTCAGTACCTACTGATGACCAAAATTTATGAAATAACTAGTCTTAACTTTACCACTCAGCCAAACGGCTGTATTATGGTATTCCACTTTTGCCTACTTACTGTAGACAAATGGATGGTATTTTCTTGTCTAAATTTCACATCTGTTGATCTTTTTAATATAAATTGTCATCTACTGAGAAGGAACTCCTGTTTTTAACAGGATTAAGGCCTGGTTTATTCAGTGTTTCACTGAGAGAAACCGTTATCTCGAGCTATTCAGATGGTCGTTACAGGACCAATGTGAAGTAATGTAATCCGGTGTGTCACAAGAACCAGCTTACAAGATGACTAATTATAGTGACCTGAAGAAACAGACCAACTAAAACAGGAGTACAATTTATAGGTACCAAGACTGTATCTCACTGACCAGTAAAATAAAACCAAGGTGTAATTCTTTCCCATAGATGCATTTATAAAATCTTTGAAAAAGTGAGAATATCAGCTGACTGATGATAAGTAAAGATGATGGTGAAAGGATTCAGTGGGAAAGGAGGATATTTATAAAGTATAGAAATATAAACAGTTTTCAGGCAGGAAGAAAGTTCCCGTTCCTCGAAGAATTTCATTTTTGCGTGTGGTTAATTATTGAATATCAATTATACATTTTCTACTTACCAATGCAAGATAGTGAAGGAAACTTAGTTACCAAAGAAAAGAAACCAAGTAAACAATGGACTGACCACTTCAAAATCTCTTGAATTGATCACCACCTGCAACGTGTCCAGAAATATCACCAGTAACCGCAGAATTACCAGTGAACACAAGCCCTCCGATAAAACCAAAAGTGAAGTCCTGAATGCCATAAAAGTACTGAAATCCGGAAAAGCAGCAGCACCAGATGAAATTTCGCCAGAAGCACTGAAAACAGATACAGAGACAACAGCGGACATGCTTACACCATTACCTCAGAAGTTGTGGAAGGAACGAAAGGTACCTGGCTGTCAATTGAAAGAAGGGTTGTCTTGTCAGACTCACAAAGAAGGGCGACCTAAGTCTTTGCAAGAACTGACCCAGAATCATGCTCATGTCCACCCTAAGCTAATTATTAAACCACACCATCCTGGACAGACTGAAGGATGCACTGGATTCAAAATCACGACCAGGACAGTCTGGATTCAGGAAGTACAAATCATGTGTTGATCAAACTGCAACTCTACGCATTATCATAGAACAGAGAATGGAATGACAGTCAACTCTCCACCTCAACATTATCCACTTTGGAAAGGCCTTCGACAACGTCGACCGAGAAGTGATTTGGTGGCAACTGCTTCAACACTACGGAGTGCATCACATTTTTATCAACCTCATTCAACACCAGCTATATGTTATATGATGCTACATGCCAAGTGATCCACAATGGAAAGCTCAGTGATACCTTTGAAGTGAAGACAAGAGTAAGACAAGGTTGTTTATTATCACCCATGATATTCCTGATTGTGGTCGAGTATGTTGGATTATGCAGCAAAGTGTGATGAGGGAGAAGATGGGCATATGCTGCCTGGAGGGATGAAAGTGCCTAGAAGCTGTGCATTTCGTCGATGATTTATGTCTGATGTCTTGTGGCACAAACTCGAAGATCTACAGGCGAAAATTAACAATTTGACAGAAGAGTCAGGGCAGCGAAACCGGTACTTCAAGTGAACGTAGAGAAGACGAGGGTGATGAAGATGCTCAACCAACAACACCATCAACAACAACAACAACCACCAACTACCATCAACGGGAGAAACCTAAAGGAAGTTGTATCTTTCACCTACCTAGGCAGTATCGTTTCAACTACAGGCGGTGGCACAGATGAGGATGTGAAAGGCAGGATCGGAAACACAGCAAGACAAGCTTTCACTAATCTGAAGTCAGTGTGGAGATCTACTGCCCTCAGTATAAAGGGTGAAGAAGATCCGGATTTTCAAGTGCTTCTGTGTGATGGTTGAGAGACTTGGCGCGTTACGAAAATCATTTCGAAGAGACTGCAGATATTCATCAACAGTTGCTTACGCTGGCTCGATACAGACACTGAAGATCAGATGAGAAGGCCAGAAAGAATAAGCAACCAGGAAGTCTGGTTGGCTGGCAACGGATCAATCAAGAACCTATTACCCAACTAAGTATGCAGAAGAAGAAATTGGAGATGGATTGGATTGGACATAGACTGAAAAGACCGTTTGAGGACATCATGTGGCAGGATTGACGAGGCCGTCGATTGGAACCCACATGGGAAACGACGAGTTGGGCATTCTAGGTGAGGGTGACATGTATGAGATGGTGTGAGGAAGAAATGAAAGGTTGTGGGGAGTGGTAGAGCGAGGTTCATAAGACTGGAGAGAGGAGAGTGCGATGAAGGTGTGCTGCTGAAGCCCTATGTTCCACTAGGAACCGAAGGTATAGATTTTAATAATTTTCGTTTTATCTAATCAGTCATTAATTCAACAGCATATGTGAAGGTATAAGAACCAGTTATTACGGTCAATCTTTGATGAGAAGGAAAGATGGGTCACTCCTACTCATAATCCAATAACCCTGAATTTTGGGGAATCTTCTTTATAGACATTCATGCAGCTTGAAAATGCCCAGCTTCTTCCTGAAGTAAAGGCTTATGAATTCTAGCCTGGTGATGAAATGTCCAAGAACAAACCTGAAAGTTCGAGAAATGCAAATTAATTTTCATGGTTTTTTTATGAAGTTAAATTGTGACCTGCCAAATCTAAAAATGGCTTAATAAACCAACTGAAAAAAATCCAAGTTATAAACTGCTGATCAGTATGATTTCTTAGAAACCATTATGATCCATCAGTGGCACTACAACCGGTACTGAGATGATCTTATAGTTACATACACAACCACCCCAGCATTATCGACTAGATCCTGGAAGCCACCTCCTATACAACAGGTGTCGCTTGTTATTCCTCTACACTTGTGATTCTCCTAGTGAAAGCCGTTGCATTGACGTGGTGGTTAGAGTAACATATCACAATGACCCAGAGTGCTATGTTGGCTGGAATGCTTGTTCCCTTAACGTCCTACGATACCTGAAATGTCTGTTAGATAAGAGAATAAGTGTTTACCGTCGCAGTGAAAATCGCTACACTATAATGGGGGTCTGAGAGTGAAGACATGCATCTCAGATGTAACCCGATACCTCCGGACTGGACTAAAACTACTTTTGGTTTCAGAATAAGGAATCAAATCATTGAGTGCGTTGACAACTTCATTTATTTTGGGGAGTTGTGTTGACCCAAATGGTTCGGCTTCTAGTGAAATCCCAACTGACATGAGGAGGACCCGTTTAACACTTGCTAACGTACGTCATCTCTAGAGCTGATGCGGTGTGCGACCACCCATTAAAGGACGCTTATACCGTTCTGAAGTTCATCCTCTTCTACTATATGATAGGGTCGCAGGTTTTTGACCACGGGTGTATTCGTAGCATTGCTTGGGTATTGTAGAAACACCGCGTGAATAATGACGAGGTTAGGTGTAGGGTACTGCGCAAAAGAAGCAAGTCAATCAATGAGATTCCTAACCTTCAGTGACTTAGATGGCTACAATATGTGTTGTATGAGCCCAGCCACGTACTAGCTTGATGTGCAGTGCTAGGAGAAGCTGGATTAGGTTGGCTCAGAGGCTCAGAGTGGACAGACTAAAATGTGGCACCAGTACCTGAAGTCTCCAACTATTGATCTAAGCTGTTTATGAAGGAGTGGACTATCTGGTTGGGGTTCACGAGACGATAAGAACTAGTGTTTGAGGACTCTTGCTAACATGGTTGTAAATTGGTCATAATGGCGCAGATGTATTCACTCCTTGACGTCTTCTAAGGCATGAATGTTTACAACAACCTTCATTTTTAACTTCCTTCTCCTCCCGTGAACCTTTGTTTACTTTGATATAAATCCTTTTCAACCCACTTGATCTTTTCCTGCTACTGTAAAGTGTGGTAACTTAAGAGGATGCATTTGTTTGTGGGGTTCTATATTTATTTTGTCTGGATGTTTTTCTGTCGTGCTTGTGATTTCCTGTTGGCTATTATACTGGAATAAAATTGATCAGTCTCTGACGCCATATATGCTCCCAGGACAGATATGCTTCGATATTACCTTAGTTTCGATTTGAATGTAGGTTTGTTGTAGGTTTTTAAGCGCAATATGTCCTCATCATTGACTGGAAACTCCTATGTTGACGATAAGTTATTTGAATAATATCATAAACAGTATAGGATCTAAGTGCATAGTATGGACGTTGTAATGTTCCTGGAGGTTTTTGATGGTTTTGTGTTCTCTGAGCTGGATGGTTTGATTGTGAATCATTCGTTGTCATTCTAGATAACACAGCACAAACATCAGAAAGAAGTGAGCCATACTGTTTTCTCTGCAAGTGGCTTACTAGCTTGTCCTGATGGACTTGTGTATGATTGGTTGTTGCTGCCAAGGTCTTATCATTGTCTCCATATTTATTTTCATTGGTTGTCCTGATGCCCTGAAATTAGACCATCTTATTGTTTCTTATTGGTTGATGGACTGAGTCATTGTCAATGTCTGTTGATTACTGACTAACCTGAATTCCAAGTTTCTAAAAATTCTCTGACATTCTTTGTATTTCATCATCTATAATCTCAATATTCCTGTAATTGGCGACAAAATTTTTGCGCTACATGAATTAGCTTAAAAAATATCATAAAGCCTGTTATATTTGAATATACTTTCCATATCTGATTTAACTTTCGGTGTACGTTGTAGTGGTTAAATTTCACATTTTACCTTCATAACATTGAAAATAAATGTAACGGAAAGTTCGTTTGATGTCTTATTAAAAGTTCTAAATAATGAGGATATGTGAGTCTGCATATAAGTGGTTGATAAAAGATTGTCATCAATTTTACACCAAAATTCTCCTGTTCATTTATATGACGAATGATTCATTCTGATAAACTTTTAAAGAAACTATTCATGAAATGCCCAAAAACATTTCATCTGGTTTAGCGTTGGTCAAAGTGTTCATACTGCCAGGTATTAGTTCTCCTTGTTCGCTACAAAAATTTTAGGACTTTTAGGTAATGTGTGAAGTGTTGATCATGACTTTCATAAAATATCTATTAAAAAAAGTATATTCATCTTGCTTACGTTTCTGCTTTCTTCTAGTCGGAATCAACAGATCACTCACAATCCACAAAAGATCAATCAAGTAAGAAACGTTGTGTTGTAATCACAGCACGTGTACATCCTGGTGAAACACAAGGGAGTTGGATGATGAAAGGTTTGATGGATTTTCTGATCAGTGAAGATCCAGATGCACAGGTATGCCATTCATTTTTATAATTTTTGGTATGCCGCTTACTATAGAAAAGCTTTAATATACCTCATTTACTTAAAGCATAAGAGCTAGTTATAGTTCCGTAAATATTATTGAAGGCAGCTAAACTTCTGGGTTGTTGAAAGGGAACTTTGTTAGATCACTTTGTTATGGCTGGCGAAACTCAAAGACCAGTTCCAGCGTTTCTTAAATACTCAAGTAGTTCAGTAGTCTATTTCATCGATTACTGTCACTTCATTATGATCTTGACTCTGGATAGTTTCCTTGGAAAACTCTGTCTACATCAGGATTGGGAGGTTGAAAAGTTACTAAACTATGAAAAATCTCAACATGAACCATGTAGTTTGTAAATAATTTATGAATTGACCATCCTACTGAAGTAATTACTATGTGCGATTATGAAAACTGCTAATATTTGTTGGTTAGATGCAACAACTTTAAGTCCATTCTGTGTATTTCATGCAAAATCAATGTTTGCCAACTTATTATCAGAAGTTAGCATCTTCTTGTCTAATTTCTTCACCATTTCTTGATTAAAATCAAGTCCAACGTGAAGCCATTGATTGTCTACCTAAACTCTACAAATACTTTTCGGCGATATCAAACAACAATTAAATCTACTTTCTCTGTACTTGTTCGGGAGACAAAGTGACCTTAGAACTTCTTGTATTCCCAGTCAAGTCAAGTAATCCACAGCTTCCTTTCATCCGTTGGAATAAATAGTTTGATTTTATTAACACAACATTTCTGTCTGGTCAAAGAACCTACTTTGAATTATTTGTTTTCGCTCTTAGAGCAGTAAATTCTATCTTACAACTGATCACAACATCAATATATCCATGTTCATAGACTTTTCGGTTCCTAGGTGAGACTAATCTTCTGGCCAATAGTCCGATAATATTTAGCTAAATGACTTCTGACATTGTTGTTCGGCAGATATCAAACCCTGGTTTACTCTCTATTCTACTACAAACTCGAGGTTTGTCTTCTAAAATATTAAAAAAGTGAAGCAAGTGGAGGTAAATATGATCAGAAATTTATTGCTTCTCATTTATCATGAAGAGAATGTAAGATGGAAATAAAACTTCAATAAAATTCAAACTAGGTGTCAGTACTTAGTGCTACTAATGACACTTTACTGCGAATTTTACGGTTATGCTGGTAGTAGTAATTATTAAGGTTTTCATTAGAATGCTTGAAGATGCTACTTAAGGGTGAGAATATGAAGGCTGCTTTGAGTAAGGAACTGGTTACGGAGTTATTGATACACAGCAACACCACTTATCCAGAAGAAACCTGGCGCTATCAATAATCTGCTATAAAAATACTGTCAAAGACTGTAACTGACTATCAAAAAGTGATCAAAAATAGCCCGTAGATCTTATCAGCTTCTGAATTATAGGGTCCATCTTTGGAGGCTGTGAACATGAAGAGGAGCGGAAGTGAATATAATTTTAACTGACAAATCGTCTGTGCAATGACTAGGAAGAGTGGTATTTATCGAAGGCTAAAGAGATGGAAACAGCCGTGGTGATAAGTAAAAACTGATAGTTATTTAGACTAGTCAAGGAAACTGTGACGAAAAGATCAGGTGGTTTAGTGAGACTGTAGCAGAAAAGGAGGATTCTGTTATTCACTCGCCATGAATCTAACTGGAAAGATGGTTGGAACACTTAGGAGAACAGTTCAACTGACCTTCAATTACTGTTCTGCTACAGACTATACAGTTGGATCCTGAATGGAACATTGAAACGGGGCCTAGATCACTTACAAAAGTATGTAGTCAGAAGAAAAAGGAAGGGCAGCAGCTCCAGACAGACTAGTACTAGAGGTATTTAAGGAAACTGGTGAAGGGTTACTAGTGAGGTTAGCCTAAGTATTAATTAGTGTATGGGAGTCAGATATTATCTCCTCTGACTGGTCTCACTCACTTATTGTCCCGGTATTCGAGAAAGTGCAGAACTCCACTTATGATAACCACAAGAGTATCATCTTGACAAATATAGTGTCGAAGATTCTAGGTTCTATGTCTCTCAGACGTCTGAGTAGAGCTCGAGAACACCAAACCCAACATAACCAGGCACACTTACCGACACCTGACACAGACTGTATTTCTAACCCAAAAGACTCTGTCGACTGAGAGTTCTTACAGAAGCGTCTCTCATTGAGGGGTGTGCCGTGTGTGAAAGCTCTGTGGTTGAATACCCATGGGCGTGTTAGAGCCTTTTTTAATAAATTATCAGCTGACTTGTGAGTGTTGAGTGGTGTCCATCAAGGATGTTCACTCCCTTCATTCTTATTCAGTCTTATCATATACGAAGACCTGCCACTGCTTGTCTAGTTCTTAAGGGATTGGTCTTGTCACAGGAGAATCCTTAATATATCTGGAACATGAAATTGACATAGTCCTGTTAGGTGAAGACGCTAACAAGTTTCAGAGTCTTCTGGACAGATTGAGTATTAATTTGAGAATGTTTGGAATGCGCTTCTCACCATTCCAGTGCAAATTGTCGCTCCAGGATTGACCTGCTTTGGGGTCTTCTCTAACAATAAGAGGTAAATTAGTTGAACGTTTTGACCACTTCACTTACTATGGATCAACAGTGGTGAGTCAGCGACCGACGAAGTTTGTACGGATACGAAAGCTACGATTTACTTTCGCCAAATTACGCCATCCATAGTGCTGCCAGGATATCAGACTTTCCATTAAGCGTCGATGTGCTGTGCTGCAGTTCGCTATGTTCTACCATATTGCCGTGGAACGTCTGTTAAAGGCTGAAGATGTGAGGCTTTGGGTGTTCTACCACCGTTGACTTCGTAGCACAGGTCGTGTATTGTGATGTCACCACATGAGTAACATAGAAGTAAGGCGTAGGTATTTACGACGAAAAGGAAAGTCAGTTGATGAGGCCGTCAACCTTAGTCGAATAAGAAGGCTTGGATATGTGTTACACATGCCTGGTCATCATCTGCCTCGTTTTACGGTGCGAAATGAAGTAGGTTTATGGTGGAAAAGGTTAGGGGTGGCCAGAATAAAAAATGGGATCATTTCATAAGGTCTGTGACTGTTGGTCTGAGTCTTGTAGGGACCCGCATGACATCAGAAACCAGTGGTCGTTGGGCTTACATATCAAAATGACCCAGCGAGATATGCTAACCTGAACTATTGTTCGGTAAGGTTCTGCCATACTAGAGAAGTCGGTTGGTTAGTTGTAAAACAAAAAGTAATTACTGCCATAGTGTAAATATATTGTGCTAAGGTGAGAGGTACCAGTATAGAGTCGTAATAATGACTTCCCAGGGTGTGAAGATAATGAAGTGTTCCTCTGACACTGCCTTCCACATTGAAAGGTGGGGTCAGAAGAGGTTGAGTCCTAAAAGTGGCACATCCCTCCTTGTCCTACTATTGCATGGTACCGGGGGTAACACAATCAAATCTCAATCAAAAACTTAAAAGGCCTCATGTAGCAGAAAGTGGGTTAATGTCCCTTGGACTCTGTGATCACACACTACTACTACTACTTATCCTTTTTCTCTTCCAGTTTCCTTACAGAAACAACTTCCAAGGTTTGAGTGACCGGGATTCATCACCAGCTGGCACGCATCCAGCAGTATGCGAAACCCAACCAACCATAACTTACTTTCTTTATCTCTATCTTCCCCCTCGCCTTAACTTTCTGATAGCGATACTCAGCCTGTAACAACTTCTCCATCCCTCACTCTGCGCAATCAAAGCACCGTCCCTGGTCTCCTAAAACTGTGCTGCCAGTTACACATTGAATTCTTCAATGTACAGACCCCATACCAAGTCAGAAAGCAGGTATTGTCCATGAGAACTCTGAAATCTAGAACCATTGATGTATGCTGTATTTCTGAAACACGCATACAGGACTCGAGTGTGGTTATTAAATGGATCTCACTTACCAACGTGGTGAATCTTCGAAGTCCACTTTAGGAGTTTACGGCTGGCGTCGCTGGTGTCAGCATAGCATTAAGTTGTGGAGCAGAACGCGTACTTCTCAACTAGATACAAATCAACAGCCATCTGTGCTCCATCTGGCTGAATAGATCTCTAAGATCGGGAAGAGAACTTGACACTCTTCACTACTTATTCATTCAATGGTCTCCGCTTACGCACTGGAGCTCTGATGGTACAGAAGCTGTCAGTTTTGCTACATAAAACAAAAAGTTTACAGTCATACTAGTAGGCAAGTTCAATGCTCAGGTAGGAAAGCTGAGCCAATGGGAAAGGAATTTTGGTGGTATTTACGCAATCCGATGCCAAAGAAATGAGAAATTTGAACATCCCTTACAATTTCTTTCTGCCAGCTTCAAGCCTAAGGAAATAGACTATCTCACTTGGTGTCCGCTGACATTTAATCAACGGTGGATACATAAAGAGTACATTTATAAGCCATAATTAAACGGGTTGGCTGGAGAGTTGTTGCTCCATCTGTAACACCTACTCAGATTGCCATCGTGCTTTAGCACGAACATTTGAATTTTTACACTATATTAGGTGCAAGCAGCAGTTAGGTCTGTGCCTCGGTTGGAAGATGAGAACGTCGATTGAGAATTTAACGAGGAGATAACTGAGTATTCATCTGAACGTGGCACCATTTTTATCAGGATGAACCCGACTGGATATTTAGTTTGTGGTAGAAACAACCATGACGACAGTTAGCAACTACATGGAAAGATTACAAAAAACCAGTTAATTTTCACAGTCTCGTTCCATCTGATTGATGTTAGAAGTCTCATTTCACTTGCGTTTGACCGCAAATGAATAGTGAGAGCAGTCCAGACGAAAATTAACTGGGAGTCTCTGTAATATTCTCGGATATCACTGGGTGGTGAGAGCGAAATAGGTAGGGAAGGCATGGTTATTATCCAGAAATTATTTAGACGAATTAAGGAAAATAACTATTAGGACTATCAACGAATGAAATGGATGTTTGATAACTTGACACAACAATTGGCTAGAGCACTGGGGGTAACACTTGGAAGAGTTCACCAACTGATATGCAGTCAAACCTCACTTGCCCAACATCCAACACGGATCAAAATGGGACTCTGATGTCGGTTCTTCAAATCTCTTCGAAGTTAAGAAGGCTATTTCTAACCTGAATAGATGCAACGTAGAGGAGTCTGATGGCTTAATATCAGAAAAGTTTATTGATAGTGGTATGAAATTACTGGGTAGAGTAATGGAAGTACTAGGTAGTGTGTGGGAATCATAAATAGTCCCATCAGACTGGTCCACTTCACTGATTATCCCGTTTTATAAGAAAGAAGAGGAATCTTCTTGTGATGACAAGAAAAGAATCTGTTTAACTAACATCGTATTCAAGATCCTGGTATTCGTGATTATAAAATGCCTAACTAGAGCTAATGAACGGCAACCTAGAGGAAATCAAGCAGTTTTTAGACCTAGAGGGGGATGCACCGATCAAGTAGTCTTTCTTCGTCAGGTCATGGAACACAGGTATAATTACCAGTAACCGTCACTTATTGTATTTCTTGACCAGTAGGTGCCATTTGATTCTATCGACCGAGAGTTATTGTGGTAGTATTTAACTGTGAAGGGGTTACAGAGCAACTGTGCAATGCTAATCAAAGCTCTCTACTCGAACTCAGACAGCCGTATAATGGCTCCTGGAGAATTGTCATCAGAACTGACGATAACCGGTCTTGTCCACTGTCACGTTCCTGTTTAATTTCATTGTTGATAAATATCAACATCGGTTCCTCTGATTTTGCAAGGACTAACTTACTTTCTAGAGGGTATATGATTAACTTTGAGTTAGCAGATGATATCGTTCCGCTAGGCAAAGATGCTGACAAAATACAGGGTCTTCTGAATGCATCGAGATAATATCTGCGTATGTTTGGCTTGCGTTTCGGACTTGTCAAATGTAAGCTGATGCTTCGAGACTGGTCTCCAACCACTCCTAGTTTAAGAATTGGGTGAGAAGTAGCTGAGTGCATTGACCACTTCACTTACTTCGGGACTCGCGTCGACCCAAATGGTTCAACTACCGGTGAGATCTCAGCTCGGCATTTGCTAACTTGTCACCTGTTGGGCTGGTGAGATATTTGAACACGTAAACTATACTGTAGCTTGTTCTCTCCTACTATAGGGTTGTAAGATAAAGCTGTTGAAGGCGGAATATTTGACGAGGATACAAACGTTTGATCACAGGAGGTTTTAGAACAAGCGTATGGTGAAATCATCATGTGAGTAATGGCAAGGTTGGGCGAAGGGTACTAAGCAAAAGAGACAAGTCAGTTGACGAAGTTATTAATCAACCTGCTTGTCATTACTGACTAATAAACCACTATGATTGATTTACTTCGTAGGCACATGCGTAGCTATGCATATTAAAGATGTGAAGATCGAAGGAAATAAACTAATGTTCATTCAAAGACAATTCAGTGAAGAAAATTTGCTTTTCGACGAATCATTTTCAAAAGCTCTACATTTTAATCATAGTTACAGCAAGACTTATCTATCCATCAATAACTAATGGACCAATATAAAGTCATCAAAAATTGCTCATAGAAGTACAGTAAATCAAGAAAGAAATGATTAAACTGTCTTAGGGAGATAACAACCAGTGCAACATTAGAGATCGAATTCATCTCTTTCGAATGAAAAGATCAGTTTCATACCACTGAATTACCAAAGCCTCTGGTGTGTTGAGATGACGAATACACACTCCCTTCGAAATGTTTGACTTCACTTTATAAATGATTTCGAAAGAAGAATCTTGTGGAGCACAGTGACTAGAGTTAACTAATTGCTTGAGAATCGAGGTGTTGATGGCTTTACATAGTTCCTTAGACAGCCGTGCAGGATAGTGTTTAGAGATGCTTTTGGATAGAACACGATTTGTGTGGCCTATGTACTCAGCTCCTCAAAAGCAGGTGAATTTGTAAACACACATGTTCATATACGTTCATTTTTATTTTAACAGTAGGAATTTTCGATATATATATATATATATATATATATATATATATATATATATATATATATAGCCATAAAATGGAATACAATGCATTACTTTATCTGCTTTCGCCTTTTTTCTAGATTTTACGATCTAATTTTGTATTCAAGCTAGTCCCAATGTTAAATCCTGATGGTGTGATCGTTGGTAATTATCGTTGTTCTTTATCAGGTTGTGATCTAAACCGGAAGTACACATCTGATTTGAAGAGATTTTTTCCTACTATTTGGCATACTAAACAAATGATTATCGAGTAAGTAAGCCTTATCTAATTTCATAAATACTTTTTTTCTAATCAGATGTTTGGTGACCTCTTTGGCTTTGTTGTGTTGTATCATTTGAGGAGTTTAGTTATATGGCTTGTATCGCCGTGTATGTCAGCCAAATTCATAAAGTAATTTAGCTGCTCAATTCTCTGCATAAGTGACTGATCAATTCTAATAAACTTGAAGGTGGATAGTTAACCTTTTTAAAAATTTGGTAAATTTTGAATAAACCTGTATTCATACTGACCACTTTGATAATTTAATTTTTATTCACGCGATCTGTACTTATAAACCATTTGCTGATTGAGGCTTTGTTAATATATTGATTAGCCATGATTCACAGTTAGTACCATTATGTATCGACCAAAACTTGAATGTCTTAGTTTGTATAATCAGTTATTATCAGTTTGACTGTCTGCGATAAATGTGGCTTAGCAGACTTGTATTACACATATATATCTCATTTGGCGTACCAGCAGGTGGGTAACCTGGAGTCCTCTGGTTCGAATCCTCATTTCACCTTCAATCACCACCTAGTATTTATTAATTATCTTTATTTCGACTGAAGAGATATGATCAAGTTCTTTTTGTTCACTGGGTAGTCACAGCTGGTCAGAAATATACCCTAAACTTAATAATACTAAACTGAATTAATAATATCTATGGTGCTCTTGAACTATATTTAAGCTTACTTTAAGAGCATCTTTTAATCTCTGCACATGAAATCATAGTTCCACAGACTTTATAATTACTATCTATTCTACAATAGATTCGATGACTAGCTTCACTGATAAAATATCTCATGACCGCTGAAAAACTTTTTCCATTAAAGAACCAGATCAAATAACAAAGGCTGAAAATGATCTCATGTCAATATCTTTGAAGAAGAAAGCAAAGTATATCCTTTATGGTAATGCATGAAATACAAATATATGTATTGTCACGCCAATATGGTCCTTAAACAGTATGAATTAACACTGTGGTATGTTGTTTATGGGTAAAAATGGCAGTGAGTAGATTCACAATTCACAATTTACAATTTACTACTACTTCAAAGTTGAAAGTATACACTACTGATGAATTAAAACACTAAAATAAGTACACAAAATATTCTGAAATTTTGTACAGAGGTCAGACTTTAACTGATGTTTGATCAAGACTTCTTCCATATGAAGGTGATGGGCCCACACTTCCTTTAAAAAGTTTAATATTACATAATAATCTGGAAAGTAATAAAAGAGGCTTCGTAACTTGAACACACCAGAAGTCTTAGTAGTTTTCAAATTTATTTGAATAAAGATTATCAGAAGTTATTTCACACTTATTGAAGTACTCTATCTGAAACAAAAAACACTGTAGGCAACATAAGTGTTGTGCACATTGCTGAAAAACGTTATGTAGTGTTTAAAAGCCTACTGATGAAGTGAACTTAGTGATTGTGAGTATTGGGAGATAGCCAAAGTTGATGAGTTGGAGGGGACATTTTCTATAGATGATAAATGAAAGTTTCAATTCATACAGGAGACGAGTAAACAAACATTGACGCATAGTGAGACTATAACAGGGAATATGAGTTTGAGATCTATTTACACAGATGTTAACTTGAATGCTGAGCAAAAGTACCTTACATAACAGCTCAGCTGCCCTTCGACTACTCTTTGGTTGGGTTGACTCATAACCTTCAACCTCTGCTGAAGTCAGTGGATAACCTGAAAACAGGATGAGCAGCGGGACTTTCACTAGAAGTAATAAAACATAATGGCTTTTAGGATTACTTATTAGACTAGTTGAAATATTAGCTAGTGTACAGGAATGCAGTATGATTTCCTTTAGTTGGTGTCAATTACCATATGTCTTAGCCTTCAAACAGAGGGAAAGAATCATCTCGTGGTAATCTGAGAGATCCAATATGACATAGGTAGTGTCCAAAAGTTGTAGATTCTAGGACGCATAACTAATTCACAGGAACAGCGAGTCCAAGGAAATCACCCAGGCTTTAAAGGTGGTTCTGTGTGCAAACGCGACCTTCATTCTTTGCTAGATCTGGGGAGATGCATTCACTTACCAGTAACTAACTTGATGTTGAACTTTAACTTCATTCATCAGAAGGTTCTGGAGTGATTTGTTGGTGAAGAAGTTTGCCTAAAGTGGTGTTCCCCAAGGAAATGCACTCTGCCGACGTTTATTTAACTTGGTTGGAAACCTGTAAGAAGCGGTAAAACTTCACTTGTTTTCATCTATAGAGATCGACCTCTCACAGAAGCTCACTTATTCCACTTATAACATATAGGAAATTCAGTTCTATCAAATGAGGACGCTGATAGGGTGCACAGTCTTCCAAATAAGTTGATCTGTAAATGGAAAATGTTTTGAATACATTTCTCTTCTCCTAAGTAGAAATTTCGCTTCACGACTGGGTTGGACTAACGCGTTGTCTGACAATAAAAAGTGTAGTAGTTGAACAGGCTAACCACTTAGTAGACAAATTACCGTAGAAAACTGATACAGAAGTTCATCTCTTCAAGTTGTTACAATTCCAAGCACCATACAAACAAATGGATATAAAACAATTGAAGTAAAAGTTGATGAAATTGTACATCAAAACTATTGTGACCAATTTCAAGTCAAATCACCAGGAGTCTCTAGGCATTAGTTTCTGTCATCTGGAGAACCCCAGCAAGGTATTTTATAGCTCCCTACATTCCTTAGGCAAACAGTCAGAGAATTCATGGACTGACGCCAGTGTCGTAATCTGTTCGTCTTTATTATACTTGCAACATAGTGCTACTTCACCTGACATCGCCTGTCCAGGTGGGCAAGTGAATAGCTTGAATGTTCAGTTAGGTTCAATCTTCTGTGTTCCGCTGTGTAACTGTGAAAAGTAGCCATTAAAATCTGGCGACATAAAAAGTTTCGATTGTTCGATCGTTGTTCTTTTTTAACATTAGCAACGTGCTGTGTAACCAGCATATCAAAAAAGTCGGGGTTAACTGTTAGATCATAAGTAAAAGAGGCAAATCAGGCGATGAGTTTATAGTTTTCCTCCTACTGAGGTGCTGAGGGATATTTGCTTTGTGAATCGAATTGCTGTCAACTCTCATGAAGTATTTTAACTGTCTCAGGGTCAGAGGAAAGAAAGATAAGGTTCATCAAAAATAAAGCGTGTTATTAGTCCATGAAGTCTCTGACTGTTGATCTGAGCCGTGTAGGGTAGTGTCTTCTTCCTACATTTAGGGATTCACATCACAACTTAAATCGATGATTGTGAACGTAAAGTGATGCTGTTGAGAATCGATCTGGTCGGTGCGTATACGTTCACACTACCCCATCATTTTGATTGTTATATCATACATCGTTACTTATTGCAACCCTTTTTTACAACTTCTGATGGTATATGTTCCATGTTTTTTGTCGTTTTACTTTGTGCCTTGACTTTTTATGAGATATATTGCAACTTGCTTCGTCATGTAATGATGGTAGGTTCCATGTAAATACTGAATGACTGATTTGACAACCAAATCGGTTTCGATCCAGTTTCCAATTCACATGAAAAGATATCTATACCAAAGTGTTTTGCATATGTTTACATGGCTTTTCCCACTATCCAGTTTAGCTTTTCCTTGTCTACACTTCTTTACGATAGTTTATAACTTTGAATAGCGTACAAGCAGAAGTAGTATAACATATGTTATTACTTCGCTGCAATAACTCATACAAAAGTGGAATTTAACAAGAGAAAAGAGAAAAATAAAACTTTCGATATAAGCAATCATGAAAGACTACATAATGAAGTGTAAAGTGTTACAAATGGAACACAAATGCGTGATATTTGGACTTATCTGTGAAGACGTGAATGCATCCGTTCCGCTTAGATGGACTTCAAATTCTGCCTTATTATGTCTTGTGGTCAATGATTTTATCTGTTTCATAGATTTAAATCTTGTCTTTCACACTTGTGTGACACAGACACTTACAGTCAGTTACTTTTTGGATTGGTATCACATCTTCAGATGAACGTAGAGAAGACAGAGCTGATGAAAGTAACCAACCACCAACAACAAACACCAACCATCATCAACAGGAGAAACCTAAAGGAAGTTGTATCTTTCACCTACGTAGGCAGCATCGTTTCAACTACAGGCGGTGGCACAGATGAGGATGTGAAAGGCAGGATCGGAAACACAGTAAGACAAGCTTTCACTAATCTGAAGTCAGTGTGGAGATCTACTGCCCTCAGTATAAAGGGTGAAGAAGATCCGGATTTTCAAGTGCTTCTATGTGATGGTTGAGAGACTTGGCGCGTTACGAAAATCATTTCGAAGAGACTGCAGATATTCATCAACAGTTGCTTACGCTGGCTCGATATAGACACTGAAGATCAGATGAGAAGGCCAGAAAGAATAAGCAACCAGGAAGTCTGGTTGGCTGACAACGGATCAATCAAGAACCTATTGCCCAACTAAGTATGCAGAAGAAGAAAATGGAGATGGATTGGATTGGATTGGATTGGACATAGACTGAAAAGACCGTTTGAGGACATCATGTGGCAGGATGGACGAGGCCGTCGATTGGAACCCACATGGGAAACTACGAGTTGGGCATTCTAGGTGAGGGTGACATGTAAGAGATGGTGTGAGGAAGAAATGAAAGGTTGTGGGGAGTGGTAGAGCGAGGTTCATAAGACTGGAGAGAAGAGAGTGAAATGGCGATGTGCCACTGAATGAAGCCCTATGCCCCACCAGGAAACCAAGGGACAGATAATAAATAATATAATAATAATAATAATAAATCATGTCTTATTTTGGCTATCAGTACCTTTTCTCCATTTACTTAACATGGATCAGTGATGCAGTCAGTGGCTTGATATATTTCATAAAACAAAATTAGAGTACATGTTAACGAAATTGATAATGCTGTGCTTCTGCACCACGAACTCCATTGATATACAACTTAGTCAAAATGCAACGTGTATGCCACCTAACTCATGCATTGTTGTATTACTGATTGAACTATTAGTTAGTAAACGCAATTAATTAAGTGGGAATATTTTTGTGAAAATTCAAAAAATGTTTCTAAATGTAGTCGTATTTCACTTCTCTATTCAATAGGATATGTTATCCTTATGCACTTTTCTCTTTAGTGTTATGAAACAGTATGAGGTAGTTGTTATTGTGATCTTCATGGACATAGTCGGAAGCAACAAGTGTTTATATATGGTTGTAAAAATCAAACTCCTGAAAATCGTTTCTGTTCACGTATATTTCCTGCTATGCTGGGTAAAAATATACCGGAATTGGTAAGTAAATGGTAGTCTAGTCTTCGCGTTGTAAAGTTGCTATATATCATCCTTGAATAAAAATAATGATTTTATTACCAATCAACCCATGAGCAACGTTTTAATCTATTTATATCCACAGCCTACCAATGAAAAAGTCGAAAATTTACTACGTAGAGTAACAAACAACTTCTTCGTTTTCTAACATTTATAACTTTCACTTATTCCCAATAAGTTTCATGATTTAATTGAAAGGAAAGTTGTTAAATTACGCTAAATATTTTATGGTTGCGCGTTATGATCACATTTAGACACCTAAATCTCAATTGGTGTCATTTGAACCGGATACCTATTGGTAAGAAATTGAATACCAAATTTAATGAAGCTTGGCTCTACAACCTACGTTAACTTGTATCGGGATAAAATGAATTACATTCAGGAAATTGCTTGCCGTAAAACTAGATAAAATGTATGCTACATTTTGGAATTTTAGTCTTTCCCGTTACTGATATTCGACTTAATTTATGCTGCAACAAAGGCGTTTTGTACAAATGTCTCGATAGTCCCGGCAACCAGATCTCGGTTATTTATTTGGTGTTAACCAGTAGGGGAATCCAGGAGGTGTTTTGTATTACTTTGAAAACTCCACCCAGTCGTATGATTCAACGATAACAAAGATCGAAAATCCCAAATTACTGAATGATTTTGTTGAACAAGATATAGTAACATGGGTCAGTGGACTGCTGGATAACTGCATAGCTTTTGATGTGGTTGGTGTTGAGTTGAAATCTCAGCTGGAATACAAACACTCACTTGGATCCACGTACATTCAACTAACAAGTTTCATATAGGATGAAATTGCCATCTTAAATCCTACAACTATCTACTATTGAAATATGTATATTTCATTTCTCAGAAGTAAACAAAACTCATGCATGAAGTTTGCAATTATTATGACCTCTAAGAACTAGACATTATCGCATATTATATCCAGTGAAAAAAATATTATCACTCACTTAGAATATAAATATTTTATAGAATTTGGCGAATGAAGAATAAAAAAATATACAGAATCTAGATTATTTCTGTTATTTGTCTTAATTACTGGAAGCGTTATCCGAAAAGCTTACCAGGAGTTCAGATCTTTCTTATTATTTCGTAATGATCAACATATCACTAACTGTGAAGTGTCTGTCACTAAAGATTTGAAGACATTCTCTGTTTTATTAGGGTAATTAATACCGATTCCATGAAAAGCTTCACTTCATTATATATAAAGCATATTTCTTTTGGTTTATTATTTCTTAAATATTTATGTCATAAATGACCGAGTGGTCCAACGGTCTTGTGATTCATAATCTTTGAATAGAGATGATGTATTTTGGTTTGATGGAGGTAATCGTCAAGACGACGTGGACTAACGTTTCGTGCTTTTTGTCACTCGTCACAAAAGCATATATGCAACCCTGACGGAACTAATGTCTCGCCTGAGATTTGAACCCGCGTCATCTACTGTTACTATCGGACACGTCACCACCAAGCTACTGGGGCAGCGACTGACCTCCTGTAGGACGGGCTTAAGAACCCTGATTGGTTGCCAGAGTGTAACGAGATACATGTAGTCTAGTCTTATATGCTGATCGAATTCTATCACTCACTTTGCGATGCATTAAGATAGGTGTGATTAGATACTTTCATTATAAGCGTATTATTTATTATTTTCTGTTTCCATATGACAATAGAACCATTCACTATAAAGCATATGCTTAAGATAACTGGATGTACTGTTGCTGGTACAGTCTTTTGGAAATAACCGAGTAAATGATCGCTTATAGTTTAAAAACTACTCGTAGCTTGCTAGGTGTACTAATCTGTACACTCTTTCGGCAGTAAATGTTTGCAGCTCGGTGAATTTAACTAGACAAAACAGCTTGATCGACAAAATACCATACAATAATTTCGGGGTTGAGTTTATTGGTCAGCTGGACTATTACAGAATTAAAACTCAGAGAAATTTAGAATGATGGACTCTACTGCGAATAGTAGTCTGTAAAGGAACTCAGCTATCACAGTGTATGCACTTACAAAATCATACAATATGGTGAGATAGAGCAACCTCACTAGAGTTCAATATATTGAGATTAAGAGAGAGATTGATTAATGAATCTTCGTTTATCGAACCAATACGCAACACATATTAGAGGAATGACACAACACCTATTCCAGAGCTGTGGTGGAGAATTCTACTACCACAGAAAACATAGGATAGAAATATAAAGTCTAGGTGCCAGAAGATATCATTATCAGACACCATTTGTTCTTGAAATGTCATCTAGTAAATAAATAATACCGCTGTATCTCAGATCAAATAAACCATTCTAATGTGAATCGTTTTCACAAATTCATATTGTTGCATAATCGAAATTGTTCGTTCTGACTTGCCATCGTTTATGAATCGTCCACACGCTAAGTGACATTTGTTGAACGAAGAAATATGTTGATTCATGAATGTAAGTTGCGTTCAAAGTGATCGGCCCCGAGTTCGAGTCCCAGTGGAAGCAACACCACTCACTGGGAGGCAGGTACATCCAATTGATGAGTCCAAATTAAAAGGAAACGTGCGTCCTGGATTCCACTGCTACCAAATATATATATATTTATATATATAATTAAAACATAGGTAATATCAAGGCATTTGCGCAGGATCCCATACGCCAATAAAAAAATGATCAATTCGGTCCAATCAGTGACGGGATAATACAAGCAACAACAGTAAATGTTGTCTTTTGTGGACAGTCATAAGAGTCAGTCATATCACTTGACAAAGTAGTGGATAATTCTGAGTTATGATTTCTAAGACACTGAGTTTCTACAGTGCTAAAAAAGTAAGTTTTTCTACAGTGGGATCTTTTTTCAAATTCTTTAGAAAACCTAACATTTTTCCCTTGTCACTCTTCTATCATCATAGTTTTTTTTATCATTTGCCGATCAATTCTATTCACTAGTTTTGTGTACCATCTTTTCGAATTCATGCATTTTTTTTCTTGGAACGAAATTCTAGTTTAACTTTGACAAATGTAAATTTTCTGTGCAAAAAGAAAAAGAAGGAACTGGACGAATTGTAATGTGGAGAGAAGGAATCATGAATAGTTATACACTAGAAGTAAGTAGTATATCTAGTTTAAACATGCTTGTAATTGGTAATTTGCAAACATTTCTTTTGCGTATTTGAAACTCTAGTGAAATTTTTTTGTTAAATACTTGAATACCGTAAACATTCACTTAAGATTTTTCTAATGTTGAAAACACCAACGGAGATTAACAACACCTTTTTTATTGTTTGTTCATGTTAGATGGTTAGCAGCGGTAATAAAGAACTCCTGCTTGACATAGTCTTTTATCGATTCTTGCTGACCAAATATACTTATAGCCTTGAGTCAAAATAGCTCTATCGTTACATTGCCAAATGTATCACTGATGATTACGAACAACTAGATAACCTAAGTCAAGCAATGCTTTCATCCACTACCTTCAGCTATATAGCATCAACGTAGGTACATCTTTTCAATGTCTAGAAATCAATATTTTTAGGTGTTAAGAGGTATATCTCAAAATCGATTACATTGAACCATGAATGCACCCACAATTTACCTCTGTTTGGTGATAAATTTTACCAAGCCAGTTTCACCTCCATGGTTGTGACAATGAATATTTATCAATGCATTTTTGAGATGGATGGGGATTTTTAATTTAGAAGTCGTATTCATCATGAACTGACATCAATTGGGGAACCATTGAAAATCTACTGAAACCTGAAGGTCCTAAGTTCGATCCCCAACCGGGTCATGGGTGCGTACTGCTGAGAAGTCCCATACTGGGACGAAGCAGCTGTCCAGTACTCCCAGATTTTCAATAGTTCCCCAACTGATGTCAGTCCATGATGAATACTACTTCTGAATATTTATCAGTTTAGTCTATAAATACATTGTCTTTTCACAGATAACCTTTTCTGATAAAAGTATTGACTTCTATATTCGATGTAGAATTTGAAACATTTTCAGTATTTTTTTATAAAAAGAACAATATTTCGTTTTACACACCTTATTTACCTACTTCAGTCCTCTGCTTATTGAAAATCTCTTGGATATACTTCAGAAAAATGAAAATTTCATTTCAATTTGTTTATAGCGTTTTTCTACATAAGTTACTGTCATTGAAATTACCGAAAGTTATCATGATGCATTAGAAAAGTGTTCTTCATTCGCTTAATTTGACAGTGAATTTATTTGACCTACACAATGGTCTAACCTGTGCTTATGATTTTCTTGGTTAACCTTGTGCCTCTAAACTAGGTTGAACGGCATATATTTGGTTTCTTCGGTAATTTTTTAATAAAGCAAGATCAAGTATATGTGCACGCTCAACCCCATTTGTAGTTATTATGTATACCTGGTTCTTCAGTATTATAATTCATAGTAACTTGCTTCAAAGATTTACTGACTTAACAGAAACATTCACTGTGTTGCATTCAGGCTTCAGTTATTTAGCACAAGTACCTATTGTGATTTCAGGTCACTTGCACAGATACATCTGGCATAAGGGGCACGCATTAGTGCTTCAGTCTATTTTCCTATGTATTGTACCCCTTATTTATGAACAAATTTCTTTGTCAACTCCTCTGACTGACCAGAATCACTTCTATAATATATCCTCATTTAATGTACAAGCGTATGGCATATAAAGATTACCCAGCTAACGATGGGTTTCCAGGATGTCTTTATAACATTGCTTGGGTTGGATGGAATCATCTTGTGAGCAATATCGAGGTCTAGCGAAAGGTGCTAGGCAAGACAGGCAAGTCAGTCAATGAGGATATGAAACGTAGTCGACTGAGATGACTTCAACATACACCACAGACGCCGATCCGCCGCCTACCTCAATGTGTCATACTAGGGAAAGTTGGATTAGGTTGGAGGAGGGTTCATGGTGGTCAGACCAAGACGTACCACCAGTCGATGAAGTGCTTTGCTGTTGGTCTGAGCCATGTGGGGAGATGTAGACTGTCTGATTGGGGTCCCCGAGACAGCGTAGTTGAATATCGGTACAGATGTATCCACTCCGTGATATCTTCTAAAGCTTGAATATTCGCACTGACCGTTATTTTCAGATTGTTTGTTCCCTCATATTACTCTTACTACTTTAATATCAGTCTTTTTCCATCCACATATTGTTTGTGTACTACTGTGAAGTGTAGAAACTTGAACCGATTCGCTTGTATGCGAGCGTCTACATTTATTTGTCTATCTGTGTGTTTGTCTTCCAGGGTATACCATAGGTTGTTAGCAGTACTTTTGGTGACCAAATATATATTGTTTTAGCATTTTGACTATATAAGATAGCCGTGGTTTGGGAGGCTAGAATTGATAATGACTGTTGATTGAAGGTGAAAAAGGGTCTTATAGCTCGTTGAGTACAGCACCAGACCGGAAACCATTCAACGAACGTTGGAAGTGGTCAACCTGAGTGAAACAAGTCAACCTTTGATGATTAAATCAAGTTTCTATTTGCCCCACAATCTTAAGAATAATATTTTATAGTAACTTGAACTTTGTGATACGGTCAGAAATTCAGAAGTTGTAATCATGTAGTAGTACACTAGATGAGATAAAAATGAAAAAGAGAAAAATGCCTTTTACCTGGAAAAGTATTCGTAAATGAAATATATTTAGAGATTAGTATTGAATTTACATTTGTTGTATGTTGTTAGATGCATACAGTACAATTTGAAGTGCTCCATTAGTTTAAGGTGAGGATTTTTACCGACAAAGACAACAATCATAAGTTATTATCTAAATCATTTCAAGCTATTATTTCAGTATTAATAAATATTCTGCCAATGTTAGAATTTTTGTTGCAGTTTCATTGACAGACACTAAGCATAATGAACTTAAATAATTATAAAATCAAGACGGACAACAAAAAGTCAGTTTTGAACGGAATAACATATTTTAAACAAGGTGATGATTGATTTATGATCCTAGCTAGCCTTGTAACCTTACTTAAACAAAATTTATATCACATTTGAAACCAGTATTTCTAAAAGTCCAATTCCAATACCAGCAGATATCATATGAAGAGTAATCATTGAAGAAAAGCAGTAAGGTTGAAAATAGCTTAAGATATTATGAACATAACTGCAACTTTAGTGTGCATTTATGTCATAAGCAATACAGTGAATAGTATATCATCTAATTCAAACGGAAATAAAAGAGAATTGTAGAAAATACTTTTAAGTTATAAAGACGCTGATAAATAATTAGTGATATCCTGTAGCAGGACTCAAAGAGTAAAAGATAATTTACCAAAATTTTTGCAATTATTATTCTTTCTTCTGGATCACTGAAATGTTGAGTGAAGCACCAATATTTGCTTATTGGAGAAAGTAGCTAGGGAAAAATGTCAACTTCAGTGTGGAACTTTCACAAGCATGAGTCATACTTCTTATCATAATGATGAGCTGTCTTAATTTTGATGACTGCACATAAACAAAACGATGATACACGCCAACTCATGGCTTATTCTCAATTAACCCTCTGAAGTTGCATTGAATGAGAAATATCTTCATATAAAAACGTACCACATAAGAATCGTGGCCTACCGATTGACATGGTATACACTTCTCACTAGTTATCGATTTAGCCATTTTCTTTCAGATATTTTGACTGATATACTATCAGAACTTTCATCTAATTTTTTTTTGCATCTAAACTGAAGGCAACATTTTGTGGTACAGCTGGTGATGATCTGGAAGCAGGTTATCATTTCAATTCCTTCGATTTTGAGAAAATAGGATCACATTTCTGTGATACACTATTGGATTATATTGATCCTGACCATCAAAAGGTAAGAAAAAAACTGTATACTTTTGATCGATCTATAAAATACTTGCTCAATCTGTTAACATATTAAATAGAATAATTATTTTCATATCTCAAAGTTCATATTTTGAATAATCTGTCTTTGAGACTGTTAAGATTATCCATAGTAAATGAGTAAGAAAATACAACTCAGATGTGGGTAAGGTTCCATTATTTTCAGGAACAGAATGATTACTGGGGCAGTAATTGAAGTTAGCGCTGATTATTTTGTCTAGAAAGACGATTAAAGCTTTCCGATTAAACCGTCCAGCTCAGAAAGTGCAACATAATTGTGATCGAATATTTGAGCTACAATGTTCTCCATCATTAAAATTCTTAGACATGGTAACGCTTGGTGTTTCCATGTTTATCATATAAATCATCTTGGCAATTTCAAGGTTTCCAATAAACTTAGGCATATTGGGGTGTGTTACTGCTAGGTCTGTCCTGCTGGTGCATTGACACTTTAACGTTCAATATACCTTGAATATCTTTTAATCTTACATTTAAGTTATTCCACTTCTCAGTTTTTCTAAATAGCGTTTCTCAGAGTCACTGATATTATTCAACCTTTCTTTCAGTGTACTTTGCATATCATTGCGGAGATGCGAATCTGGCTGTTTGAACTAATATATAATTTTGTCAGATCTTACATTATTGACTATAGAAATAAATTTATCCAACTTGTGATGTTAAATAAGACTTTAACTGGAAAAATGTTTGAATTTAGGATAGTTTTTTTTCGTGAACTATCAACAGGTATCAAGGTTAGGAGGCAATAAAATACTATTTTATATTAATTTGTAACTTTTCAAAAGTATACAGTATCGAGTTCAAAATCTTAAAACTTCAAGACCGGTAATTTGGGTTTTAATGATATCTATTTTTCAATTTAAGCCAGTTTGTAATGTAGCTGGAAACTGTAGTTTATAGGAATCAACGAAGTTAAAAGTGTGGATCTGTGTTCACCAATGATTAAGTGAACTTTGGAAGTTGCACCAATTAGTTTATACTTTTCCATGTACTAATAGATTCATTACTTTTGATCAAACTATCTAAAATAACCATAGTTTTACAAATTCATTTAATGTAACAGGGATTAGATCCCGTTTCAACAAAAAACCATTCTAATGGCAAGATTCAAAGCATCCATTAACTGTTGGTTAAATGTCTTTCTATATTGTTTCTACGTTCAATTTCAATCATCATTTCTTCACACCAAAGATTATCATTTAGCAAAGTTAATCCACTTCAGTTGTTGTAATACTTTTATTCTTCAAAACCGATGTTCGGTGGTTGGCAGAAATATTTGAAATTATGTTCAGTCGTCAAGGTCAAGTAATAATGTTTAACTGCATCTTTTGTTCATATAACTACAAAAATAATGTGATATGGTCGGTTTCAGCCGGCAGGTAACATTAAGCCTATTTTTTATCGCTTAATGAAGGATATCAACCTACTTCGATCAATACCAAAACATGGAATAAAATGTAACTGCTATGACCAATATAATTTATAATTTATAGCATTGGTCTACTAAATATTTCAACCGTTGAGTTTTGCATCCTTTCGAACATAAAGTATCCGGTTACCAGGACAACTACAAATACTTATTTAAAATCGATTTGTCAGTCTAACAGTGATAAAGCATAGTGTATGAACTTAATTAGTTCTTGACTGACTGACTTGTAGTTGGAATAATAATTGGTTAATTACAAATGCTGTTGTGATGCAGTACTCTCAGTCGCTTGACACTGAACCGCCACAGAACAACCATACTTCAATGACAAGTAAAAGCGATTCTAAATCCAACTTCACTTTATTAATCAATAGTACTAGAACCATAGACGAAGCTTGGTGTAAATGGACCAATCTCATTCTACTTAGTGGACAAACCTCCTGTTAATTATCTAAATAACATACTTTATTCACCTAGTATATACAAATTTCCAGGACGTGTATTCTCCTTTCATTAATCTATATTTGATGAGATAATTTTCTCTCCATTTTGCATCAATGGTCGTTGAAACCTTGTTATTTGGTTTCACAATGCCATTACAAATGCTCTGTAAAAACATTCACTAAGTGAGTCATAGTTGCACCTGCTTTTCTAATTACATCAGTTCTTCAAGGACCAATTGATAACACAATTTTTCTAGGATAGAAATATAATTCTTTGAAAGAAAAAAACCATTCTGAGCTGTTCGATAGAATGAAGCCATCCGGTTCAGTAATTCCCCGACTCTACGGTCTTCTCAAAGTTCATTAGAAAGATGTTCTTCTTCGTCCAGTTCTCGGCATATACAATTCACCAGATCATAAGATTGTCAAGTGATTAATTGGAATCCTTCAGCCAGTGAGGAATCAGATCACTAATTTTAGTACCTCTTTCGACTTTGTTAACTGCATAAGAGATGTCAACGTGTGTGGTAAGCGTATCTTATCCCTGGATGTCACATCGCTTTTCACAAATCTTTCTTTGAAGGGAACAGTCGGGTTCGTATGTGATTACACTGAGATCGACAAGCTTGAAATCGGGATTCCTAAACATTATCTGAAGGAACCACCCTTACGATGTACCTTTAATATGCAATTAAGATTCGATAATGAACTTTATCGACCAACAGATAGGGTAGAAGCGGGTTCACCATTAAGTCCTTCCGTAGTTCATTGCATCTTGGCCAATCTGGATAACAGTAAACTATGCCCACTGATCGGTCACTTTCATCTATATAAAACATACATGGGTGACATCGTCTGTGATGAGGATAGTAACCTTGAAGAAGTACTACCAAAGTTCAATGAAAGTCACAAGTCAACTAAGTTTATCATGGAAACTGAAGATTGTCCAGAATTTGCCTTCTTCGACGTTCTGTTGAAAAAACATATGATGGTTCCCTAAGGAGATTATTTTAGAAAAAGAAACCTGGAATGCTCAGTATGCTCATTTTCAAAGCTGAGTCTTACTAGCCAGGAAAAGAAATCTAATTCATTACCTATGCACATAAATTAGAATTTGTGAGGATGCATTAAATGAGGAGCTGGAAGTACTTCGAAGAATGTTAGTCGAGAATGTTTTTCCATCAAGAGTCAATGTGAGGAACGTGAGGCCTAAGAATTTCAACGAATCCCCTTCGGTTTCCAAGAAGAAATTGTTTATGAATATTGGATCCAAGGGAAATGCTTTGGTAAAGATACTGAAGAATAGACTGTGCAAAGCACTGAAAAAGACCTTTTCCCCTCAACTGTAGATTGTTTTCTCCGGTCAGCAATTGATTCGAGGCTGTGTCAAGAATGAACTACTGCTTTGGGCCACCTCCATGTTTGTTTATCACTACATCTCGTGTGGATCTGAGTACATAGGCCACACAAATCGTGTTCTATCCAAAAGCATCTCTAAACACTATCCTGCACGGCTGTCTAAGGGACTGTGTAAAGCCATCAATACCTCGATTCTCGAGCAATTAGCTAACTCTAGTCACTGTGCTCCACAAGATTCTTCTTTCGAAATCATTTATAAAATGAAGTCAAACATTTCGAAGGGGGTGTGTATTCGTCATCTCAACACACCAGAGGCTTTGGTAATCCAGTGGTATGAAACTGATCTTTTCATTCGAAAGAGATGAATTCTATCTTTAATGTTGCACTGATTGTTAAGAAAGTCAATTGATGCGGTTACAAATCTTCATCGATTGAGATGGCTAGGAAATGTATTACGCATGCTTAGTCACCATCTACCTCGTTGCGAAGTGTTATTTGAAGTAAGTTTAGGCGATAAGAAAGCTCGTGGCATTTAGATCAAAACATGGTATCAGTCGCTCATCTCTCTGACTTCAGTGTAATGTAATCAGTTATACAGAGTTCATATGCAAAAATAAAGATGATGTTGTTATTACTTTCCAAACATTACATACAACTGACAAAATAAACTAGTGTACTGAATTTGTGAATACAGTTTCTGTCCTTTAAATCTCAAATATAATAACATTTTTAGAACCATGGTAGCAACTTTCAAGCGTTTTACATGAAGATATTTACTTCTTAGCCCTTGTTTAAATAGCTTGAAATGAAATTAAAAACAAGAAGTTGGATGCGATTTATAGGCGTAGTATTGATAGAGGAGTTTTTCCTTCTGATTATGTTGACAATAGATTAGAACGTTTCCTTAATTATAATTAATTATTTGAATATAATGGATCCTATTTGCAATAAACCTTCTCAAGTTAATATTCATCATAGACTGGCATCAGTTATGGATTATTGGAAACCTGGGGGCACTAGACAGGTGTTTCGTCCTAGTATGGGACTCCTCAGTAGCGCGCACCTATGACTCCACCCCACTACGAACCGGACCTAGGATATTCATGTTCCTTGGCTAGCTCGTTATCACTGAGCCACTGGATCGGAATCCAGTGGTCCATATTTCCAACCCCCCGTCAGTTCACGATATAGCGTGACCATCATCCAGTGTCATCGTTGAGTATCTGTACTCACTACTACCAAGTTTACCCCACCGGCCACGACTTTTCATTGTAACTTTGGGAATCACCACTCAAAGCTAGTCACCAATGAGCACTAGATCAATTGAATTTGGACGGTTATTGGGATTTAGGGAATTTAGTGGATTTATCATTCTAAATCAAAGCGCTGATTGCCTAATGAAAATCAACACTAAAATCTATAACCATTGTTGTCAGTTAGTAATATATAGCGTACATAATAATGAATATCTGGAAGAATTACAAGGAAGCAGAGATTATAGGAAAATACTTTAGGTAGTCTTATGAAGCTGCTTATCCAAGTGTATACTTGTGCAGATTTTATTAATGTAGGCTTAGAAGGTATGCAGTCCGTAAATAGATGATTATTATTTGTCCCCTGGGTTCCTAGTGGAATATAGAGCTTCAGTAATACGTCACCACTTCACACCATTCTCTGTATTTTCTTGAACCTGGCTCCACGACTCCACAAAAGCTTTCATTTCTTCCTCATACGATCTTCTCCATATCATCCTCGGGCGCCCAACTCGTTGATTCTCATTTGGGTTCCACTCGAGGGCATGTGATGTCCCAAACGATCTTCTCAATGTATTTTTAGTCCATTTCCACTTTCTTCTGCATATTTGTTGGGCGATAAGTTCTTGGTTGGATGTAAAAGGATAAACCCATTTTATTTCGTCTATCAGATTTATCACAATGAAATGTATATTTCAACGTTTGCACACCTGGTAGTTTTTTTCTGTTTTAACTCCATTAGCGGTTAACTTAATCACTTTTGTTCAAATCCTAATTAATTCTACTGATGCTATTCACTTTAGACGGAATACATCCAGCAATACTTGAAAGATCGTGTTGTCGCACTGAAAATGTCTAGATTGAATGCATCTGATGAAGATTTACTTACCTCTGATGATTCAATGAGTGATAGCAGGTAAGAATGTTTTCCTGCACATCTTTTTACAGCCGTACATTATTCTGAAACTATATTAAATGCTTTAAATGCAGCTTTAAACTATTCTAGGCATGTATTTTGAATCAGTTTATGTATCGCACGCACTTGGTTATCCCTGCTATTCGGTGTACAAAAGGGACAATTACGAATCTACATACTTCTTTTGCCCACAAACGCAAGGCTTCAATTCATTCATAGCCAAGTCCTCTTATGCTTTTAGAATTTGAGTAAGGAGAAAAAGTAAAATATTTGGGCGGATTCGATAGACAACCTTAAAATCGTTGTTTGGGTCGGTTGAATAGCTGTTGTATTTCGTTTCACTCTTATAAAATCAGACAGGAATATGTTCTTGTATATGTGTTAACAGCAATCTCTGACTATGGCCGATGTATCTTATTCCCTAGGAGCAGGTGAACTGGTAGATATACACGGATGTAGCCTGTCGAGGGACGTTGTCTTTTACACAAAGGGAGAACAATTTACGACTAGTGAAGGTCAAATGAAATTTGCTAAACTTAACTTGACGTTCACTGCAACATATTCCTGCCTAGTTTTATAAAAGTAAGAGGAAATGCATTAAAATTCCTATCCTTGAATATCTAATCAATTCCCACAATTCAAGCGATCCAAACAATAGTTGTTAGGTTATCTATAGAATTTGCTCAAACATTTCACGTTTCCTCCGTATTCCACTTCTAAAAAAACAACAGAGGCCTTGGCTATCCATGAACTGAATTATAAATCTGATTATATGTTGCAGTAAGTTATTCTATATTTAGTTAATTAGCTCAACTGATTTATAGCTCTAAATACTTTGGGTTACTTCACATTTATAAACCCCGGAATGTCTAGGAACAATAAAAAACAAAAGCTTTGCATTTGAAACCTGAAGGTCCTGAGTTCGATCCACAGCCGGGTCGTGGGTGCGTACTGCTGAGGAGTCCCATACTAGGACGAAACAGCTGTCCAGTGCTCCCAGATTTTTAGTGGTTCCCCAACCGGTGTCATTCCATGATGAATACTACTTCTAAAAACTAAAGCTTAGGAAAAGAAATCTATTTAGTGACTGGATTTCAATCCATAAGCTTCTGGATGATAACACGCCTCTATAGTCACCTAGGTGTGAATTCTTTAGTAAAAGTCTTTTCAGTAGTTGAGTGTTTTACCAAAGTATTTGACTGACTGACTGACAAAATCAACGTAGAACCTCGTACACAGATGCATCACCTCAACTTGTCACACTTCACAGTAGTGCACAAACAGCAAGTGAATAGAAAAGGAGTGATATCAAACAAGATAAAGTAGTGTGAGAAAATAAGGAATTTGAAGATAACGGTTAGTGTGAATATTCAAGCTTTAGATGCCAAGGGGTGACTGAATCTTCTCTATCGTGGCAGATTTTCAGCCATATTACCAAGTATCCTCAAACACTGATTCTTTTCGTCTCGAGGCACCCAATCAAGCAGTTTATATCTCCCCACATGGCTCAAACCAGCAGTCAGAGACTTCATCAACTGGTGCTAAGTCTTGATCTAGCCACCCTGAACCCTCTCACAACCTGATCCAATTTCACCTTGAATGATACATCGAGGTAGGTGGATGTTCAGCGTGCTCAGTGTATGTGCAAGTAGTAGGTTCATAAACCTACAAATCGACGTTCTTGTCTTGTCTAGTACCCTTCGCCTGACCTCAACATTGTTTACATGGTTATCTCACCGAACACGAGCAATTTTACGAAGACACCTGCAACCATGCAGTATCACAGCCATGTAAGAGGACGCAACGGACGGCAGCACAGTATACTCGTCCTTTGAAAGATAGTCAAATATCTCACTAGTCAGCGCCACATATGACGCAAGCTGCGAAATGCCAACTAGGTCTTCTGTATCCAAGCTGAAATTTCGTCAGAAAGCAGCCTGTTTGGACTGATATAACTACCTAAGTAAGTTAAAAAGTTGATACATATCACCACTTCACTCCGTATCATTAAAATGGGACTATTTGAATTACTGTATGATGATGATGACTAGTCAGCTGTTGTTCATCATCACTGAACAACGATTAAGTAAAGGAAAAATGTGATCAATCAGTAGTTTTCTTGTTTTATATCGATAAGCTTACCATTACTACTGTTACTAATAATAATACTGCAGTCAACTGACCTTGACAATACTAATAACTTAAGTGAAAGTTTGATTAACTTATATGAATTAATTGTTGTTCATTGAATTACGCGAAAGTTGTTCCTCCTTCTGATATACACTGAGAATTTCTGTTTTTACAAATTATATCTCACCTTAATACATTTTGAAAGAAAGACATCTAGTTTAAGAATAAGGGAAGAAATCGATAGATTACCTAACTCAATTATTTTTAACCTGCATCATTCGTTATACTCTCAGGAAATAATCAGAAAACACCTTCAGAAATCTCATATCTTCACCATCTTAATTGCCAACAGGATATCTAGTATGCAAGCGATTGGCAAGATACTGCACAATAATGCATTCTATAGCGTTTGACGTTATGAGAAGTCATTTTTGAACGTGGTTAAATTTAATAGGTGAAAAGAGTAATATTCTAGGTACCTTTGTAGTCTTTTTGATGAGTCACACTGCTCTCAGCCTGATAATATTTAAACTTATAGCTGGAGGCTCAGAAAGGAAAGGTGAATAAGTCAAGGAGATGGTGAGTGTTTATCAAGTAAGATGACTGTAGCATGTTTTGCGTATAACCATTAGATTAAATCTTCAGTGTTGTATGCGACCCAATGTAGGATTAGGCTGGAAAATGAGTTAGGGAAATCAGTCTTAAACTTCAGATTGATGTAGGCAGTCAAAATTCGTTTATCTGCGTGTTGTCCTTACCTAACCTACATCGTACTCAGCATTACAGATGAGTTGTTGGTGGTAGTTGGTTGGAGGTAATCACCAAGAAACCTTAGTTATGTTTTGTGTTGTCTAGTTCTGAGTGCTGACCGAATTTTATCGATCATTTTGTAATGTGACCATCAAATTAAGAGAAGAATCATCATGGCTGTCTTTCATTTGTGTTAGTTAGACGGAGGCAATTGACAAGAAGCCCTAAACCTGTTTTTTGTGTTTCTTATCACTCATAAGCAAGGCCTATCTGCTGCGTTGTACCTTCGTGGACACATTGCAAAATGATCGATAGAATTAGATCAGCATTCAGGACTAGACAATATGAAATGGGTTGCTATTCAGTGACCAGTCAGTGTGTTTATTCCAGTTATATAGGTGGTCAGACAAGGGCCTGAATAACTCATTGGTAATATTCTTGACTGTAATACTGGGTGACGCAGATTCGAATCCCAAGTGGGACACCAGTTCCATTGAGGGTTCTGATGCGCATGTCCTAGATTCCTCTGCTAATCACCAAGATGAAAATAATATGATGAATATCCATCAGTGTTGAGGTATCCTCTTGCAGCTCATTTGCCAGCAAAGATCGAATGATTCTTATTGATTAGTGTGTGTTAGATTTCAGTTTATTTTATTGTCATATACGAAGGGATCAATTCATTCCTGTTTAACCTGTATAGGAGAGTTATCTTCTCATGTCTGCATTATTTATTCATCGATTGACAAATTGTATTAGGTTAATTCAAACTGAGAGCATTTTAGCCTTACAGTTTCACCTCATAGTCATTAGATGGTGTGAATAGTGATATCTCATGCACAAAACAGACGTAAGACATATAATGAGATCACTTTTCAACAAAAACTACTGCGAACGATCCTAGGAACAGAGATGATGAAGCAACTAACGACTATTATGGATATAAAACAAAAACCAAGAGTGAAAAAAGAAGAGAAAAGTGAAAAAACAACCTACTCAAACCCTCCCAACCAGCAAAAAGCGGAAAGAAACAGGGATGATTAATTAACTCTTAAGATAAAACTTTATTCTCAACACAATACCCTTTGATGCGAAAAGCAATAAACTACAATACGGAGAATGCAAACATGTTTGATTTTGGAGTAGCCTTTGACTCCTCACTCAAAACTACAGGAATGACAACAGAAAGACAACAAGAACTATGACAACTAATCATATCGCTGGTAAAAAAAAGCAGGGGAAAGAAGGACTAGTTGAACACATGAAAAAAAAGCACTGAACTCGCGTCAGACATGAAAATTGTGATACTACCAACAGATAGAAGAAGGAAAATTTTCATTATGAAGAAAATGGATTAGCACAAGAAACAATTGGTGACAAGAGTACTAATCAACTGTTAAACAAGAATCCTATCAATCAACTGGACGACCGAATTCAATGAAACTTGAGCATTCTAATAACAATTGTTCAAGTCGAGCAAGAAGAAAGGTGGGGGATGAAGACAAATGGCCCAGTTCTTCCTAGGTTCTGCAGTTGACCGAACGTATGCAAGGTAGATGTTCCATTGTTACCAATGGTGTCACCAGCGGGAACACCAACATGTAATTTATCCACGGAATTATGCAATTAACTGAAGAAACATCTTATTGACAGAAGTTAACACGCAGTCAATTTAGTATTTCCATTCTTGGAGAGAATATAAAAACTTCAAGAGAGACAAAATCAAAAAAATGGTATCCTTAGATATAACTGCACTTTTCACGTTAAGCAACTCAGATCTTGCCAGGTAAACAATGAATATTCTTCTAAACAATGACCAGAGTCTTCAGAAGTATAAGAACGTTACTACTTCAGACTTTGTAAAACTAGTCAATCTATGTCTCATGATGCGATTTCAGTTCAATAGGAAGATTTACAAACAACTCAGTTGGACTGTTAAGGACTCACCGACATTTAGACTAATCGCTGAAGCGGCGATACAAAGATTGGAATCAATGATCGTTTTACTGATTAATCTAACGAAGTGAATTGCCAAAGAGTATTCAATTTCACCAACCAAACCTTTGAAGATATTCAGTTCACGAAGAAGAAGAAAGTAACTGAGTCACATTTCTAGACGTTCCTAACAGAAAAACACATGAAGAGTCAAGTATACAGAAAGATGACATATATAGATCAAGCTTTGAACTGCAACAGTATCAATCTAACGTCTCACAAGAAGAGTTGTACACACTTGCCAAGGCTTATTCAAACGCTCTTCATCTGTGAAAGTCACGAGAAAACCACCTTTACAAAGTGTTCAGCACCAATGACTATCTTTTAAGCTTCACTAACAAATGCCTATCAACGGGACACATATCGAAACAAATACCTCAATCTGCAAAACGAACCACTTACCTCTATAACAAGGATGTCTAAGAAACTGTCAACCAACTACTCCACCCAACCGGTATCAGTGTGGCAAACAAACCGTTCGAATGACTGCAGAACATCTTATGCATTGCGATGGCTCTACTACCTAAAGAAGACAAGACGAATGTAATCTAGAGAATTCGTTGCAAGAACTGTCAGCATCACTATGTTGGCCTATTCAGTCGTCTAACAGCCCGAAGAAGATATGAGCAGCAGCTTGCAATTAGACGATACCATAAATCCTTGTTGATATTGGCAGTACAACTTCGATTAAGACAGCATGGCAATACTACAGCAAACTAGCTCAAAAACTCCTAGCAAATTCCTAGAAGCGTGGTTCTCCAATGAAATGGGGGATCAATAGACACGTGGGCACTAACCCAATACATGGGCTACTAGGAAGAGACCAACCAGCTGGAAATCATCCACGCAAGTCAACCATCTGACGTTAGTTCATCATAGGTTAGGTGGTAACATCAATTATATAGGTCAATCTGTGATACGAAAGAAGGACAGGTCACCTTATTCTCAAAACAATAACCCTCAAAGTTGGCAAATATTCTTTATAGACATTTCTGCAGATTGAAAGTGACTTACTTCTTTATGAAGCGAATGCTGACAAAGTCACCTAGCCTGGTGATGAAACGTTCAAGAACAGACATCAAAGTTAAAAAAAACAGTAAACAGTTATCATATCTGACTTTCTGAGAAGTGACACGATACGCACTTTGTAATCTGGAACATCCGTATGAAGTTTACTGGATGGAAGTTTTGATCTATACTTACGAGCTAAATAGATCCGTTACCACCGTAGTATTTAAAGCAAGATCAGCTCTGAGAATCACTTACATTGATCTCTGTGATCAGCGATATTTATTAAAGCGACATTTCTATGCCTGCGTTTTATATATCATTGTTTGTTTATAGTTTCCACCGGTTTGAAATTGTAACAGGGCGATGGCCTGTTCGTTATTCATATTTTAAACACATTATGATCATTTTAAGCGAAGCGAATTTATCTAGGTTTTTATGTAGCAGTGTCTGCTGTTGGAATTCGGGACTGGCATTTCGTCTTGGAGAGTTTGATGTCGTTGTAGATGGACTTGAGCGAATCATCCTTACCTTGGTCACTGGTACGTTATCCTTCAGGCCTATATCGTATTTATTTTGGTTTATGGGTATACACTATACTAGTCTACGCATAATCGAAACCAAATAGTGAGTGTTTCTACGCTAACATTCTAGTCTTGGAAGTTCAATATTCAAATTTTTCATATCTGCAGACCATTGAGAAGTTCCTTAATCTAGCTTAATTGCTAAGTAGTATCTTCAGCAGTTTTTCTGCTATAAGGGAACAATAAGAAACCTAAAAATTACTGATTTTATTAATATTTTAAAAGTTTACTTAATGATTCCAACTTAGTAACTGCATGAAAACATGCCTTCCGAGAGACCAGACTTTTACTCCTCATGGTGTCATAAGTGAGCTGAAGAGTTTCAAACTAGTGTGAGTTGCATGTTGATCACTCTCAGGCGTGTTGTGGTTCCACAGCAGATGTCATTTCTTGACGACAAACTATTTTGACATCGTTATGGTGTGCAGTAAGATTACCCCGATCCACATAGGAAGCCATAAATCACTGAAGCCTGTGACAACCAATCGTTAATATGTATGTCGTCAAGTTATTTCAGAAATCTACCAATCAATCCCCACAAATCACCTTATTAACTTTCAACCATTTTATACAAGCATATTATTATTCTATTTGTACGCTTAATTCTTTTTTCAGTGACACTGGATCAGATAGTTCTAACTGTGATGAGTTACCTGCATATTATGCATATCTTCTTCAAAAAGTGAGTTGTTCATTGTGTAGACTGTGGAAAAATATGATTTGTATATTGTCTTTGTAAAAGAAAATTTGTATGGAAAAAGTCTTACAATGTATTTCTTTAATTTGGAGGTCTGTGGGGATTTATTTATTGATTTCAGGCTTGTATTCATCACAGTTGGAGAAACACTGGAAATCTGGGAGCACTGGACAGCTGTTTCATTCTAGTATGGGACTCCTCAGCAGTGTATACCCATGACCATGCCGTGGTGGTAGGCTTAAACTATTATTAGGCTGAATGGTTCCTCATTGTTCTTTTTTTCAGACCGAATTAAGCGGCGTCCTTTAATATATGAACATACTTGTAACGATATTTGGATGTTACAATGACTACAGTTTTGATATTTTTTGCTTTGTAATAACTAATAGTAGATGCCTAGATGCGCATTTTACCGTAGATGGAACTGATCCGAGTGATATTTGAAAGTCTTCTGCAGCATATTCTTATATTTTGGAAGACTTAACTATTTAAGTAACAGTTTCTTTTATTCAAGATCAGAGAAACTCTGATCTGAATTTACAACATTACCAGCGAAGTGGATACGCGGCTCTCTGTCTAGCATTATACAATATTCAGTCACTATATGTAAACTGTTATCCTTTTGTTTAGACAGCAACCATTTATCGTGAAATATGATGGTGAATGAAGTGGAATCGGGAATGATGAGGTTTTTAAGACTAACTTCAGGATTTGCATCGACTAATTGAATTGTGGAATATTGATATGAATTATAAAGTGCTGGGGATCACAGTTTAGTAGAGACCTAGCCGTCATTACTTTAGTTGACACGTTTCCAAGTCGACTACAGTGGAAAGAATTCATTCACTTCTTGCTGGTTTATCAGGTAGCTCATTCTCATTATTTTGAATCTATCACTAACGGACTACTGAGTGAAGTTTAAACTTATTCATCAGTGATTTCGCGAAATTTAGCTGTTTAACGCAAGTATCATATAACCGCAAGCTGATGATAGGTCAGTAATAAACATTGTCACACCGAAACTGGATAGTAATCAAATGCCCTTTTGTTTTGTAAGGGTTCTAGGTTTTCGTTGGACTAGAAATAAATCTCTTTAACACCTTTTTCATTTGAGTGACATTAATCAATTGTTCAACCCTTCATTCATATGATCAAAGCTGAAGTTATATTTTTGCAATTCCATTTTAGTCCGTTTATTAGAAATATCACACAGTGAAACAGTAGCATTTACTGTGTGATATTTCTGATGAACAGACAAGAATGGAATAACAACCGACCACAGTGTCCAAGTTTTACTCTTATATTACGTTTTTGCTGACGAAGTTATAATCTAACCGTTTTATGGTGCAGAATTTGATTATGCATGTTTCTTCTTATCAATTTTAACACTATAAACGTCTAAACCATTATTATAGTTATTATTTGTCCCTTGCGTTCCTAGTGGAACATAGGGCCTCATTCAGTGGCACGTCGCCATTTCACTCCCTTCTCTCCAGTCTTCAAACTCTGGCTCAGCGACTCCCCACAACCTTTCATTTCTTCCTCACACCATCTCCTACATGTCACCCTCGCCTCGAACGCCCAACTCGTCGTTTCCCATGTGGGTTCCAATCGACGGCCTCGTCCATCCTGACACATGATGTTCTCAAACGGTCTTTTCAGTCTATGTCCAATCCAATCCATCTCCACTTTCCTCTTCAGCATATTTAGTTGGGCAATAGGTTCCTGATTGGTTCGTTGCCAGCCAACCAGACTTCCTGGTTGCTTATTCTTTCTGGCCTTTTCATCTAACCTTCAGTGCCAGTATCGAGCGAGCGTGGGCAGCTGTTGATGTATGTGTGCAGTTTGTTGGAAATGCTTTTCGTAACGCACCAGGTCTCTCAAGTATTATATACTCTATTCTTTGATGATGCGTAGCGTAGCGTCGCAGTTTGACCCTCACATGATTTGTTTTTCCCGAAGCCTGTCAACCTGTTCCGGTGGTAATTTGGAATCCAGAGCATCCTTTAATCTCTGCAGGATGATACGGCCTAATATTTTGCTTGGTGTGAACACGAGCATGATTCCACGCCAGTTCTTGCAAAGGCTTAGTTCTCCCTTCTTTGGGAGCTTGACAATAGACAGCCGGGTACCTTTTTTCCTTCCGGACCTTCTGCAGTAGTGGTGTCAACATGTCCAACGTTGTCTCTGAGTCAGTTCTCAGTGCTTCTGGTGGAATTCCATTTGGTCCTGCTGCTTTCTCGAATTTCAACAGTTTTATTACATTCAGGACTTCTGGTTTTGTCGGAGGGCTTGTGTTCACTGGTAATACTGTGACTCGGCTGCTGGTAGTATTTCTATAAGAGTTGCAGGTGGTGGTCGGTTCAAGAGCTTTCTGAAGTGGTCAGCTCATTGTTTCCTTTGTTTCTCCTTTTTGGTAACTAGGTTCCTTTCACTATCTCTCATCGCTTTCATCTGTTCTGATCTCTTCCCGGATTGTAACCTGGTTGTTTTTATATAATGTTGTCAGGTCTCTCCTATCTACAGCCTGTTCTGCTTCACCTGCCAGTGTGTCATAGAAGTGTCTTTTGTCTTTGCGCGCACTTATTCACTTCTTTGTCCAGTGTTTTATACGTTGTGTTCAGTTCCTCTTCTCGTTGTTCATCCTTGCACTGGTCCATCTCCTACTTCACCATCTTTATCTCCCTGCTCTTTCAGCTTCCATGTGTCCATGGAGATCTATTCCTTATTTTCTTTCCTCTTCCTTCCTAATACAGTTATGCAGGTTTCTTTCCACATCTCTTTCAGTGTTCTTCCACACAGGTTTCTTCAGGGATGTTCCTCCATATCTCCCATTTTGTTCTGATGGCTGACGTGAAGATTTCCTTTGTAGTTTCGTCCATCATTAAGTTTCTGTTCTGGGTGTTGAACTTGAACTGTGGTCTGTCACCAGCTTCTTTAAAGGCTTTTAACTTGATTTGGAAAGTTCCTTGCACTAGATAGTGAGTGGTGTAAACCTACATCTGCTCCCCTTCTTGACCTTGTGCCAAGTAGGCTGCATCTCCACTTTCTTCACATTGTGATGAAGTCGATCTGATTTTTAGTGTGTCCATCTGGTGAAGTCCATGTCGCTTTGTGGATATGCTTGTGCTTGAACACAATGCCTCCAATCACCAAATCATTGAATGCACAGAAATCTGCAAACAGTTCTCCATTCTCGTTGAATCTTGCTGTCATGATTCTGCAGGAGGTGATCGGTTCCCACTGCATGAGAGAGAGGCTTCGGTGCTGTTGGGGACATCATGTTAGCCACTCCGAAACTCAGTGTGCTCATGGTTGTCATCTGGGTGACAATATCGGAGTAGATTATTGACTCCTCTTTAGTTGACGGTTTGGAGAGTCCACTTCCATTCTATCTGCTTTTGCAGAATCCTAGCACTTCTATGCTATACATTCTCATCTCTTTTGCAATTTGGGCAGCCTTGTTAGGTTTATACATGGTGCGGGCATTTCATGTCCCCATCTTGACTTTTGCTGTCATCGAGAGAAGACGCATTGGCCAATTGGCTTCCCGAAGGCTTTCACCAACTGGCGTCATTTCGCCTCTCCGATTCCAGCGAGGAATAAATTTGTTTTTATTTTTTATATTTTTTTTGTGCTTTGGGGCTTCTTTTGCGATTGGATGGGTTTCCCGGTGTAGGGTTGCTAGTCCTATGCCTGACCTTCCTTCTTTATCTGGGCTTAGGGCCGGCTAGTAACTAGTGAACTGGTCACCTAGGGAGGTTATCCAAACCACGTGTTTTATTATTATCCTGAGAGAAGTTGAGCACTTTGACTGATTTAATCAGTATAAGAGTTTATTTTAATGTAGTCACAGAGTGCTTAGAAAATCAGAACAAAATATTTTGGGACGTTTCGCTGCATAAACCACAGCTTCTTCAACAGAATATACTGATTTTTATTAACATAGAAATATATGGAAATGAAATACATTTGTAAAATCTTAATGAAGTAGAAAAATAAATTTCTGACCCTTCGCGACTTCGTGGAAATCGCTTCCTCAGACAGTAAAACGTCCAGAAGTTATCGACTATTTAAATTGTATGTGGTAATGAATCAGATCACGTTGTCTATACATGAGCATATCTTTGTTATGTTGACCAATATAACATAATTGGAGCTAATTCGATGCTTCTTAAAGGCTTTCTGGACCAATTGTAATTTAGCCCTTTCTTCAATAATATCATTTCATGCTCATTTAGATGCTTGGTGGATAAATTAGATATCACTCTTGTTTCGCTTTATTCGGTTTTTTTACTATCTGATTTCGATTTGTCCGGGTTGATTAGATGCTCGAATTTTCGAATATATCTTTTTTTAATACTTTGGAAATATTTTGATTTTCATTCCTGACATAATTTCGTTATTTTGAAAGCTGATTGTGAAGAATGAATATTATTAAGACCGTCTTCAATCTTCTTAATTGCAACTACGGTATTGTTCTAAAAGCAATGAACACTTATGTGGTCTCTCATATAGAAAGTTCGAGATACAACGTTAGCTCCTTTTAATAAACAAGGTGAAATCTCCGGTAGTTTTCTGAGAAACGAATTAGGTATGATATTATTATGCAAACATCGAACGTTAAATATATGATGATTATAACAATTTGACTAACATTTTGGTAGTTTAAACCAAATTTTAATAAGATTATAAATTTCGGGGAGTTGTGGAGACTTGGAAATATTTCAAGTTGTTATTCATCGTAGACTGACATCAGTTGGAGGAACAATGGAAACCTGGGAGCACTGGACAGCTGTTTCTTCCTAGTATGGGACTCCTCAGCAGTGCGCACCCACGACCCTGCCAGAGATCGAACCAATGACCTTCAGGTTCCGCGGCCAGCACGTTACCATTGAGCCACTGGGTCAGAATCCAATGCTCCATATTTTCAACTTCTGTTAGCTCACGATATAGCGCAACCGCCACCCAGTGTTATCGTTGAGTATCTGTCTTCATGGCCATCAGGCTTTGACTCTACCGGTCACGACTCAATGGCTCAATGGTAACGTGCTGGCCGCGGAACCTGAAGGTCGCGGGTTCCATCACTGGCAGGATGGGGTCGTGGGTGCGCATTGCTGAGGAGTCCCATACCAGGGCGAAACAGCTGTCCAGTGCTCCCAGGTTTTCTTTATTCCTCCAACTGATGTCAGTCTACGATGAATAACAACTTGAAAGATTATAAATATCCAGACCATAGTTGTAACGAAGTTGAGAGCCAAGTCTTTCGTAAGAATATATTTCAATATAATCTCAGGGTGTTTAGAAAACCGGAACAAGATATTTCTGAACGTTTCTCTGTATGAGTCACAGCTTCTTCAGTAGAATATCTGGAACCAGTTTCACCGCTTATACCGAAAGAAGAAGGGCATTCAATACGTCATAAAGTCGGAACTATCATATTGAATCAGAAGTCTGTTGCTTCTAACTTAATGAAAGCAGAACAAGAAGCATTAGAACTCAAATATCTGAGAAATCAATAGTCATAACGAAAAAAGCCACGGTCGTGCTAAACAAAGGAGACTATGAAAACGAAGCGCTGAAACATTGGGGAACTTGACCACATGAGCATATCTCAAGCAATAAAAAATTCAAACACATTCAGTAAAATGAAAGCTGAAGCATGTAAATTACTGAGGGAAATGAAACTCAAAACTGGAAATCCAACATGGTTTTCATTAGCTCCTAAGACGAACATAGCCGCTAGATTCTATGGTAGACCGAAAATCCACAAAACAGGGATTCCCCTAAGACCAATTATTGACTTTACAAATTTGATAACCTATCATCTGTCGTAATATTTACAAAGAATTTTGAAACTATTCCAATGTGACATTTCTTCAAATATTAATGCACAGGATTTTCAAAATAAACACTATTAAAGATGACCGTAGGAGATGAAATTATGACAATTTTTGATGTGATTCCTCTGTTCATTAGTGTACCAATGTGTGAATGTCTAGATATTGTGAGAAATACTATTATTGATGATCAAGATGTAATATCTGAATCTCCACTTTCAACAAAAGATATTATAAAATCGTTGAAGCTATGCTTAGAATCTACATATTTCATATTTACGTACAGAATGCACTGTCAGTCTAATGGAGTTTCGATGGGTTCACCAGCATCTCCAATAATTGTTGCAAATCTCTATATGAAAGCTTAGGAAGGAAGAGCTTTATGAAGTGTCCAATGGCATCTCAGAACATTGTACAGATATGTGAATGACACATTTTTCATTCTTAAGAAAGTAAACCAATAGAAATTTTTAAGACATATAAATCCTATTTCAGATTCCATTAAATTCACTAGTGAAGTAGAATCCGAGGATGGGACTCTAAACTTTTTAGATTGTCTCATCCGAAGAACAACCGAAGGTAAATTCAAAATGAAAATATGCAGAAAACTAATACATTCCAATAAATATGTAACCTTCCCATTGGATCTTCCAACTAACATATACGCTAATGTCGTATTGAATTCATTAAACAGAGCAAAAATCATTATCACCGATCCTGATGATTTGGAAAATGAAATCTCCACAATATAAAGGATATTTCAATGGAAAATAAATACTCTGAAGGCTTTGGCTTAGACAGCAAAACGTGCAGAAGTATCTTGTTTAAATTTTCGAAACACTGGGATTATATCAAGATATATTCTTATAATGATATTAACTCTGTGCCAAAAAAATTGAAATATCATACTGGTAATATGATCATATGTGAAATGATATACAGTAGCATTGAGTAGTGACTAATCCTTGCAATATCATATTACACTCTACGGAAAGGATGGAAAATTTGACAAAGAAGGAGAACAATTTACATATCGAACAACTGTTCATATTTCTATGTTTACGTTTCAAGTAAATATGGTATAAACTTGATTTATTTTGTTCCCTCAACTTCGTCACACCGTAGCATAATCAAACAAAAGTGAGTGTAAGATGAGGAAGCCTTCAGATCAACAGCTATCAATTTTTTATATCAATTTTCACTGAAACTTTACCATCAGATTATCACTTTTTATAACTGGTCATAAAGCATTCACGAGTGAGGGTAAATTTCAAATTTATGAGTTTCAGTCTAATAATTTAACTGATATTCACTAGGTATAGGTGTTTTTTTTAATGTTACGGATAATATGACAAATTGATTTCTTAATCTAAATCTTCTTTATAGCCAAAGAAGAAAATCAAGCGCAAATCACGGACGTTGAATGCAAAACGAGACGAAAAAATCAAGTCAATCAATAAGAAGGTAACTTGATCAAAATTCACCTTATGTAACTTCAACCTCCTATTTTACTAAAGATGCACTTATACACTAAGTAGAAAGATGTAATTATTTTTTCTAACGGTCAATGATTGTTTTCGATATCAGATTATCAGTAATTTCGACTGCTTAACTTATTTGATCCCCTACAGCTTACTTACTGTGTTGACTACTGCAACAGTTTGTACTATCAATTTCGTATATCCGTCTACGCTTTGCTCAGACGTTCAAGATGGACAATAGTTTACACATATGGAACGATTTTGAGGACATTTCTATTAACTACTGTAACAAAGAGTGAATCTGAATGTCACACTGGAACTCTTGGAGTAACGAATAGAGCTTGACTATTTCAGTTAGCAAGGTAGTTTCACAGAAAACAAATAAACCTAATTGGTAATATCAGAGGTTGCTGTAGTTGCCTTTAGAATCACTCGAAATAATGCACTAAGTTATGCGTTTGATGAAAAATTGATCGGCTATAAAGGTCACTCTAGCAAATACTGAAATAAGCAATTAAATTTAGCTATCCATGAAAAAAACTACTTTTCCATATGAAATGGGGGACTCTAATTGGTTATTTTGGTAATTGCTAAGGTAACCTCCAATATCAATCCCTAAAGACGAATTCCGGGGGGATGCCAACAAATCAAAAATGGTTTGTTAAAGTATGTGACAAGTTCTTATGGATTTAATACCCGATTCCAGTGCTAATAGACTAACATATCAGTTTCAGTTCCCCCTGGTTAAACTTATAAGGAAGCTACCAATCATCTTCAAACATGGATCAAAACCATTTTTAATGAATACTATTCTACCATGCAGATCACAATTTTTTGCATAAAACACAATGAAGCATTTTGTTTGGTTTTTCATAATCATTTGTCCGTACAAAATTTGTTTATCCCTATGGTTTAGGTCCATCGGTATTTGCGTGATCGTTGATAGTGTTTATGGGATAAGGCTGCCTGGTCCAACAATCGATGAGTCCTACTGATACATTAAAGAAATGAGACCATTTATTCACAATGGATTATTTGGTTGTTTCTACCTTGAATGCCATACACGTCAGACGCTTGTATAAACTTTCCTGTTTCAAAAATGCTACTTTCTTACCGAATATTAAACTTTCGAGAAATATCAAGTTGAGGGAAAGCTCACCAATTAACTTTAGTTGAATTCTCATGATTTACCCGTAAGTGGACCAGAGATATACTTTGAATTAGGAAAAATAACTACAGCTGTACTCAATCAGTTCATAAATGAAGTGGAAATTGACCAATTTACTACGAGTAGTACTGAACAATTTTGGTTATACATTATCTGATCACAATGGCGTTGATATTATGCATGCCTAATATGCGTTCCAGAAACATAAATTTAATGGCAGGAGTGAGCAGCAAAACGGTTTACTGTTCAGAAAATATTATTTAGCTTTACAGCTGAACAAAATTCACCTTAAAAGTAACCGAAGAGAATAATGGTACACTTTCCTATCTCTTGCAAAGTTTCGTTCCGGCATATGAATAAGAAAACCTTAGTTGGATATCTCTAAATTGCTTTCTGGAGATCACGTAGTTATTGATGTAATTCACTTTACCTTTAAAATATACTGACAAAATCGATTTGCACATTACCTGTAGTTAATAAGTTGAAGAAAGACCCCTCGAAATTGATTTAATTGTTGTCGTTTACGGTAACCAACTCTTCATGGCATAAGTTCATAGGGCCTACGGTTGGTGGTTTGAGCCGTTTGGCGAAGTGTAGACCTCTCGTTTGCGTTCCACATAACATACAAAACCGATAGTTGGAGACATTTTATGATATGGACCAGAATTAATCTCAGTGCCACAGAGTCTTGTAAGCCAGTTTTCATCTAAACAGAGCTTTCGATGACATTCTAGTCACTTACTGCGATTTGAAGGTCGATCAGTTCGCAGCAACTGCTTCTGTATGATGATATTATTTTGCATTCCCGTTTTATATCTCTCAACTGTTTCTAAGCTTTCGATTTCTCTTCGAGTATGGAGTAGCCTTTGAATAACGCATTTAAAAGGAAAAAACTTAGAGGAACAAATCCTATTTTTATTTATGTGCTTCATTGTTTATTTGGGATCATTTTCCAGCTGTTTCCAACACAAAAACTTATTTGTATTTTGAACACATAAAGGTGGTTTCAATTTTTTTATGGCTATGGCTTCCGCAGATCTCGGTATACGTCCTCGACTGTCTGTTCCTATATAAAACTTTGAAAGCTGTCTGAACATTAATTTTGTGACCTGTTTCTATGATATGTCTAGCTATAGATGAAGAGGGTCGTCTCCCACCAGCGTTTATTACCGTTTCACACTCTATTTATTTTTAAAGCCATTTAGGTGGGTGTTCTCCCACCCTCAACTGCATGACTCGATTACTCCTCCCTATGTATGTGGAACCACACACACATGTATATTGGTAAACACGATGGAATGTGACGTAATCATTGATGCAGTGTTTAGGCTTGTGGTGAAGCATGTGTTTGTTTTCTCCACAATGGTAAGGTTAGCTGCGTAGTATGTTTTCCTAATGGTTGATGTTAGCCTGCATCTTAAAATGATACTATTCAACCCCCGTCTGTATGGTGGAGTGGTATGGACGCTTTCCTTGGGAACCGTGTATAGAGTTGGCTTCGGTGTTACTTGACCTCTACAACTGTTTATAAACTTCAACGGGTATCCGTTTTCCACAAGCGTTTTGGTCAATGATTTGATATCTTCATCCATCGTACCTGATGTACTGATACGACAGATCCCAATAAGCGGGCATTTTACTTGATCTCGCTTGTATTGGATTGGATAAGAACTGTGTAAATTCAGGTATTGTCCTGTCCATGTAGGCTTTCTTTAAACTGACCGTCTTATTGAACCATCTTCTCATCGACTCAGGAGTACGTCTAAGAATAGCAGATGATTGTTATTCTCTTAATCACAAGTCAGGTTGATGTACATTTGTACGGTGTTAAGTCTTTTTAGTAGATAAGCCATATCTTCATGCCTCTCACAAACTATTTTGATGTCACCAGCATATCACTTATAAAGAGAAACTTTAGCGATGAGATCACCAGCCAGATTTTCGATTTATAAATATCAGCTAGTAATGGTCCTAAGGGACTACTCAGAGCTATACCGTCAACTTGCCGAAGGCGTTCGCCCTCAAATATGAAGTGGACTTTGTCGGTACACAGCAATAATGGCTCCCTAAGAAAGATTGAAGTCATAGGAAATGGGACGTTTCTAGGAAGATATGTAATCATAGAGAATGTTAACAGTGTAGGACAACAGCACGTTAGTGAATAAAGAATTTACATCGAAAGTGTACATAATTTTTTTTGAAATATTCATGTTACTAAGACAGTCATCATGTTGAAAAGAATCGTTCAAGGAAAACCTTCAGAATTAGTTTCGAACTGTATTTAAAATTTTAGCAACCATCTCACCAGTTTGTGTGTGGGGGAACGACAAATAGACAGTACAGGGCGTAGAGGATTATTAGATTTATGAATCTTAAGCAATCCATATAAGTTTAGAAATCCGGATCCCACAAGTTTTAATGAGTTAAATTCCTCTTTGTTATTAGCATTCATATTCAAAAGCTTAACTAAATGAGCGGTTACTTTGGCTTCCAATTTTCTTTTGATGAAAAATCGGCTATGACTTTGCTTTCATCACTTAGGATGGATAAGATTTGATTGTTATAGTCAGATTTATTCATCACAACACTGCTTGATCCCTTATCTGATTTGAAAATGGTTATGGTTGATCTGTTCTGCAATTCTTTCAAAGATTTGAAGTACTGTGAACTCAAAATGCTTCTTTTTCTTGTTTCTAAAGTACAGAATTGATGAGCAATATCAACTAATTTAGCCTTTAGCCAACTTTAATTATCTGAAGACGTAGGATTAAGAGGACTGAATTGGTCATAGAGATTTTCAAACTGAGCATCATTATCCAACTGAGAAATTTGTGTACGTGTGTCTGTTAACCACTGAAAATCTGGGAGCACTGAACAGCTGTTTCATCCTGGTATGGGAATTCTCAAAAATGCGCACCCACGACCCCACCAGAGATCTTACCCGAAGAGTACGTTAAAACCTGGGGCCACTTGATCGGAATTCAATGGTGCACATTTTTCTACATCTATCAGCTCGCTATACAGTGGGACGTCTATCCAATCCCCCCGTTGAGCACGTATCCTCACGTCCGATTTGGTTTGTTTTTGTCATGTTATATTAAGTAAGCCTACTGAATAGGGATTATATTGTGGAGATGATTTGATCGCCTTCTATGAGTTTTACCTTTTTTCTAAAATACTGAAATCAGTTGATATGTTTATTTTATGTGTAAAACGCAGCCTTTTTAGTATCTTTTTTCTCATACATTTTTTTTCCTCTAATGTAATAATTTTTATGACACTGATTGAAACTCGTCGTGTTTCAAGTTTTAAACTGAGGAAAAGTATTCAACGATGATATTAGGTGATGGTCGCGCTATGTCGTGAACTGATAGAAGTTGGAAATATGAACCATTGGATTCCGACCCAGTGGCTCAACGGTAAGGTCCTAGGTTCGATCCGTAGTTGGGTGGGGTGGGGTCGTGAATACCCACTGCTGAGGAGCCCCATACTAGGGTGAAACAGCTGTCTAGTTCCCACAGATTTCCAAAGTTCCTCCAACTGATATCAGTCCATGATGAATTCAGACTCGAAATTATTAATCCAGTTTCATAGGTGAAGTCAACCCACTTCTTGTCTATAAACTTCAGCAAGATTATACCAACCTTCATGAAACTGATGTATTTAATTTATTGACGAGCATGCCAATGGTGCTTTCCAGTTAAGAATGAAGTAATTAACCTTTAAGTTGAATATAACAGTTTCTGGCACAACTATGTATGGTGAAGAATGAATAAAGTGTAATATCTAGGCACTTATATTGGATACACTTATACCACTTCAATCGTATAAATAAACAACTCCAATTTCAACTTATAAATGCTGATCAAGGAGAAGGTGGTATAAGGAAATGGTCTGGTAGACAATGCCTTAGTTTTGAAATTCTGTATACACCAATGTAGATAAAGTTTGAAAATCAACTTTCACTGACATCCAACTGTCATGTTCTCAATGGGATAAAATGTACATTCTGGTTACCCTTGTGACTCTCATATATACCGTTTCAACTATCTTACCTTAAATAACTGTGAATTTGAATGATTATAACTTAATTATTTGTTTTAGGAAGTGGGAACTACGAAGGAAGGAAGTATTGGTCATTGTGCGGTAAGTAAACTGTTATCTTGTTATTCCTCATCGTCCTCATTGTTTTCATTAGAAATGAAATTATTAAGAATGTTATTGTCCACAAGATCATTTATTTACTTTTTAGAGTGACTTAAAAACACGGCGATCTTGATTCAGTTATTTAGCCTCCGATACTTATGACAATGGTTACTTATTAACAAGCTAGATGAATCTCTCCGTATCAGAACTTAGAACTAAATTAAAACCTTGATTTTGCATCATTTATCGTTTTCATGAATGGTTACTATATAGATCTGAGGGTAATTTTTACCACAAATTGGACTAGGATTGGAAAATGTTGGAAATCAGATAGTATTGGTTATTTATTCCACTCTTGATTGAGATACCATAGCAGTGTGCACACAACTACATGTGATATCGAGCTCCGAACCTTGATGTCAACTAAAAATCACATTACGATAGAACCACTGATTTAAAATAATCAACTTACAGACTTTCGGTTCGATTGACTAATCTGTTTTATTATTAACAGGTTCCGGTTTCGCTATTATAAACAAAAGTCCTCAGAAAAGACTACTCAGATACCTTATGCACATTATTTTGGTATGTTATCTAATCCTAAAAGAACAATTTGTACATGAGTTTTTGATAACAAAGTTAATATCATGATAACATGTTGAATCAAAACCACCTACTACGTCAAGCCACTAACATTAACACAAAATTCTTCAATAAAATGGCAACGCCAAACAGAACCACTGTTTCTGGGGAAAATTAGAATTCATTCTTTTGGAATCAAATGCTTGTGAGTTATGACCAAGATAGATTGTCAAATAAGAAGCGGTGAGAAAGAAAGTCACTAAAAATCTAGTACAGCACCTCTGTTGAATAATATATATATATATATATAAAGTAGCAACCATCACAGAGTGAGATCAGCTGGACACTCTTTGAAAATCTGGGAGCACTGGACAGCTGTTTCACCCCAGTATGCGACTCCTCAACAGTATCCACCCACGGCCTTCAGACTCCATGGTGAACGCTCTAACCATCCAGACACTGGGTTGAAGTTCAGTGGTTCACGTTTTCTTACTTCTGTCAATCCATGACATTGCACTAGTATCACCCAAGGTTTTCAGTTGACATCCGTTTCCTTTCCGGCTGGTTGACTCCACAGTTCACAGCTTCTGATTGGAACTTTGGGATATCCATCTCAAAGCATGCCGCTAATGAGAACCACATAGTAATTTGGTTTGAGGTTAATGGGGATTTTATGGTTAACGTAGCGTTATATCGCAAATTGACAGGAGTGGGGAACTATGGACCACTGAACACTGACCCAGTGACTGACTGACTGACAAAATCAACGTAAAACCTTGTACATAGATGCATCGTATCAACTTGTCACATTTCACAGTAGTAGACAAACAATATTTTATTATTATTATTATTAGTCCCTTGGGTTCCTAGTGGAACATAGGGCTTCAGTAGCACGCCTCCAGTGACCTCTGTTCTCTGAGATCTTTTGAACCTGGTTCCACGACAGCCCAGAAGCTCTCATTTCCTCCTCGCACGACCTCCTCCATGTCACCCTCGGACGTCCAACTCGTCGCTTCCCATGGGGATTCCACTCGAGGGCCTGACGCGTGATGTCCTCAGTCGGCCTTCTCAGTGCATGGCCAATCCATCTCCACTTCTTCCTGCATATTTGTTGCGTGATAGGTTCTTGGTTGGTTCGTTCCCAGAGTTCCTTGTTGCTTATTTTTTCTGGCCATCTGATCTTCAGCAGCGAGCGTAAGCAGTTGTTGATGAATGTCTGTAGTTTATTGGAAATACCTTTCGTGACGCGCCAAGTCTCTGAGCCATACAAGAGCACTGACTTGACGTTGGTGTTGAAAATCCGTATCTTGTTCCAGATGCTGAGTGCAGAAGATCTCCACACTGGTTTCAGGCTAATGAACGCCTGTCTTGCTTTTCCGATTCTGACTTTGACGTCCTCGTCCGTCCCGCCTGTAGTTGAAACAGTGCTTCCTAGATAAGTGAAGGAGGTTACTTCCTTCAAGTTTCTCCCGTTGACGGTGATTGGAGTTTGTTGTTGTTGTTGATGGTGGTGGTGCGGTATCTTCATCACTTCTGTCTTCTCTATATTCACCTGAAGTCCCGTCTTAGCTGCCTCTTCTGTCAACTTGTTAGTTTTTGCCTGCAGATCTTCAAGTTTATGTGACATTAGGCATAAGTCATCGGCGAAATCCAAGTCTTCTAGGTTCTTTTCCGTCGTCCAGTGTATCCCCCTCTTCTCGCTGCCTACTGTTTGCTGCATGATCCAGTCCACCACAATAAGGAATATCATGGGGGATAGTAGGCAACCTTGTTTCACTCCTGTCTTCACTTCAAAGGCATCACTGAGCTTCCCATTGTGGATTACTTGGCATGTGGCATCTTCATATAGTTGTTGAATGAGGCGGATAAAGGTTTGCGGTACTCCGTAGTATTGAAGCAGTTTCCAAATTACTTCTCGGTCGACGCTGTCAAAGGCCTTCTCAAAGTCGATGAAGTTGAGGTATAGAGCTGATTGCCATTCTACGCTCTGTTCTATGATGATACGAAGTGTTGCAATTTGGTCCGCACATGATTTGTACTTCCTGAAGCCTGCCTGTTCCGGTCGCAGTTTTGAATCCAGTGCGTCTTTAAGCCTCTCCAGGATGATGCGGCTTAATATTTTACTTGGGGTGGACAGGAGAGTGATTCCGCGCCAGTTCTTGCAAGCACTGAGGTCTCCCTTCTTCGGCAGTTTGACAAGGTAACCCTTCTTCCAATCGTCCGGTACCTTCTCTTCCTTCCACACCTTCTGCAATAGTGGTGTGAGCATGTCCGCTGTTGTCTCTGCATCTGTTCTCAGTGCTTCTGGCGGTATTCCATCTGGTCCTGCTGCTTTCCCGCATTTCAGTAGCTTTATGGCGTTCAGGACTTCCATTTTCGTTGGGGGATTTATGTTCACTTGTAATTCAGCGGCTGCAGGTGGTATTTCTGGACGAAGTGCAGGTGGTGGTCGATTCAAGAGCTTCTTGAAGTGGTCGGCCCATCGTTTCCTCTGTTTCTCTTCTTTTGTAATTAAATTTCCTTCTTCATCTTTTATTGGTTTCATCTGTGTTGGTCTCTTCCCTGATAGCAACCTGGTTATTTGATACAATGTCGTCAGGTCTCTCTTACCTGCAGCCTGTTCTGCTTCACTTGCCAGTGTTTCGTAGAAGTGTCTTTTGTCTTTGCGTGCACTCTTCTTCACTTCTTTGTCCAGTGTTTTATACATTGTGCTCAGTTCCTCTTGTCGTTGAGCATCCTTGCACTGGTTTATCTTCTGCTTCACCATCCTCCTCTCCTCTATCAGCTTCCAGGTATCCGTCGAGATCCATTCCTTGTCTTCTTTCTTCTTCCTTCCTAATACTGTTGTGCAGGTTTCTTTCCACATAGCTTTCAAAGACTTCCAGTGTTCTTCCACACAGGTTTCTTCAGGGATGTCCCTCGATGTCTCCCATTTTGTCTTGATGGCTGCCTTGAAGATCTCCTTTGTAGTTTCATCCTTCAGTTTCCGAGTGTTGTACTTGAATTGAGGTCTATCACCAGCTTCCTTGAAGGCTTTTAACTTGATTTGGAAGGTTCCTTGCACTAGATAGTGGTCTGAACCTACATCTGCTCCTCTTCTTGACCTTGTGTTAAGTAGACTGCGTCTCCATTTTCTTGAGATTGAGATAAAGTCGATTTGATTTTTAGTGTGTCCATCTGGTGAAATCCATGTCGCTTTGTGGATATCTTTGTGCCTGAACACACTGCCTCCAATCACCAAATCGTTGAATGCGCAGAATTCTGCAAACAATTCTCCATTCTCATTCATTTCACCTAGCGCCTCTCGACCCATGGTTAGTTCTCTTCGTGTGTTGTCCCCTCCCAGTTTGGCATTCATGTCGCCCATTAGAATTTTGATATCGCCAACTGACGTCTTGTCCAGTGTTGATTGAAGTTGTCTGTAGAATTCCTCCTTTTTCTCTTGCTCTGCATTATTTGTAGGTGCATAACATTGTATGATTGTGACCTTTCTTCCTTTTGAGTTGAATCTTGCTGTCATGATCCTGGAGGAGATTGGTTCCCACTGCATGAGAGCCTTCGATGCTCTTGAGGACATCATGATAGCCACTCCCTCAGTGTGCTCGTGGTTGGCGTCTGGGTGACCGGAGTAGATTATTGATTCTCCAGTTGACAGTTTGGAGAGTCCACTCCCATTCCATCTGCTTTCGCAAATCCCAAGCACTTCGATGTTATACCTTCTCATCTCCTTTGCAATCTGGGCTGCCTTACTGGGTTCAAACATCGTGCGGACATTCCATGTCCCCACGTTTACTTTCGCTTTCATCGAGAGAGAAGACACATCGGCCAATTGGCTTCCCGAAGGCTTTCACCAACTGGCGTCATTTCGCCTCTCCGATTCCAGCGGGGAATAAGTTTGTTTTCATTTTTTATATTTTGTTTGTGCTTTGAAGTTTCTTTAGCGGTTAGATTTGTTTTACGGGGTAGGGTTGCTAGCCCTATGCCCAACCTTCCCTCTTTACCCGGGCTTAGGACCGGCTAGTAACTAGTAAACTAGTTAACCAGGCGAGGTTAGACAAACAATAGGTGGATCGAAAAGGAGTGATATCATAGTAGTCAAAGTTGCGTGAGGGAACAAACAATCTGAAGACAATGGTTAGTGTGAATATTCAAGCTTTCGATATCAAGGAGTGAATAAATCTGCTCCGTTGTGACCGATTTTCAGCCATGTCGCCAAGTGTACTCAACCACTGGTTCCTTCCGTCTCGGGGATCCTAAACATGGAGTTGACATTTTCACACTCGGCTCAGATCAACAATAAGGGTCTTCATCAACTTCAACTTCTCCCAGCATGATACGTCGAGGTAAGCGGTGACTTTGCATGCCCAGTACATGTCCAAGGCATCTCAGTCGACTAACATTCAAAACCTCATCAATCGATTTGCTGTCTTGTTTAGTACTTTCCGTCTGGCCACAAAATTGCTCACATGGTTACTCCACACAAAGCAAGCAGTGCTATAAAGACACCTAAAGTCGAAAAACTATAACTTTTTCATGTCTCATACTTTTAATGACCTTACTGCACAGCCTTAAAACGAGACAAAACTGACTGCAGCTCAGTTTACTCATATTCTGATAGATCCCCGGATATCTCGCCGACGCCACAGGTTACGTAAGTTGGCAAGTATCAAATGGGCCTTCTGTATCCGGGCTAAGGTTTTGTCAGTAATCAGCCCGTTCGTGTTGATGTAACTCCTCAAGTAAGTACTGACCCAGTAGTTGAATGGTTAATACACTCACGGTGAGACCTGAAGGTTCTGTGTTCGACCTCTAGCTGGGCCATGCGTGCGTACTGCTGGGAAGTCCTGTACTGGGACGAAATGCCTGTCCAGTGCCCTTAAGTTGTCAATGGTTCTACAAGTGATGTCAGCCCACGATGAAAGCCACCATGAAGAGGAAATCCCCATTAACCTCAGCAATATATATATATATATATATATATATATATGTATAACTTTCATGGCATTTATTCTACTTAAAAAGTGACCTCAAGATACAAATAGGTGTGATTTGTAGCTGAATAGTGGGGATTTTTACGACACCACCATATCATGGATTACCGAAACTTTGCAATTTATCTTTCAATACATGTTAAGCGACTAAGACTTAAGATGTATGAGCAGAATTCGATCACTGTGGTAAAGTGTAACTTTGTAATAAAAAAGTCCATTTAACGTCCCATACAGTGAAACAGTACTGTTTACTGGATGTGATCTGATGATAAGAGATGAGTTGTGCTCGAAATGCCATCTAGTAAATAAAAGTGTTTCATTATTTACCATATCGAAAGCAACATAATTGCTTGAAATGGAGTCAAGAAGCTAGATATCCATTTATTGACGCATATATATTTTACTTTGGAAATTTATTCAGCCTTTTCTACATCGCTTCACTACATTGTTACGCGACAAAGTTTGTCCTGTTTGTGGTACTTATGTAAGTTAAACTTAACCCTAACAGATTTCGGATTGTGTGCAATTTAGTAATCCCTGGGTGTTGCTCTTCTGACGCTTCAATTTTAATATCGTTTGTAATCAGTTGATATCTACAGATGATTTTCTTAGCCTAACACTAAAGTAGCACCATAACTGTTTGTTCACTTTCATTTGTAATTATTTCAAAATTATGCTAAACGCATCAAACTTTTTGTATTCTCATGTTTGTGCATAAATCATTTTCGTTAGATAAGGTATGTTTAAAATTTTTCCACCTCCGATATTTTTTCATAGCAGAACATTTAGTGATCAGTGGTTTGTATGGAAAAAATATTTTTTGAATGCATAAATTAATGACACTACGATTTAGACACTGTCTGATTATATTACTTTAAAAATATTTCAGTAGGTCATAGAAATGCTGAAAATTGTTGTGTGGTGTGAAACTTCATTATTCTACACGTTTTTAGCGATATCTAATGCTCACAAGAAAAAGCGTACTGTGAAGTATTTTGGTCTACATCATGCTACAACGTATCATTATATCTCTTTACAAGTTGTGTGTGCTTTTTATGAAGAAAGATGTTAGTTGATTGAAACCAATCGGTAGGAAGCCCTGGGCCTAGGTTTCGTGCTTGCTGACACTCGTCAGCAAGGAGTATCTATAACCTCAACGGAACTGATATCTCACCTGAGATTTGAAAACGGATCACCCAGTGTTGTAGTCGGGAACTTTACCACTGAGCTATTTGGGCTGCGACTGACCTTTTGTAGGCCTAGGTTACATACATTGATTGGTCACAGGAAAGCAACCAATTTCATGTTGTTTAGTCCTGAGTCCAGACCGAATCCTGTCGATCATATTTGCGTTGCTGAGCATTCTAACTTGGTAGCCACATTACAAATATGATCGACAATTCGGTCTGCACTCAGTACCAGACGACACGAAATAGTTGCTCTCCTATGGCCAATCAATACAATACAGAGAAAGAGTTTGAGTGCAACAGTACATGTAGCAGCATGTACATATCATATACGTGTTTAAACAAATGAGGAAAGGTTTACTAGAGGAAAAAGTATATAGCCCAAAGCTTTAATCAGACCACTACTTGTAGATTAATCTTAGTTCAAAATCTGGAACTTTTCTCACTAGATTTGATTCTAACTTATCGTGGAATAAAAACTATACCCTGATAAGAAAGCAGTTCATCAGGAGTGACAGCTGCTGGTTCCTGGAAGTGAATATTAAATTTCCGTTGAAATTTTTTCCAGTTGTGGTGTTGTATTTCAACTACTATTGTAGGTTAAAACTGATGGAATATAAGAACACTGTGAATGTAGAATATCATTTTCATGCTGCGTATTTGTACAGTTTGTTGTTTACAATCTAACTTTAATCCGATTGGGTGAAAACTTTGACTCTAGCAGTGAATAAAACGTTTGTATTGTTACTAAACTAAACGTTTGCTAATCACTTAATTTCCATTATATTTAGACGGTACTCATCAGATTGAGATAACTGCATGTGAACCCTAGATGTTGCAAATATAAGTAGGAAAAAATCTTCAAACAGATTTCTGTTGTTATGCTATTTTTGACATATTTATTATGTAAGTCTTATTGTTTATTTGGCATTCTTGTATTCTGTCAATACATTCAATTCAAGCAGTAAGTATTCAGTTTACATGAAATGATGCATTTTAAGGGACGCTATCCAGAAAATTAATGTAAAATCATATGGAAACAGGTAACCTTTATATTTGATTCTTTCAGGCATGTCAGAAAGGTTTGAAGGTAGTTGAAGAGTCTCTTAAAATGAGAAAACAAACGCATGAGAAGTCTGAATCAAAAAAGCATTTCAAGTAAGATTTAATATGGCAAACAAAATAATTCCTTTTGCGTTATTTCATTTAGATATGCTGTTAACGAAGAGGGTTATGTTGTTCAACTCAGACATTGATTAATATTCTTCGTTAAAAACTATACATCCTGACTTAAAGATTTTGTTGATCAATTCACAGCCATCTAAACACCACATCACCATACAAAAATTGATTACTGAACGAAAAAACAACATCTGATATTATTTTGTTCATAAGCCGGGAAATTTGTTTCAGTTATTACTCCATAGTTTTTGACGATCTCACCTCATCTACGTAGAGTGAAAAATTCATGTACAGGCTGTTGCTTTAAGTCTCTTGGAATTTCCTCATTTTCATATACATCATACCTATATGCAGCTGAAAAAATGCTTTGGAACAGTTCTCTTCGCTTCTTATGTCAGTTAACTTTGTTTCAAGGGTTCTTATTAGTTGTTCACAAGTTGAAACAGAATCTACATGTTAGTATATCAAGAAGTTTAGAATTTGTAATCTGGTACAACAGTAAACTCTTCACCCGAAGGGCAAAAGATATGACTGTTTAAGAATCACAAGTTATACAAATTAGTAGTTGAATGTATGCGGATGATTTAGAAGGGTTTTTCCTTATTACTTGAATGCTACTACTACACAAAAATTTAAAGCGAATGAGTGTAACTGAATAACGCAAATGAGCTCACTGTTGATTATGACCATTTAAGCGATATCAAGTTTTGGCAGTGAATCCTATACAAACAAGACAAGTCAGTTGGCGAGATTATGAATCTTGCCGGTTATTGTGTCTTGAACATGAGGTGTGCGTTCTGAACGGTTGCTTATTTCAGTGCGTTATATTAGCCGAAATATGTCTAAGTTCGAAGAAGGCCAGCAGTGACTATAAAATGAAGTGGTACTGACTTATAAGTTCTGTAACTTTTGGTCTCAGCAGTGTGGGAAGGCGTAGGCTTTCTAGCAGGAGTCCTCAAGACTATAGGAATCAATGGTTACAAACTGTGACTGCAATGGCACAGGTGTTCACACTCTTTGCCATCTTTGGAGACTTGAATATATTTATTAAACTTAATCTATCCATACTTTTTTATCGATTTGACTGTCTAGTTTCTATACTCACTTCTTTTGTGAACGATACTGTTAAGTGTGGCAATACACATTGGTGTACTTCTCTTCAAGACTACACATTGATTTGTCTTTCATTCCTCAACTAAATATGAGGTAGGAAGTAACTGCCGGTTGTTAGAAACGTAATCAACTCCAAGATTAAGATACCTAAAGAAAAGACTATTTATCTCGTTTTCTCTGTATATTAATGACTTTTCGGTAAACAAAGTTTACCTATCCCAAATTATTTTATTGGATAATTTAGTAGAAAGTAAAATTCGAGGAATTATTTGCAGAATAATCTGTATGTCTATATGTCAAAGTTTACATTTATGATGGACACACACAGGTCAATAAGTGGCATATCTTCAGGTCTAAATGGTCAATTTAGCATTTACTGCATTACTTTAAATAATTCTAATAGTATACCATAGTAGGGCCTATGTACGTCGTTAAACATTTGACACTAAGATATTTGTATTTCACTCTTAGTTATTTAAGACTTTCTTAAGATTGGTTCAATTTAGCCATTTACTCAAGGATTAACTTATATAATGTCCTAAACTGCCTCCTGTCATCCAGTAATCTATTGTAGCTTTAGACTAGTTCATACAGTTCAAGTCAGTGACCACAGGATACCAAACGTTTATATACAGTATTCAGAAAATTCTGTACCTAGAACTCTCGCTGACTTACACTTTTTTCAACGGCTTTATTTAGGACTGTGGTAAAAAGTGTATTGTTTGTCTTTAAAATGGTTATTAGCAAAGCCGAGAGTTTGAACTGTTGCTCCTGGACTATATATATTACAAGTGGTCTATGCGTATATGAATGATATAGTGAATTTGCTAGCTGGTGATGATGATGACTACTGGAATACCGATCCATTTAGTTTTTTCATTGTAAATCTGACTGGGAGATATAAAATAATCCTTTTTAAGTAGTACATCAATTACAATAGAGAATTACAACTAAATTTTATAATGAAGTAAGTTATCCTTCAGTAATATTAACAGTTTTCATTTCAGCCAACCCAGATGTAATCTTGAGGCAATAAATATCCTTCTTAACAATGATCTATGTTTTAAGATGTGCATGAAAATTAATTCACAAACCTAAAATGAATTGTTTCCCCAATTTCGAATGGCATACTTTGAGTTCACTAGAAAGACCCGCAAATCAATCAAGTAAAATGTCATGAGTTTACTGATATCACAACATAATTGAAACGATGATACAGTGAAGTTACTAGTCGTTGTAATAATCAATTTACACTTGTTATGTCGATGACAGTTTGGAAGTGAAAAATTGGGTGAACTATGAAACACGATCACCCTCATTAACCAAACCTTGGGATATTTTCTACTTGGAAACGTTATGCATATGATTGCACAAAATCACACAACAGGATGCAACTAACCTAGTTAGGTGAAACGAGAAAATGATAACGGAATGTCCGTTTATCGAAACTACACCGAATACGTGCTGCGAGAATGATTCAGTATGTGATTCAAATATATAGAAAATTTTGATATGCATATCATAAAGGAGCAGAGAGAATAAGAACCATGAATATGAACAACGAATTGTGTCCACAACATAGTCCAGCATATAAGACTATTTCACTGTGTGAAACAGAGTAAAATGGAATTAAAACCCAATCACAGTGCCAAAAGCTTAACTTGTCTATAAATTAAGAAACGAAGGTAATAAAATGGCGTTGCCAGGCTTCATTGTCAAATAAACTACATTACGGAACCATTTATACTCAGGTATTATGAAAAAGTGGCATACAGTTCAAAATTTCAACTTTAAAAATTACAAACCAATATCTTATAAAAGATTTCGTGTACGCGTTTTATTTGAGCGTGTCAGGATTCATCTTAGCACCCAGAATAAAACTAACTTCATAAAGTGTTAGGCAATTCCCTTTTTTAACAGGCATGAATATTCCTATTTAATCATATAATAGTAATCATAATAATAATAATAATCACTTTCTTCTAGACAATAAATTTAAGTACAGTTTGGAATTCTCTGTGTGATTTTTCAACAAATTTACTTCTTGTGCAATATTTTCGAATTAAAAAACCATGGCAGTTAAATAATGTTAATAATAACAGTATGATAGGCAGTGATGCACAGAAACCAGTATTTTTTGGTTCATCACATACTTTACATGTTATTGTACAGGGTTTAGATAGTAAAGCTCACGTACGTTTCTTGGTGAAGGTTCACTCATCCAGTCTGAAAGTTTGCTTTTCTGGCTACATATTCTTATAACAGCTGTGTGATACGCTGTTTTGCGTTCACGGGCCAACTGGCATCTACTGTGATACTATCTCATAGTCTTTTTGTTAACTCATCTATCGATAAACTGAAGACATTTCAAGGGCAACCGAGAGGATTTTTTAAGTTTTATTGACATTTGAGTGCTTAAGACAAGTAAAACAGGAACACTTTGATGAAATATTTTTCTAAGCGGCAGCCTGCCTACACCTTTGGTTACCAAAATTATCCACCGAACATTTTTTTACCAAGCTCTTTCCTTTCAATTTTTCCTTTGAACGCATCATGTACTCTTGTACATTTTTAATCTGTTTTCAACTCTCCATTTCTCTAGTTCTTCACAAGAAGAGGAAAAATGTTAGGTTATATGGAAGTGAACTTTTCAGTGCACAAAGTACATTATATTTCTATCCGTTAGAGTTGCAGAGGTTTATACCGTCTGAATGAACCGCCACCAGTAAGATTACGCTTTCATTTCTGTTGGTTCTTTATTATGGACCGGACGTGCATGCAGAACCAGCTGCCTATTTCACACTATTGCCTTGAATACTTTTATTATTAACATCATTCCTATGCAATAACCGTTCCGTCTGACAGTATTGTTCTGGAAGTGAATTTCTTGAAAAATTACATGCTGAGAATTCCATACTGTCATACATATTGTTTGGAGTAAAGCGATTATTATTATTATTATTATTATTGATAGCAAAAAATTTAAATAAGCCACCACTAAAAGGGGAACGACTTCAATAAACAAATTTGCTTCCGGTCGTATCATTTTCAAAGACTGTATAATTGCATTCAAATATAGACATTTAATTAGATTCAAAACACGAATCCCTTTTTTGTGAATCAAGGGTATCTGAGAAAATGTGAACCGACTACTTTGTCAGTTCGACATTGACATGACATGTAGACCGGTTAATTCTCAACTGAATATCTTATTCAAATGGAATGATTCATTATGTAATGAAGATAGGGTGAGTACATTCTTCAGAAGTAGTTAAGAAGACTGTCAACATAACTACATTGACCAATCTGACAGTTGTTTTGTTCAAAAGAGTTACCAGCAGTATTCAGTAAGTAAGGTGTGTTGTATATTATCGCTCATATTTGTGTAGGCAAACACAAACACAACTTAAATTGGAGCTGTGTGGAAATACTAAATGACATGTAAGCTCGAAAGCTGCAAACATATTCCCTAAACCCCGGTACTTTACCATAAGGATAACCGATAGGCATGTGGAAATAAACTGAATATACAGATGACCACAAAGTCACCATGTAACTGAAAAAGAACCAAACAACTAGAGAATTTAACGTCTGATTAACAATAGGAGTAATATTGTGACACTGACAAGATCTCATTCTCGCACTATGAATTGATGAAAACTAAGGCCAGATAGTTTATTGTGCAATCGGAGAATCACCCCACCTAGGATTTAATAGCTCTCATTTTGATACATCTCATCCAAATATTGAGCTGTCTTCGGAATGTTTGAATTATTTTTGAACGTTTATACTGATCAAGCCAACTAGTATGGCGGCCAAATGTCCAAGGTCAACACTCAGAAAATACTAAAATTTCTACTGAATTTTGGATGTATATCTTACCTACTATTGTAAAGTCCATTTGTTATTTTTCGATGCGCACAGTCTGTTTAGCTAATAGTTGTGTACTTTTGTGTTGTACACGTACCAGGAGAGAAATAATCAGCTATGGAAACCTTTGGAAGGACAGCAAAGTGGTTATGTTTCAGATGGAGTCATTCCTCCAGGTAAAAATTGTACCATTTTACAACTAAATGCTGATAAGAATATAAGAGCAAGTAAATATTATTTATTCTCTTCATCTATAGTGTTTTTTTCTGACAAAGCAATCCAAAATTTAGCTTTTGTTCCATACTGGTTTTGTTCTTAAATGTATTATTTCGCATTGATTTACTGTAAACAGCTTCTGCATACAATTTGTTAAGTTGAGAAATCTTTGTGTAAAGAGGGAACAAGATATATAAGCGAATATTATTGTTTTCAATTAGATCCTCTTCTGGCTTTACTCTAATATAAAAGGCTGAATATATACAAACATTAAACCAAACATATAGATTTGTCGGTCAATGTGACAACTGATTTAAAATAATGATAGTGATGGTTTGAGGTTCTCATAAACATACCAAATGGTACTTGGCTTCGAATCCTTTAGACTACAGAAGCAGTAACAATCAGGGTCAAACAACTGGAGGTATGTATTCAGAACAACAAAAGTTGCCGCTACAACTACCGTGGCTCTATTCGGAACACACAAAACTATTTACATCCTACTCTGGATAATTTATTTTTTCACTTCCATACTGCAGATACCTCTTCACTCATAGTCTGAAATGAATTTAACCTATTTTGTCCCCCTACATCAGTAGTATTCTATCAACTTCTTATTACTCAAATTATCTTTCTTTGTTTATTTCATCCAGCTCTCATAAACAGCTTTCTATTATTTTATAAAACAGTCATCACCTCATAGCACTACTAACACAAACGATTATTTTGAGTTGAATCCCAGTAACAACTGATTCTATCATTAACGTTCACGCAAGACTTTTCTAAAGAAAATTCCACTAACCAATATCTTAATATCGTTGACGTGTAACTCCTAAATATGTACACATAACTGCAGAACCTGAAGAAGACGTTATCGAACAGAATATTCTCTGTTTACTCAAATGGCTTTTGAATTATAATGGAAATTTTTAATACTCATAACGTTGACAGTTATAATGACGCAGTTGTAATATACACGATAATGATGAGAAGAACCAAGAAAACACTATGAAAGTGTAGTCACCCTGATAATCAAAATAAGTCAAAAGCTTGGAAAAATACTAAAGCGGATGACTGAAGTCAAAAAGAATATGATAATTATCTGAAAGGGGTGAAGAATAAGAAATGGATAGGAAAAAATTCAATGATAACCTCAAAATACATTGATGTATAGTGCTCATTAGTAACATGCTTCCAGATGGATGCCACGAATTTTAATGAGAAGCTGTGACCTGAGGGGTCAACCAGTCGGAAGGTAAGCGGATGCCAAATGAAGATCTTGGGTGACAATCACTTCACATATCGTGAATTGACAGAAGTTGGAAACTGTAAACCACCGAACTCTGACCCAGCGTCTGAATGGTAAAAGCGTTCGTAGCGAAAGCTGAAGGTTCTGAGTTCGATCCATGACCTCGGTCGTGGATACGTACTTTTGAGAAGTCTCATACTGGGATGAAACAGCTGTCCAGTGATCTTCAGTTTTTAATGGTTCTCCAAATGATGTCAGTTCGTGATGAATGGTACCTTATAAAGTTATTTATTTATTATTCACTGACCAGTGGAAAGATAAGGGATGCATAAACTTCTGGACAAAAAGACTTAGATTAGTATCTGGAATTCACACAGCTGCTGCTATATGTGAAAGATGAGTTCGAATACTTTTTGATTATGTCCGTGTCTAAATCTTCATGCCACTTTCTTGGTTCTATATTACAACTGCCTTAGTCAACACTGTCATTATACCGGTCAACGTTATTATTATTGTCATTATTATTATCACTATCGTTATTTTTAAATCATTTATCACATTGACCAACAAATTTACATGACCGGTATAACGTTTATTTATATTTGGCCGTTTAGATTACAGTAAAGCCAGAAGAGAATCTAACTGAAAGCAATATTATTCTGTATTGATTGGTCACAGGAGTGCAGCCAATTTGATGTTGTCTAGCCCTGAGTGCAGACCGAATTTTATCGATCATATTTGCAATTTGACAACCAAGCTAGGAAGCCTAGCATTGTAGTGCACATTAGTAGACGATAGTTGGTTGGAGGCAATCGGTAGAAAGCCCTGAACCTAGGTTTCGTGCTTTTTGGCACTCGTCAGCCTCGATGGAACTGGTGTCCCGCCTGAGATTCGAACCCACGTCACCCAGCGTTGTAGTCAGCGACTTTACCACTGAGCTATTCGGGCCGTGAAACCTAGGTCCAGGGCTTCCTGCCGATTGCCTCCAACCAACTAACACAATATTATTCTGTTATACGGCTTACTCTAGTTTACATGATGGGAACTTCTAAAACCATTAAACGAAGAACAGCAAGCATCGTAGAATGGAGAAACTTCCTTTCATTTCATGTGCTCTAAATTCTCCGCATATTCAATTTGGATATGTAGCTTGATGGAATTATATGCTAAGTAGGTCAATAAAGTTCGATGATTAAAGTATTAATTTAGTTGTTAATTTATGTTACTTAATAGAATTGGATTACTTCGCATTTAATTTTGACGAGCTAAGTTGTATATAAAATTGGATGTTAGTGCATATGTGAAAGATTTAGAAAACATGAAATTAAATAAATTTGCTTCATTCAACAACTGATGTTTTTCCTACGTTGTAAATATTTTTCCCGGTTGGTGTTCATCACAGACTGACATCAATTAGAGAAGCATTGATAATCTAGGGGCACTGGGAAGCTGTTTCGTCTTAATATGGTACTTCTCAGCAGTGCACAGCCACGACTCCAGCGGGGATCAGACTCAGGACCTTCAGGTTCCCTGGCTAGAACTTTACCACTGAGCCACTGGGTCAGGATCCGGTGGTCCAGATTTCCAACTTCGGTCAGTTTACAATATACCATGACCTCCGTTCAGTACCGCAAGTGAGTAACTGTTCTCATGTTCCATTTGGTTGGTCTGACCAGTCATGAGTTCTTATAAGGACGTTTAGAATCACCTCTCGAAGATAATCATCAATGAGCACTAGATTCGTTCAACTGTGAGGTAAATGGTAATTATTTGGTAAATAATGCAATCTTTTGACGATAAGATTAAATATGAACTACATTACCGTGAATTTTGCACAGTTACAATTATTATGTTGTCATTCTTGTGGTAAAGTTCTAAAAAAAGCCTGAATTAAACTGCGAACAAACGATTGGATATGGTTTTGAAATAACTAGCACCAATATTATGAGAGGAATCTCAAACTCAAACGAAGTTAACCTTAGACGAAATTCAGTTTGAAGAGCTTGAAAATGATTGGTTCGGAAGTAATCTTTCAATTCATATGTCTGTAGAAGTAGTTAGAGCTCAACTAAACACTGATACTGAATTCATCCTGAACTACGCTACTTACTGAACAAATCATGTTGAAAATGTAGTTAGTGTTAAACTCTGAGGTTTTCAAGCTTCAAGATAAAATATATGCACAAACATTAGATGTAGCAATGGTACGCCTTTATCCCCATTAGTTGAAGGTATATATACTGGCACTTAGGAAAGTACTTCCCCAAGCATCTAATCCTATCGTGAAAGATATCTGGATGAGAAGATATGATTTAATCTCACGTTAGAAGATGAACAAAGAGAATAAGCAGGTTGTCGCCTGCGCGGTTGCCTCGATGTTGCCTCTTTCAATTATATATTAGTGATGTATAGTAGGTAACGGTGGGATCCAGGATACGCGTTCCATCCTATTGGGGACTTGTCAACTGGATATACCTGCCTGTCACTGGGCCGGTGTTCCCCTCGGGACTCCAACCAAGGATCGATGACTTCAAACGCCAGAGCGTTAGTCACTATCCCATTGAAGCACAATCGCCATTTTTTGTGCGATGATTATAGTTTATATGATGTTGCTTGTATTATCTCGTTGCTGACTGGACTGAATTGATTGGCATAAGGACTGATTTCTACGCATATACCTCGATATTACCTGTCGTTGCAATTTTGATATTAATGATGTTTGGTGGCTAGCAATGGAATCAAAAGTATGCCATTTATTTTAGTCTTACTCCTAATACCACTTGTAAATTTTGTCTTTTTTAAATATAAAAAAGAAGCCATTCCATTCAACAAATATTTTCATTCTTGCTTGCTTAAAAAATTATCAACAGAACAAAAAGTATATAATCCTGGGAGGTTTTATTGACCCTTCTGTAAATTGCCTCATAATTTGTTTTCGGTAAAGATCGATAAGAAAAGTTGCTGTCTCTTGTCTAAACAAATGCATAGCACTTTGTAATCTGCCTGCTTTGATAACTAGCAGGGAAATCAACAAAATTAACACAAATCCAGCATAATTTTCTTTCAATACAAAGGGATTACTCGGTAAAAGTTATTGGTCATTCGGATAACGAAGAACAATAAATGAAGACAATATCTGCAACTTAAATTTTGCTTGCATGCCACACCTCAACTATGTGGCTTATAATTGTCTGCATGACTCAGATCAAATGGTTATTTCCTTGTGGATTGTGATCGTGTATTCGCCTTGTAGATGGTGGACGGATAAACAGATAAGCTCCGAATCTGACGCCGGAGTGTGCTAGTTTAAGTTGTCACACCATCGTAGTATGCAGAAATAAGTAGATAAAAGATTATTATTATTTGTCCCCTGAGTTCCTAGTGGAACATAGGGCTTCAGTAACACGTCACCATTTCACTCTCTTCTCTGCAGTCTTTTGGACCTGGCTCCACGACTGCCCATCTTCTCGCTCCTCATAGCTGTTTCTTGTATGATCCAGTCCAGTCCATTATGATTTTAAAGATCATCAGAGATAGTAGGCAACCTTGTCTTGCTCTTGTCTCCACTTCAAAGGCATTACTGAGCTTCCCATTGTAGCGTTGAAGCAACTTCCTGCCAAATTACTTCTCGGTTGATGCTGTCGAAGGCCTTTTCAAAACCGATGAAGTTGAGGTGAACAGTTGACTGCCGTTCTATGCTGTATTCTATAATGATGTGCTGCGTTACGTTGCAATATGATGCGCACATGATTTGTTTTTCCTGAAGCCAGCAGTCTGTTTCGGTCCTAATTTTGAACCTATCGAATCCATTGAAATGGTCAGCCCATCTTTTCCTTTGTTTCTTTTCTTTGGTAACTGAGTTTCCTTCACTATCTCTCATTGCTTTCATCTGTTCTCATCTCCTCCCATATAGTAACCTGGTTGTTTGATATGATCTTGTCAGATCTCTTTTACCTACAGCTTATTCTGCTTCACTTGCCAGTTTGTCATAGAAGTGTCTTTTGTCTTTCCGTGCACTGTTCTTCACTTCTTTGTCCAGTGTTTTATACGTTTTGTTCAGCTCCTCTTTTCATTTTTCATTCTTGCACTGGTTCCTCTCCTACTTCACTATCTTCCTCTCCCTGCTCTTTCAGCTTCCATGTGTCCATGGAGATCCCTTCCTTATCTTCTTTCTTCTTCCTTCCTGCCACGATTATGCAGGTTCCCTTCCACGTCGCTTTCAAAGAGTTCCAGTGTTTTCCCACGCAGAATTCCTCGGAGACTAATGACCTAAAATTAGGCAAATGTGTATGAGAAGAGATAAAATAAATATTAGAGGCTTGCTGAAAATATGTAAGATATCTATAGTAACAAAAAGATAGCCTAATTGCTAATTTATGGCCCAGGCCAACAGTTACAGGCGTCATGGACTAGTATCGAGTGCTAGTTTAGCTATGTCCTACCTTTTTACTAACCTTATCCTATTTCAGGATGGAATTCATCATAGACTGACATCAATTGTAAGATATGGACCATTGGATTCCAACCCAGTGGCTCAATGGTAATGTCCTGGCCGTGGAACCTGGAGGTCCTGGGTTCGATCCCTGGACAGCCGGGGTCATGGGTACACACTGCAGAGGAGTGCCACACTAGTAAGACAAAACAGCTGTCCAGTGCTCTCAGGTTTGATGTCAACCTGTGATGAATTCCAACCTGAAATCAATTAATAAACCTCCACAAACCTCCAGATTGAACTAATCCTATTTCACCTAACATCATCTGTTTAGTTAGACTATGTCTCAAAATGTGGAGGATAAGTCAAAGCCACCTTAGTGCATCAGAAAAAATCGTAAAACCAGTATGTTCACGAAAAATATGAATTTCGAAGAGTACATATTTTACCAACCGATGCCCCTAGATAAGTTTAGAGGGATCTGGCTTGTATATCGATATGATTCATAGCTTCATATCTAGTTATTTTAATTATGGCATGTTTGTTGTAAAATTTATTTCAGTTCGTCATTTTCCTTGAGTTCTTTTTAGTGGTAGCCTATTTCCTAATTTTTAGGTAACAAAAATACCAAATGTAGCTAAAATCTACCTGAATTTTGACTGAATCAAATTCGTAATCCATCATAAATCACTAGACTGACAGCACAGAATCAGCTATTATTTTATACTTTCTAATGTACCTTTATAAAAGGTCACTTAACAGTATGTCGAGTTTGATTTGTCTGAATGCTGTATAAATTAAGTAATAGCCACTTTTTGAACTTAAGTGATAAGGTTATGTTAACAGAAGTATATTGTTATTCCTTAGTAGACTATCAGTAACATCATAAACCACAGTCAGATAGGCAATCATTATCAATGGATCTCATAAAAATATTGCAATAAATAATCTCAATATGGGAATAGTGAGTGGCTGATGACACTTTAGTACTTTTACTTTTAGACCTGATTTCCCTCAAACCGTATTATGATGACATAAACAAAGCGGACCATTGTGTCGGTATTCCAGTCTATCAATATTCAGCATCATCATATGGGACATTAAATCGAGGTCATTCAGGTAGTAAGTATCAAGTAAGTGTGATAAACTATTCTATGGTTTCTGATTATATAGAAGCTTTTAGTGAAACTGTATTTTCTGTTTAAACTTTAATTACTGGCATTAGTTGTGAAACTGTAAAAATTTGCTAATATTTGTTGCCATCGAGATCTGTAACCGCATATGTAGGAGAGCATACTTTGCGAACATGTGCCCAGCTCAATGGTGATGTCTCTGACTGTAGCACTGAATGACACGAGTTCTAATCTTTCAAAAGATATCGGTTTTCTCGAGTTTTCAGATACGCCTTAATGACTAGTGCCAACAAGCATTAAATCCTGGTCAAGTTTGGTTTACTGCCGTTTTCTTCTAACCATCTGTAACATATTGAAATGTTTCTAGCTAGAAGTGTATAACAAGGCTTACACCAAAAACATGTACACCTGCAAAATGATACCGTAATAAATGTGGTGCTATTCACAATAACCTACTTGGTATTATCAAAAATATTGGCATCATAAATTACAAATGTGGATTTGAATTCAAAAAAGGCTCCTTGAAAAAATACTTATGCTGCAAGTATACAGTAAGTCACATATTTTGCCTCTACATGACTGGATTGCATAACAACACTGGGCCAATAAAAATTTCATTGACGTAATAATCTTTAGTTAACTTACTTTTATTTGATTCCAGGCCGACCAAAATTAGGTGACCTCTCCTCCCACTTGCATTTGGATCATATGACCTTGAAATGGTCTGTGTTTTCAATATTCAATCGCTTTTGAGTTCCATATGTATCAATAAAATGTTGTACAAACTCAACTGGTGACTGGTTAAGGTTTTCTTATTCTATCATTTGTATCTGAATGACTTCTAAATTTAGATGTTTTCGGCAAGTGTGTAACTCAAAAAGGTTGATTTCTTTTCGACAGAAGCCATGCTACAAATATCAGTTTTACCGTTAGCAAAGGGAATTGATAAAGTTTCATGCCTTTTTCAACATATGAAAAAATGAATAAATTAACCAGCTCCCACTTCTGAAGCGGTTTTCTGTATGTGCATATATGAAGGAACTCAGTGGAAAAGCGAATTCTGGTTCTTATTTCTCTTCTGAGGCGAAGTTTTTATGTATCATGCGAATAAGAAGCCTTATCTAGGTCGAGTTCTGAGCGATAAATGAAAAACTTATCCCACAGGTGTCTTCTTTAGAACTAGAAATCCATAGTACCCAGGCTTAGCTCAATGCGTCAGGCATAAAATCGATTTCCTGTCTTCTTGCGTTTGGACGTCACGATTCTTCTAAGCAGTTACAAATCGGAATCATAGTAGGTATTTATCACATCTTCAATTCCTAGTTGCAGCACGACTGGGTATAGTCTAAATGTGAGATTCAATTATCACTTTATTCAGAAACCAGAATTTTCAAAGTGTCAGCTGTGATATATTCGACAACAAAAATGATGTCAGAAACGAGAGTGAGAACTGTAAGGTAAATACTTCTGATCAATATGAGTGGCCGAATACCTGTCACATATGTATAATTCGGTCACATCTATTTGTGTCATTCTCATCTTTAGATGAGAATATTGTGGACACTTGCTGTCACTCCGCACTATTGCTAGTCCTCTTTGACAGCTGTTCAATTTTAGGGTGGTTTGATAAGTTCAGCTGTCTCAGTTAAGTCATTCCATATATATCAGTGGTGATTTCGACTGAGTTTCTGTAGTTTAGTTATTAACCTTGGAGCTACTAACCCTGTTTTTTCTAATCTTCGTGATATCGAAAGCCAGTTTATTTCTTTTTTATGTGTCACTGCTCGAATAGCTGAGTGGTTACGTCTCTGACTGCAATACTGGGTGATGTGGGTTCGAATCTCAGGCGGGATATCAGTTCTGTCGAGTTTGAATATACGCCTTGCTGACAAGTACCAACAAGCACGAAATCTAGGTCCAGGGCTTCATGTCGATTGCCTCCAACCAACCAACAATTATAAACTCTATATTAAGTCAACTTTGCTGGTATTACTGAGAAGAAAAATGAAAGCAATTATTGAGCATATAGGACTCAGATGTACTGATTCTATGTTTGGGTTCACTGACTTTTGCTATGAAAGCAGTTTTATCTACACTGCCTTGTGAATGTTGTTCAGCCGTAAACTAAGCGGCTTACTATAATTTACTTGGTGGTGGCTATCAATCTAATCCAAAATGCATGTTTTATCCTGTTTGAGATTTGTCAGTATACTAACGGATATGCACACAAAGTTCTAACAACTCGATCCAGCATAACAGTAGATAATAACTGATACTCTTTATGCAAAAGTTGACTTTTTTGCCTCAGTGTTTGGGTCGATAACGCTTTGTCGTTTGAAGTGATGGGTGCTGGATCCGAATCTTAGTGGGAACACCACCCCTCACCAAGTTGAGGTAAATTCATCTGATGAGTCTCAAATAAGATGAGACATGAGTCGTAACTTCCTCTGTTAGTTACAACCAAGTTAATTATAACCTGAGAAATATTCCGGTAATATCGAGTCATCCATATAGAAATGCATATACCAACAGAGATCGATCAATTCGACCCATTATCATGATGGAAATTACAACCTTTAATAAAACAAATGACTTACTGATCGGACTTTTAAAAAACCACTGAAATTATGTTTCCTTTGTTTTCACTGATTGTGAAAAACAGTCTTAATATTTCAAGTAGACGAGGACTATATTATCGCTTCATTTCTACAATTTTTGAATTATCTGTCTAGGTATGCGAAAAATTTAATCGATCGATAACGGATTTTAATTTTTTTCTTCATTCAAGAAGTTAAACTTTAAATAAATCCATTAGTATGAATGATATAGAACAAGGGTTTTGGCCACTTTATGGGTCAAAATAGGTATTGGACTAACAGATAAGTATAGACTAAGCCTAGTAACCAGATGTAAATTATCAAATTAAGGTTTTGTTTCAGAGCGCAAGTTGGCAAAGTAAATAATGCCAGAAGTTGAACAATTCGGCCCTGTATAAAAACAAGAAATTACAATTATCATTACAACACCTCATATCCGTTGCACAAGAGGTGACTGTCGTAGTTTAGTGGATAACACTGTGGCGCTTGAAGGGAAGGGTACTGGGTTCGAGCCTCAGTGAGAATAAAATCACTCACTGGAGTACAAGTACATCCGGCTGATGAGTCCTAAATGGGACGAAATGCACGTTCTAGATTCTTCTGCTAGTCACCAAGACCAATATAAACGATACCATTTTGAATGGCATTTTTCTCCTTTATGTTTGGTAAAGCTTCTAGACGAATGAAGTAAGAACGAGCAAAATGATTGCATCGAGATTTTTCAGTAGATTCTTTAAGAGTGAATTGGTTGTAACAAAATGAGATCTTTACACATAAGTATAATGATTGCGGTTAAATGAAAGTTTTGTATAACGATATGATTCGAACCCTGCAGTTGCTGGTTCAAAGATAAGGTACTAAATGATCAGTCATCTTATAAATAACAGTAATTTAGATCAACTATATTACTGAATTGAAATGACGTATATTCGAACATCATCAACATAGGACCAGGCATTACTGCGTAACGGTCCGAGTTGCCACACCTCACGTCAGTTCATCAAGTAGAAAGTTAGTGAGGTTAAGAATGAAGATAAGTGAATGCAGTCAAAAGAAATATAAAGTACGAGAAGAAAGGAAAGAGCAGTGACAAAATGGTGAGATTCGGTATAGTGTTGTTAAGATGAGGATAATGTGTGTGTACATATGCGCCACTGACATCGGTTCTCACCCATATCACCTAGGGTCTCCAACCACTGGTTCCTCTTGTCCCGCCGACCCCAACCACCTAGTCTACATCGTCCTACATGGCTTAAACCAACAGTCAGAGACTTCATACACTGGTGCCATGTTTTAGTCTGGCCACCTCGGGCCTTCTTCCAGCCTGGACCCACCTCAGCCAACATTGTGTGACGAGGCAACTGATTTACCTCTTCTCCCAAAACTCTACACCTGACTTCTGCATTACTCATGTGGTGACACCACGGAATACGTCCTATACTACGAAGGCAACGGTGGTCAAACACCTGAAGCCTTCTCATATCTTCCACCTTCAATGGCCATGTTTCACAGCCATACAGTAGAACAGACCGGACTGCTGTGCAGTACACACGACCCTTAATAGACAAACCGATATCACGGTGGCGCCATAGGTGGCGTAAATTGGCAAAAGCCAATCGAGCCTTTTGTATCCATGCAGAGATTTCATCGGCAACTAACCCACCAGGGTTGGTCCTACTTCCCAGGTAAGTGAAGTGGTCAACACACTCAACCACTTCACTCTATTGTTAGCCGCGGTGGGGCACCGTTGAAGACCAGTCCTGGAGCAAAAATTTGCATTTGGGTGGTGAAAATCGCATCCCAAACATTCTCAAATTCCCACTCAAAGTGTTCAGAAGACTCTGCATCTTGTCAGTGTCTTCACCTAACAGGACTATGTCATCTGCATATTCTAGATCTAAAGAAAATTCACCTGTGGTCCGGTCAACGTTTGTGTAATTAGGTGACGAGAGGGAAACCTCCATAAGAATATCTATGATAAAATTAAATAAGAATGGAGATAGTGGGTATCCTTGACGGACACCACTTGATGAGTATAGCTCCCTGGACAAGTCGCCATAGGCTCTAACATGCCCACAAGTGTTCGAGTAGAGAGCTTTCAATAACGTGATGTACTCACTAGGCACGCCTTTCAGTGAGAGACATTGTCATAAGACTTCTCGATCAATGGAGTCAGGTCGAGAAATACAGCTATTGTGGGGCGTCTGTAAGCATGCCTATGTTCCAGGACCTGGCGCAGCGCGCCAGCGCTTTGTTTATCATCTACTTACAGAAGTGACTTGTACTTTTAATATTTCAGTTGGCGAAATATCTTTCTAGGTAATGCAATAAGCTTACTTCATATATAATGTTTCTAAATTATGCAATATTTTTTTATGATGAAAACGAATGAAACCATTGAATATTTCCTTATCCTAATTCCTATTTTCATTGATTTTTAGAAATTCAAAAGAAAAGAAAATCTTAAACATGTATATGATTTTACTTATCAAAATTTAGAATTACCTAAAATTGATATTGGAAGTGAATGTTTTACAAATCGATTAATTCATGTAAGAAGAGCACGTTCTGCACCTTCTGAGCACATTTTGATCACTAATAAAAGATTTGATTTGCCTCATTTTAACACGGATGGAGAGAGTGTTCATTTTAATTCATATGGGAATAGAATTATTTCAACAGAAGATACTAATGGTTATATTAGTGGTTTTCCTAATCTGTCAGATGTATATTTCAAGGATCAGCTAACTTCTTCGCATATCCCTACAATCAAAAACTCTTGCAGTCATCGAAAATGTATGTAACTTAATAATATTTAATGAAATTGTTCTTACTTAAAATTAGTCATCATAAAAGTCTCACTCTCAATCGAAACAGTTGATGTGCTTAGGATTGTATTAAATTTCTTTACCGATACCTAAATGAGGAAAATAATGAAATCGCTTGTTTTCTCATATCATTTTACTACTACTTTTAAGTAGTCACATATGAATAAGCCTTTTTTGGAATCTTGGAGATTGTCGAGCAAATGATCAGTAAACATTTAACAACATACAGTTACTAAAATATCACTGCCTTGTCTGTTTGAATAAAAGTATCTCATATTCGCTGGGTTAATGTCTCATATTTCATCAGCTACCTGTTAAAATCCTAGTTAATAGTAATAATAATAATATTCACTTTATTCTAAAGGATATGTATGATATAGTATGAAATTCTTAGTATATGATATTTCAAAAAATTCATTCCTTTTTTCAATATTTTTAAATGAAATAATTTTTGCATATTAGCCTCGAGTGAAATTTCGGTGGTGGTAGTTTAATGATACATTACAAAAATCTACAATATGACATAGGCATCCTAGGAATACTAATATGCTGTATTTTCATGTGTTTATAAGTTCATTGCTTATAGGCGTAACCTTTCTCCTTTGTTTTATTTTTGGTTTGAAAAACTACAGTTTGAAAATATGCGAGACTACATGATATTGTTAAAAGATATATTTCGACGAATAAAAGAATTGAAAGGAAAGAAATTGATGATCTTCTTTGGAGAATTTTCGCCAGCTCAATGTTTAACCAGGCTGCCGTCAAACAGTTGATTCAAGCCATTATTCCTTTTATTCTGAAAAGAGAGAGTGATATGCGTACATCAGGGTATTTTGTAGTTTAGAAACAACTCCTATTGAAATATTCAAAACACAAGTTGATTCAGTGAAGAAAATTTTTGTTTTGACGAATCATTTTCAGTTACTGTATAATCGCATTCATGGTAAAAAAAAACAACAAATAGATTGGTCTACTGCTGGTTGATAGGTTAACACTAGGTCAATAAAATGGGATATTTTAGTTGCAGTTTAGCGTCTTTATTAAAAATGTCGCATAGTGAAACAGTATCATTTACTGAATAACAATTTGGACACCATTAATTACCTATATTCATGTCAAGCAACTCCACAACTTTTAGATAGTTTATGTAGTCCTGATATTCTCGTCCTTATGATGGGACCAACAAACACCAATCACCATTAACTGGAGAAACATAGAGGAAATAGTCTCTTTCACCTACCAACTAGACAGCATCCTTTCAACTAAAGGTAGCACTGGCACAGATGAGGATGTCAAAACCAGGATAGAAAAAGCAAGACAGGCGTTCATTAATTTGAAGTCGGTGTGGAGATCTACTGCACTCCACTCAGCATAAAACATGAACAAAATCCAGATTTCCACCACTAATTCGGTCAAGTCAGTGCTGCTATACGCTTCAGAAAGTTGGCGCGTCACGAAAAGCACCTCCAACAAAGTAGTGATATTCATGAACAGCTGCCCCCTACGCTGGCTCAATACTGACACTGAAGATCAGATGGGAAGGCAAGAAAGAATATGCAACAAGGAACTCTGGCTGGTAACGAACCAACCAACAACCTATCACCCAACAAATATGCAGAGGAAGGAAGTGGAGATGGATTGGATTCGATTGGACTTACACTGAGATGACCATTCGAGTACATCACATGCCAGGATGGACAAGGCCATCGAGTGGAACCCAGATGGGAAACGACGAGTTGGGTGTTTAAGGTGAGGGTGACATGGAGAAGATGGTGTGAGGAAGAAATGAGAGCTTATGGGCAGTCATGGAGCCAGGTTTTGAAGACTGTAGAGAAGAGAGTGCAATGGAGACGTGCTACTAAAGCCCTGTGTTCCTCCTGGATCCCAAAAGAAAAATAATAATTTAATGACCTTGCAATCAGTTCATGGAATTTATTAGATTATATTATTCTGCTGAATTTGTTTTATCGCATCATCAAGATGACAAGACTTATCTTTGAGTGAGTTTGTGGGTTTAAATGCCACCCTAATCCCAGCTTTGTTAAGAATTCAACGTACAATTTCCCATTCGCCTTCTTTATAAGGCAACACTGCTGAGTATTTGAATTCCATCTTAGACATGTTGAAGTCAACACTAGCATTATCACTCTTTCTCTTATCAGTCCTTATAAACGTTTTAATAAATTTCGAAAAAGCTATTAGAAGAAGAAGATTATCTGAAAAATGTGATGTATTTGTGTAATACCTTTCAAACAATCTGATCACACATTTACTTGTCAGGTCAATTTATGTATGAATATGAGAGGAAAAATGAAAGGTCAAATGTAATGTGAATATGAAAAGGTTGTGACACTAGTCTTTGTAATATAATCAGATAAGGATTACCAAGGTAAATTAAGTGGAACGACAAATTATTTTAGTGCGCACAGTGGAGGCTTAAGTTTACGAATGGCTAACGCTTCGGCAAATTTTATTATCCTCCCTCGACTGGTCCTGGATAATATCTTGCAGGCTGTTTTCGTATTAACCTTATGATTCAGTTGATGATATGTTTTGCTATTGATGAGAATGGATGTCTGTCACCTGCAATTATCAAAGTTTGTGTGTTGAATTGTTTTTCAGGACACTTAGGTATATGTTCCTTTACCCTTAGTCTGCATTGAGCGATTACTCCTCCTAATGAATGTCTGCCCACACATACATGTAAATTGGTAAACATAGTGGGGTGTGACATAATTTTTCTTTTCATTTTCATATATAAATTGACGTGATCAGACTTTTCGACACAAATACATCACATTTTTTCGATAATCTTCATCTTCTAATGACCTTGTCGAAGGATTCGGTTATCAAACTCTTCCTCCACCCAACTAAGTTAATTTAACACTATGGCTCTACCCTTTACCTACTGTATGTTTGTGTGTAATTGTATACAGAGCTATAGATGAACCTTTTTCTAAACTTCTTATAGTCATCTACTAATCTTGATTTAGCTCATTTTTGTGCTGTTTTCCTAATTGGCCCACGTTGACTACTTTGATGAATGTATTTGACCTTTCAATCATTGCAAAGGATTTGGTAAACCAAATTATTTTTCTTAATTGCATCAGTCGAATCTTCTAACCTACAAAGCTTGTTTCTGAGAGAGTTTATTAGTTTAAATACCACTGTAATCACAGCCTTATTTAGAATTCTTTGTAACGCTTCTTAGGTGTCGTCTTTGCATGGTAACACAGCATAGGCTTTGAATTCTCCCGCCTCTATGTGCATCTACCAGTTCACCTGCTCTTGTGGAGCAAGGTACATCGGCCGTAGCCAGAGAATGCTTTCTACACGTATACGAGAACATGTTCCTGCTTGGTTTTATAAAGGTGAAAGAAAGTCTGTTAGGAGTTCGATTCTAGTACATTTGATTGATTTCCATCACACAACAAATCCAGACGATGACTTTGAAACTATTTATCAAATTCGCCCAAACCTCCCACGTTCTCTTCGTTTTCAACTCCTTAAAACAGCGGAAGCTTTAGCTATTCATGAACTAAGACCTGATCTGTGTGTACAAAAGAAGTATGTGCAGTCACTGTCTTTATCATGGCCATAACATTTTCCCACCCTATTAGCTCCCCCTCCCACTTTGTTAATTTAACCTTTGTATCCTTCCTGTATCACTATTATTGTTATTATAATCGCCTTCACTTCAACTAGTTTCCGGTGTTGTTTCACTTAATTGTCTTAATCCTTTTAGAAAACATTGACTTCATCTTGTCCAATTTGTCTAATGCCATTACATAATACTTAATTGATTTACCATTTTCAACAATTTTTTCACCCTCTTCTGAGTTATATACTCTCTATGTACCATTCCATATATTACATAATCTATTTGTTATCATTCGCACTTCAATTGTTATTATAATCAAAAATGCCTATGTCATCACCCGCTCTATTATTATTGTCATCACCATATAGTGTTTAGTTTTCCTCACAGGATATAATTTTTTCCAAATACCATATATAAACGATTGTACAGCTTGAAAATAAATTCGTTGAAAACAGTCTCTTCGCTGAATATCTTGTTCTTACCATTATTTTTACCGTCATTACAGTTATTAGTAGAATTATTATTGATAGCACTTTTATTACTACTACTAATGCTGGTACTTTTCATTCTATTTCTTATGAATTTATTTGTAAATTCAGGTGGATAATTATTAGACGTAAGATATTCTTGATGTATCTAATTTCTTGTCGTAGATTTTCGATCCTACTTGTAAACGTTTTCGCCGAAGCTTACTATAACTGAGATGGGCTGAGATAATTCGAATTCTCGGTAGCGACTTGAAGGTTTCCTATAGACACCAGTCTTTAAACTTCCGTGTTTTTTTTTGCTGAACTTTGCAATCCAACATAGCTAGCTCACCTTCGTCACTTTCTAATTCACCTGTTACCTGTGACTTGCCTGTGACGTGATGACCAATAAGTTAAAAAAACGTTAATACTAATAATTATAATCAATAATTTGATTGAAATAACGTTAGAATTTTTTGTGATAGATTGGAGCCATAGTGTTAAGACTTAGGAAGGTAAACCGTAAACTAAAAATAAACATTAATGATCATCAACCAGTAAAAGTAAGAAAATGCTGAAGTAATAAAGTAACTCAAGAAAGGATTATGACCACGACAAAATAAGAAAATGGACGTAACTCTTCTGCACGCAGAGCTCAAGCTTTAATTGTTGTATTACTAACACTTCTGCTATACATAAGTGAGAAAACCGTACTCTTTCGGACCGTTTTCCTTCACTTTGTATAAGATTTCGATAGAAGACTGTAGGGAAGTGACTCAGAGTTTAATTTTCTCTATGTCTCGTTGAAAATGGGACTTGATAGCTCTTCAAAAATTTCAGTCTATAGAAAACCAACTATTAATGGACACTACAATCATTTCCAAAGTTGGGTACCACTGATTTGAAAAGGAAACTTGTACCTTCACTCTGCACCACAATCAGAAGAACATGCACAAATGATGCATTAGACGATAAGCTGGAATGCCTTCAAAAAGTTCTTCAGAATAGATATCACCCAAGGTTTGTCGAAAAAACCTTGAAGCCAAAACAATGATAAGAACAAGTTCTTACTGCCCCTAAGAAGATCTTATTCATGAATATTGAATTTGAATGCAGAAATCGTATTAGAAATGCTGAAGGATCGTTTTTTTAAAGCATTCAAAAAAGATTCTATACAGCCGAGCTGTGACTGGTTTCCCATAGCTGACAGTTGATTCAAAGTACTGTGAAAGACAGACTACCGCTTTTGGTCACAGCTCTGTGTACCTCTCACTTAATCTGCTATTGTTTTGCAGGTTCTGTAAGACGTACTCAGCACAGCCTTCCCAAATGCATCTCTGAGCAATATCGTGCATGGCTATCCAGAGGCTAAAGCAAGTCAAGCAACAGTTGCATCTCCGACCATTTGGTCAACTCCGGTTAAATCCCCTCCCCCAAAGTCTTCTATCACAACCCTATACAAAGTCAAACCAAACAGCTCAAAGGAGTTCATATTCATCACTTATGTATAGCAGAGGCGTTGACAATCTAGCAATCAAGGCCTGAGCTCTGCTCATAGACGAGGTACACTAATCCTCTTATTTTGCCGTGGTCATAATCCTTTCTTCAGTTTCTTTATTGCTTCAATATTCATCTTACTCTTACCGACTGATAATCATTACGTGTTACCTTTTATTTTTACGTTGCGGTTTACTTTACCACATCTTAGCATGTTAGCTCCGATCTCTGACTAAAATTCTCAAAATGATTCACTCTGATTATGATTATAATTTTCATTATTTGTCCCTTGGGTTCCTAATGGAACAAAGGGCTTCAGTACCACGTCACCACTGCACTCTCTTCTCTACAGTCTTCAAAACCTGGCTCCACGACTGCCCACAAGTTCTCATTTCTTCCTCACACCATCCTCCAACATGTCACCCTCGCCATAAACACCCAACTCACCGTTTCCCATCTGGGTTCCACTCGATGGCCTTGTCCATCCTGGCATGTGATGTACTCAAATGGTCATCTCAGTGTATGTCCAACCCAATCCAATCCATCTCACTTTCTTCCTCTGCATATTTGTTGGGTGATAGGTTGTTGGTTGGTTCGTTACTAGGCCAGAGTTTCTTTGTTGCATATTCTTTCTTGCCTTCTCATCTGATCTTCAGTGTCAGTATTGAGCCAGCGTAGGGGGCAGCTGTTGATGGTGTATGTGTGGAAATCCTTTTCGTAACACATCAAGTCTCTGAACCATATAGAAGCAATGACTTACCTGACATTATTGTTGGAAATCTGGATTTTGTGCTGAGTGGAGTGCAGTAGATCTATACACTGACTTCAGATTATTAAAGGCCTGTTTTGCTTTTCTGATCCAGGCTTTGACATCCTCATCTGCGCTGCCTGTAGTTGAAAGGATGTTGTCTAGTTGATAGGTAAAAGAGATAACATCCTTTAGGTTTCTCCTGTTGATGATGATTGGTGTTTGTTGTTGGTGGTGGTTGGGTATCTTCATCACCTCTGTCTTCTCTACATTCATTCGAAGTCCTGTTTTCGCTGCCCTTATCCTTCTGTCGACATTTTTAATTTAACTGGTTTTTATCATAGTCCAACTACCCTGAGGATAACACACCTTCGTGTCCATAAGTATATGCGCTATTGATTCAGTATCTTCTATTATGTTAATTTGTTAAGGTGATTCTAACTTCAATGAAGACCTTCTGATATTTCAGGATTTATCTGCTTGACATAACGGAGCCAAGAAGCAGGGATATCTTCGGAGTTTTGTTTTTGAACCTGAAATAAATATTCTGAATACGTATCAATTGAACTGTTGCTATAAGCGATTCTTATACTTCGGAGATACAAGACATATATGTCACTTTTATGGTTGTCACTCTATTTATGTATTTCTTCCATTTTTAATACTAAAGGCACAAATCATTGTAAATCGGTAAATCAAAGAAAAACTTTCCACTATCTATTTTTATAATAATTTGTACAGAAAATTAATTCGTTGGGATATAGAAAGATGAAGAATAGCTCAACAATTTTTCTAACTTGTGTATATAGTTTATATCACATATGCTGCCAAATAAAAGGAGACTTTTTAGTTTGACAAAATTAGTATTTCATTGGTAAAAACAAGTAACTAAACTATTTTCTGCATTTTCTTAATATTGTGGTCCTATTTTTAAAGCTCAAACAAACTGCCTTCAAGATGAAAGCCCATCACAGCTTTTTGACAGGAAACAACTCATCTCAAATAAGCTATTCATGAACAGACCTCCTTTGAGAGTTTCAAAATCCTTCTCTTCAAAGTATGAAGATTACAATAAACGAAAATCTATCTTCAATGAATTTAAATATCATTCAATGGAAAAAACAGTTCCAATGAGATCAAATGAAAATAACTCATCATATCATATACGCAAAGAATTGCATAGAATGAATGTTACAAATAGCAGCAGTCATTTCCGATGTGCTACTCTAATCCCAAAATCGAACATCATTTCTCCACAGAATTCACATAAGAAGGCGAAGGTAAGTAAACATTTTACACCAATAGAAAATGAATTATTAAAATGTTATATATTTACGGGGATTCCTAATTTTCCAAATTCGAGAGCTAAACACTTTATTCAGCATCTTTATAGGTTAATATTTGTCTAAAACCCCAGTAAGCACATCACAGCTGCTATAAAATTGCTGTGATTCTACAACTTGTGTAAATCCATTTTAGAATTTAAAATAAAAGCTAAGTAGTTATGATATTTGTAATTTCCCGTCGTTATACATAACCGAATCGCTCGATTTCTGTTAGCAGATGGACTCCCATGTTGATAATTCGGTTTTGCCGATCGCCAGGCTGCAAACCTTTTAGCAGGTGTACTGATCAGATCTTCCTCACAATCAGATCTTGGAAGACAAATACACTTTCCGGTGTCTGACACTACCTGTATTTCTTGACCTGATGGAGAGATTCGACCATCTCTACCAAGGAGTTTTAAGCCATTATCTCTCTCTTAAATCAATGCTAGAATTCCTATTCGAACACTCGTGGGTGTATCAGAGGCCATGGTGAGTTATCGACTGAGTTGTGCACGTCAGTCGGCGTCCATCAAGGAAGTTCACTCTCTCTATTCATATTCAGCTTTGTCACAGATGTACTCATCGAGATCTACCTCTCGTCGTGTGACTTCACAAAACTTATTCTTATTACAGGAGAATCCTCGTAGATCTAGATAATGAAGATGACATAGACCTGTTTGGTAACGTTGCTGATAAGATGCAGGGTCTTCAGCGAATCTTGACTCAGTATTTAAGGATGTTTCAGATGTCACTTAAGGACTGGTTTGGGTTAGTTCTTTGTCTAATAACAGAGTATGGTTGACTGAATGTATTAACCACTTCACCTACTATGAAAGTTGCCTCAGCTTTTAAGGGTTAGGGGCCGATGAAATCTTTGCGCAGATATATACGGCTTACTGTGCTTCAGCTAAATTATACCATCCATGACCCTGACATTATTTTTGATTGCCTATTAGGGGTTGAGTGTACTATCCTACTCCATGACTGTGAAACACAGTCGTCCTAGAGGGGAAACGTGAGTATTCACCAGGTGTTGAACCACCGTTGCCTTTGTGATGTGTAGGCTGTGCCATGTGACCTATGCCTTAATGATGAAGGGATTAAGCGTTGGGTATTTTGTTAAAAATGTCTGTTAGATGGTGATGTTATGAGCCTTTATTGACTGAGATGGTTGGGACAGGTGTTACACGCGCTTAGTCGTGGCCTACCTTGTCCTTTTATGTTATCTGAAGTTGAGAAAAGGTGGCAAAGCTGAAATCTAGTAAAGAGTTATGAAGCCTCTGACTGTTGAGTTGAGTTTTTTGTGGGGGAATTTAGACTTTCTAGTTGGGGTAAGCATGACAACCAAATCCAATGGTTGAAACACGGTTCATACACACACAAATCTTCTTCTTGAGCGTTACACTAAACTTCATCATTGTTTGATCAACCCTTTCTCTCTTTTTACCACTTCCTACTACTTCTGATTACTTTTTTCTAACATTCTTATTCACACTGATACCTTCTACGTTGATTTACTGATTTCATATGTGACAACGTGGACCACTCCTCAGTAAATTCGGGTTTTGCGTTGATACTTATGGACTGACTGACTGAATAATTCTTCAAATGCATGTTTATTACACACAGATTCACTTCACGCGTACTTTGTGCTGAAGTAATTAACAAATCTTCTAACTAAACTTCCCTCTATTTCTGTTCGCTATGCGTAAATTGTACTGTAAAAGTAAGTTCAGGAGCAGCAATTCTTAAGAACTAGACTGTTTTCAGGCCTAATCGTAGATGTGTAGGGAAACTGGATGCGTTACTATTATGTAACGCCTGACCAACCCTACTTAACTGCATGTGCTCTAGTTCCTGCTTAATCAGTACCTCATCTAACGTGTAAGTGATGATAGCGGAACACAAATCAGAAGAACTGAGATTCAGGAATATATTCTAAGGGGCAGTATATTCAAAAAGAATAAATTTGATAGGGATTATTAGGGGTAAAGTTTATCAGACTTATCTGGTTAATATACCTGAGCTAGGGACTTTGAGGATGTGCGCGTTAACCAACACAAAGTGAGTGCAAAATGGAGTCGAAGACAGCTCGGATGCATGCTCGTTAAAACAAAAATTAAAACACTTTAAGCACCTGGAGGTGAGTTTGAAGGTTATCCAGTTAATTGAATTTAATTTATTCGTCTTAGCCCTGGTTGCATTTTGGTACCAGGAAGGTGCACTACATATGTACTGACCAGATTTCAACCTAAATACATATGGTGTAACACAGGTATATTTATTGTTCCCTGATAATAAATTAGCACATTAATTCCAGTTTGAGACTCGACTTCATTGATTAACAATTTTCAAGGACTATTCAGGAGACAATTCCTCATGAGTAGGAGTGCTTCATGCCTTATCATGAGGGGTGGTAAATCATAACCTTTAAAGATAGAAGTGTTGTAACAGTTTCTTTTAATCGACCATTGTTGGCTTAGTTGTATATTTTCCTCGTAACAGCCAATGAAGGTACTAGAAGTCGATTAGGCAAAGTGATTCCTCATTTATGTTACAAATCCTAACTGGTTGAAGTTTTCAACGCATATCTTTCATCGTCTCATGCATTAAGTTACTGTGTTTCAACGGAAATAGACTTGACTGTTGCGCAATTAAATCACGCTATATTTCTAGTGGTGGTTGTTTATCTATCTATAGAATGAATAATTAACAGTATAAAGTTCGAAATGAAATAAACCTTCTAAAGTTGAGTAACATTTATTCAACCAATCCATTCATTGATGTGATTTGACTGTTAATCAGATAAAATACCAATTTACACAAATATATTTTATTTTTATTACAGATATGTGCTATGCGAAGACTAAGTTGTGGGCTGAAAAATCAGGGTGAAAGTAAGTTAACCTGTTTCACTTACTGCCTGCCAAAAAGTAACTCATTCATTTATGTTTGTTATCAAGATCCAGATGAATAAAATCAAGAAAGAAACATTTAATGAAGTAGCTTTTAGTAAGAATATTTTAACTAAAGGGTATAGTCCAACTGGAAAGTATTTAAGATGATAAATCATTCTTGTCGAAAACGTGGCCGAAACTCGAACCCGGGACTGACCACTTCAAATGACTGAACGTTGTCCACTATGCCACCAAGTCGCGACGATTATAGTTTATAAGATGCTGCTTGAATTATCTTGTCGTTGATTGGTCCAAATTGGCTCCTGCTCGGATGGCTCAATACTACCTGTGGTCTAGAGGACAACCTTCTCACGTTCGAAGTGATCGGTCCATGGTCCAAGTCTTAGTGGGGACAACATCGCTCACTGTGATGCAGGTTCATCCGGCTGATGAGTCCCATATAGGACGAAACGCACTTCCTGGATTCCGCAACTACCCACTATCCATCATTACTGTGATACCGAACTGATAGATAATATCGAGGCATCCGCGCAGGGACCTATATTGCAATAGAGACCGGTCGACTCGGTTGAACCAACGACGGGAAAACACAAACATCAAAAAAGCCCCATTATTCTTCTGATCACTCTACTCATGAACATAGAATCCAGGAAGTGTGACGCTAAAGAATTATCAACAACAACCAGAATGAACTTCCTTGCTGCCAAACAGTAGACTTTCTTCTTCATATGGTTTTTTAATTGAGGATATATGAAGAATAGGCTACTCCTTTAAGCTATATTAATATGTTTAGCAGTTCATCTGTTAGTGTGGAGATGATTTCGTAGGCCACACCAAGTATGTCTTTTCTAATTAAGAGTCAGTAATCAGTTTGTTTACCTAGAGATGAATGTTGAATGATGAAGCATTCGATCTTTGAACATTATAGTAACAAACAGTTTGATAAATAAAATATTTTTGACGACTGATAAATTTTGAGGTTCCATATTGATGAGGTATTAGAAATGAAGCTTATGTCAAGAATACGAAAGATCGTATGTTAGTAGATAGTTTTCGAATGACGGTGGGCAGCTGCGGATCAGGTAGATTGTCTTGATTATGCTGCATTTTCTGAGCTGAACGGTTTAATCGTAAAGCCGTCTTTCTAGACAACATCAGCACCAACTTCACCATAAAGTGAGCTATTAATTTCTCTCTGTTAGTGGTTGAATGGCTTTCCCTGGAGGAGTGGTTTGTGATCTGTTGTTTCCCTTGATTGCTGCGTCATTGACTGCATAGGTTCTCGTGTAAACTCTTTCTCTGCCTGACCTCTGACCTTGTTTTTGAGTATCACTTTCCTTATTGGTTGATAGATTGGGTCTATGTCTATACATCTGTGTTGATTGCTGACCAAGCTGAATCCCAAGCTCCTTGGGATTTTCTGGTGTTCCTTAGGTTCCCTTTGCCCACTATCTCTACATTTGCTCAATCGAAATCATGTCCATAGATGTGTACATGGATTGATATGTGAAATGAAATGTTGTGAAGTTTAATAGCCAGTTGGTGTTTGTGTAAACCAAGTCAAAGAGGACGACCACTGTGTCCAGTGCAGTGCTGGTTGTACTTGTTGTAGTTGAGTTTGTAAATGATATTTGGTATTCCTTCTCTAGCTGTTGCATCCTTCGGTCTGTATCATATGCCATGAAATGAATTGTTGGTTTATGGACCGAATTAACTCCAAATGCCCTCAGTGGTCTCGTTTCTAGTCCATTCGCTGACTTCTTTGAGTGACTTTATCACTAATGATGAACTTATTAGGCATTTTTCGATAAAGTTGTATGAATTAACCAACTTCCTTTAGGATAAACACAGTAATTTCAGTCGTTTCTGAACTGCAGTGTGTTTTCGCTTTCTTGAATACGGTCTGTACGCAACTGCTTTTATGAGTTATTCGGTGTTTGCTACTGCAGTTGAGAACCCAATCGGTAAGCATAGTTCGAATCACTCAATCAATCATGGAATTCGCTCTCATATATAGACACGAGTGAATGGTCATGTTTAAATTCCCATGTACATAGAGTTCAACCTCCTGGCTGTTCACACCATGGAAGGCCAGTTCTTTCTTAGAGAGAGAGCAAAAGAGTTGTGTGATCACAAAGTCGATGAGACATCTGCTTGAGGCCTGTCACATATAGCCTTCTGCGAGTTGTTTAATATGTCGTTGTTGTAACTCTGGATACGGGAGAGTCATACAGCCGGCATCGGAAGACCGTGGGGTAAATGATGATATTATTCACAAATTAAACGGTTGCTTTCCTTGAATACATATGAAGAAGTTCATGCATTTGGTAGCCGTTTAGTATGCTACCAATGCGTTCATAACCTCAATGAAATTATCTCGTTGAACCAGTTTGTCACACATTTCTCAAACTCTACAAGGTATGATAGCAGATAAGGTTTCGAACAAAATCGTTAACAGACTAAACACCCTATTGATTCGTAAATATATTTATTGTCTTGTTAAAAGTGGTAATGGCAAGGGCTTCAGTCAGAAGTTGTAGTAGTAGTAGCGCTCTCTTGAAAAGATAATATCTTGTAAGCTGAATGTTCTAACGTGTTTCGTTCTTTAGATTTCTTCCAATACCTGTAGTACCACTGGTGAATTAGTCTTCTTTAACCCTAAAGTGAAGTGTACTCAGGTTGAGATTTCTGATACAGTAAACCAGTTAAACTGCTTCCAGAAATACTACACTCAGCCTTTCGCATTCTTTATTAGTGGTTCACCTAACTCAAGAAGTGTTTTACTGTCACTAGTTTTGATATGGAATAGCATTTTTGTATTATTTTCTGGGAAAAAACCTATTATTTTCATTTGTTTATACTGACTATTGTTTCAATTAATGATGGATTGTGGCTAGCAGTGGGATCCAGTTAACGATGGTATGATATAAAAACAGTTATACTGACTATTGTTTCATCGTAAAATAAAAGGTGAATTCAGTGAAAACAACGTCATGATAAGAAACGTTTTGCAAAATGAATGAGTCCCAGTTCCATATACACTCGTACATACTGTGACCGATTGCAGTGAGATTCAGTTGAGCCTAAGCGTCATCAAGTAACAATATCATATTTATAATGTTGCTAATTGATTATGTAAAGGTCGAATGATAAACAAAAGGGTGAAGTAAGAGTTTCAAACTCTTTATAAGGTGCATATAGATTAAAAATGGTAAGAACGTTAATGAACAATCAAAGGATCAGGTAATATGAGTGAGACAAGTTAATTGGAGTGAATTGAAAATGTTTTGTTAAAAGTTGCGATGTATGTATACCAGTTCACCTGTTCCTGTGGAGCAAGGTACATCGGCCGTAGTCAGAGATTGCTGTCAACACGTGTACGAGAACGCATTCCGACCTGCTTTTATAAGGGTGAAAGGAAATAAACATTTGGTGGGAGGGGGTAGACGTCTAAAATAAATAATTGCTAAGACTACTACTACAACTGTGCTCAGACAAATACAATGGGACGTGACATTATCTTTCACTTATTTAAAGAGCTTTGATGGGTATATACGCTTCGACTTTTCAATTATTCAAACCGTAGCTATATATTAGATAGTTATCATTCTACGTTCTACACTTTTTACCGATCTAATATTCTGCAATGCATTCATTCGGTCGATAAGTGAAGCATTTAAGTATGAATAATCACTTCTTATTCATTTAAAAGAAAGAAAGAAGTCATTGAAATCACATTTTTGGATGACCCTGAGAATGACCTTCGTTCGTTCACTTCTCGTCATGAAGTAAAAATTCACTTCTGGTTCAGTTTGTCTCCACCTGAAATGTAAAAGTGAAGTGGGTACAGCTGTGGGAGTCAAGGATGTGAACTACCTTTTTTTACGAAAATCCCTGTAACTGTCATCGACATTACCCTCCTTCGAGGGATTGCCTCCACATGCAGGGCATTCTGGACAAAAGCTACTTTGATGTGGATCCCATGAGCAGGATATATGGAATGTTGCATGACAACGACATGCTATCCATGTGCCGGTATGTGGAATGGAGGTTAGTGCATCACATTGGAAGCGAACCTCGCAAACTCCTCTGTGGATATAATCCTCCTCTTCGTTTACATCTACATGGTCCATCTCCTCAGAGTACCGAGTGACCAACTCCATAACCCCTCTTTGATGGTTGACACTGGTGTCTAGGTTCATGGTTAAGCTATTGCCTAGGTGAGTAATGGCTGTTATAGGTGACTGCGAAATTGTTTCAAATGAAGTTATTGGTCTTCCACCGTCTGCCACCGTGATCATACTCACAGCCACAGCCGTCAATTCCATTTCTTCTTCAGAACCACCTAAAACACTGTTTCCTGCTAGATTTTCTGTACTTGCATCTACCGGAATGGGTGTCCTACCATCTAAAATTTCTCGTACAAATCGGAGGACAGTGCGGAATTTCTGTTCATCGTTGAAGAATGGTAAGACTGCCATCGAAAGTTGGGCTCTTGATGGGAGGAGGGATGTGGTTGATTGTGGAATGTAGTTTTGCACAGGTACACTGTGCTACTCATTCTCCCTTATCAGCCAACGGAGAGAAACGTTAAGTGAGTCTAAAGGGATATTTCGTTGCATGTAGTACTTAATTATATGCCTGCATGGCAAGTTGTACTCCACTTGAAATCCGCAGTTACACGTTGTACCTGTTCGCACTACACTTCGCCTCGTCTCATCTCATCTTGTCTCGTCGCTGCGCATCGCGTCGCGTCTCATTAGGTCTCGTGTGGTCTCGTCTGGTGTGATCTCCTCATCTCATCTCACGTCACCTCAACCCACCCCATCCCACCCTACACAACCTTGACTGGCATTCCATTCCTGCCATCTGATCACTGTGACCCCTCAGTTCTCGACGTCATGTTCAACATCCTACCGCCTGGAATAAAGAAGTTGGTCAGGCGGGTTGTTCACTTGGCGTGTCCGAATGGGAAGTCCGGCGCTGGTGTTAGTTTGGCAGGGGGCGGGGCTCCTGATGTGACCACGATGAATAAGATAACGAAGACAGTCAGTGAGGATAGGAAGTAGATGTTTGTTGTAGAAGTTGGCCAATATCTGTGTGTTTACGTGTACTGTATGTGATGATTTGTGTTGAGTTCTCTTTGTTTCTCAAAATTTGTTGTTAGCGACTAGTTATATGAATACAAGAAGCAGTTTCGTCGATGAATGTCTTGTTTTCTACCGATCTGACTCGTTCATGATAGAGCATTAGAGACTGTATTGGGACTCTCTTGTCCTCACCCTCTAAATGTCAGCAGTGATACCTGCCTAAGCTTAGCAGAATATTTTTCACTAAACTCATACTTACCTTGTATTTATCGTGGAGTTCGATTGGTTTTGGGTTTCTCAACACCGGCCGTCAAGTACAGTGTTTTCCAACATACAAAAATGCATCAGTATGGTATGATTTCTCACCAGCATTGTGTTTCCTACGTTTTTACTGAGCGATCGAGTGTATCAATGCTACATGGTTACACTGATATTTTTGCCACTCATTTTCAAGATATTCTTCAGGGCTCACCTCGAGTAATAACAATAATTTGGTCAGTATGTCGTGTTTCGGAGAACTTTTTATATATAATTATAGCAACTGATTGCGATAATTCATAGTTTTTCTTAGTTTCCTACGGTAATCGAAACACTTTATCACACACCCATCTGTCTTGATATTTCGGTTTGCATGTTTGTGGAAACTGGGAATACCCCTGTGATGTCTCATGCATTGAATTCTTCTGAATGACTGTCAGCAGAAACTGCAATTCGCATGTTCCTTTTAACAAGTGAACATGCAGCAGGCGTTAGGTTACTGAGTAGCGAGGCGAAGATAACATGATCACCCAGCTCACATTTATTGTTACAATCCCGCAGCAGTTTCTTAATGTGCCGCTGAATCCAGTAACCGCTACGCAGCATAAGGCCTAGCATTGCACGACGTACTGGCATTTTCCTCGGTCGGCATATGCAGCTTCAACGTATGATGTGTAGTGTTCCAAAAGAATGCCTAGTGGACGGTAAGCAGCAGCCCACTTGTGCTTACGAGGTAAGAGGTAGGAGACTAAGTACCTATGAATTGCTGTATCCATACTTTCTGTTTGAACAAGACAACTTTCGAAGCTACAAAAAATTTATGCATTAAAAGATACTAACCTCTCCATATCTTTTGTGTACAACATTCGAAAGAAGTATTGCAGCACCTCCTGTTTTAATCTCTGTAAGCATTAACATTTTCGCTATTATTTTGTACACATGTTTACCCTTTTGATCACGCTGTGAATGATGTGCACACGGCATAGGAGGTGATGTGAGTGCGGAAATACTTGGCATAATCCAGACGAAATTGCAGGACAGTCATCTGTTATGAAAGCGCCCACTCTGTGGCTTCCAATAATATTAATAATAAACCTCAGAAACGCACCAATCAGTTCTGACGTCTCACTGACTATGAAAGCCAAAGCTATGGGAATAGTCATGAAGTTGATGTCGATGGCTACAAACTCGTAGAGAAAAGGTTCTCATCATTAGTCTTGAACACATCTTGACTATTTATTCGTTTACCATAGTGTGCATAAACGAAATCAACAACATTAAATGCAGTCGTTCCAGATATTGGCAATGGCCTTATGCTCTCCAATTCAGCTCCTGTCAACTTCCACGTCCAAGCACTATTGTCATAAAGCAGTGAATTGCATAGATGATTATAAGTTAACAGCCACCAAGTGACTGTCTAGAAACCTTCTAAAAACTTCGTGAGCACGAACGCTCAACAAGAACATTTCAGGGATATTCTACAAAGTAAATAATGAAAACAAACAGAACTGACCTTCTTGTCATTACACCACCTATTGACCGGCGTTCACTAGCCTTAAAGCAAATAAACTTAACGTAAGCTCTTCGGTCACTTTGCAAATGTGAATCCCGCACAACGTAGTGTATGCACATCTGTTTCTGATACTCCTTCAGATTGACCTAAAAACACTCGAAGGACGGAAACGCGGAGAGACAGAAACGCTCCATAAAGATTGATTCCTTTTCAGTGACAACGCTTTAGACGGTTTCGTTGCTCATCGTGAAAACGAAGCGACCGGTCCTCAATTTGCTCCATTTTATAGCACTTTTTGATTCTGAGCAACCAGTAATATGGGATATTTCATCGTCTATTTCAATTGGACAACAAGTGACACAGGGAGTGAGGTGGAAGGGGTAGAAAATAACAATTAAAAAAAATTATTACCGTGGACCAAATGTATTTCAGCCTTTTGAGTACGACCTATATAACTAGGTCCACAGGAGCAGTTGAATTAACAAATGCACATTGAAGTAGCCATCATAGGTAACCTATCCTTAGTTCGTTGTATCAGTAATGTTTTGGTTGAGAAGCTGACAAAAAGTTTCACTGCATTGAATATCCTTTCGACTGATCTACTTAATCGATGTGTTAAGATATCCGCGACAATATTACCTTTAAAACTTAGTTTAAGATATATAGGCTTCTTAGCAACATTGTCTTTCTTTATCTTCTCTCTACGTTTCAACATGTGTTTATTTAAAAAGTTTATCGGATAAAATTTTTGCTGAAGTGTTATCTTCAGCTTATTCATTTCTTCTTCAACACAGTTATCAGAACAAATGTTTCTTATTCTGTAACTCAGGCATTTGACCAGATTTCTTTAAAATTGAATCGATATGAAGCTATGAAAGTGAATATATTGACCAGTTCATGTGTTCTTTCGAAAAATATTCCTTTGCTATTGTTCTCTATTATCTTATGCTCAAATTAACTATCGACTTGATTTATTTCATAAATGATGTTAAAAAAAACATTTATTTTATTTACTTTATTCTAGATATGCTAAATACCATTTCACTTGATGTAAAGCCAATTCCAATCTTTAAGAAAAGAAATCCATAATCTTTTTTATCGATTAAAAGGAACAGATTAGTACTTGTATTTTACAATCACTTATAACGTTTATAACAAATGATTTCTAGTTTGCTTAATTATTTTTGAATAAAAATATTTTTCTTTACACTGATTTGATTTGATTATTATCTTGACATTAATACAAACTAATTGGACTATGAGGAGATTATTTTTTCACTTAACCATTCTTTGAAACAATGTTCATATTTATCACAGAAATAAGATGATAATTTCTATCAGGAGGTTTGTGGAGATTTATTAATTGATTTTAGGTTGGGATTTATCATGGACTGACATCATTTGGAGGAACATTGGGAACCTGAGAGCAGTGGACAGCTGTTTTATCCTAGTACGGGACTCCTCGGCAGGGCTCACCCATGACCCCGCCACGGACAGAACCCAGGACCATCAGATTCTGTAGCCAGCACGTTACCACTAAGCTGCTGGGTTACAATCCAATGGTTTATACTCCTTACTTGAATCGGCTCACGATATAGTGGGACCTACATTCGATTTCGTCGTTGAGTAACTGTCTTCTTGTTCAACTTGGTTGACTCTTATACTCATGACTTCTTATTGGAACTTCATGAATCACTCCTTTTAAAGCTAGTTACCAGTGAGCGCTAGATTAGTTCTGTCTGGAGATTTGGGGAGATTTAATCAGTGATTTTAGGTTGGAATTCACCATGGGCTGAGGAGTCTCATACTAGGATGAAACAGCTGTCCAGAGCTCCCAGGTTTCCAATGTTCCTCTAACTGGTGTCAGTCCACGATGAATTCCAACCTAAAAAGATAATTTTTTGATGTAAGCAGTTATCATCAACAGTGTTTAAGAACACCGAGTGAATGCGATGAAGAAAAATAGTGAGAGTAGTCTGACACTAGATTGCTTATTTGAAATAGCACACAGTGATTCAGTATAATTTACTGGATGACATTTCGAGCATAATTTGTTGATCATATTCATATCAAAGTAATCAAAAGGCTTTCAAACTTCCTTTATATAGTCCAACAGTTCATTCATTTATTTTAATAGTAGTAAGATTTCTCCACATATCTGCAATATACGATGAACCATTCCTGTTACATATGCTGGGTGTGGATCCAACAAGCGAAGATTCAGTAAACAATCTCTCTTTCCACCGAATCGTATTGGACTTAAGTACACTGGTTTTATTCCACCATATTGTGAATTTATGTAGGCTGGAGTCGGAGACACAAAGTGACCCCGGTTGGTGAAAGCCTTCAGGAAGCCAGTCGACCGTTATGTCTTCTCTCGATGAAAGCGAAAGTAAACATGGAGACATGAAATGCCCGCACCATTTATAAACCTAACAAGGCTGCCCAGATTGCAAAAGAGATGAGAATGTATAGCATAGAAGTGCTAGGATTCTGCAAAAGCAGATAGAATGGAAGTGGACTCTCCAAACCGTCAACTAAAGAGGAGTCAATAATCTACTCCGATATTGTCACCCAGATGACAACCACGAGCACACTGAGTTTCGGAGTGGCTATCATGATGTCCCCAACAGCACCGAAGGCTCTCTCTCATGCAGTGGGAACCGATCACCTCCTGCAGAATCATGATAGCAAGATTCAACAAGAATAAAGAACTGTTTGCAGATTTCTGTGCATTCAATGATTTCGTGATTGGAGGCATTGTGTTCAAGCACAAGCATATCCACAAAGCGACATGGACTTCACCAGATGGACACACTAAAAATCAGATCGACTTCATCACAATGTGAAGAAAGTGGAGATGCAGCCTACTTGGCACAAGGTCAAGAAGGGGAGCAGATGTAGGCTTACACCACTCACTATCTAGTGCAAGGAACTTTCCAAATCAAGTTAAAAGCCTTTAAAGAAGCTGGTGACAGACCACAGTTGAAGTTCAACACCCAGAACAGAAACTTAATGATGGACGAAACTACAAAGGAAATCATCACGTCAGCCATCAGAACAAAATGGGAGATATGGAGGAACATCCCTGAAGGAACCTGTGTGGAAGAACACTGGAAGAACACTGAAAGAGATGTGGAAAGAAACCTGCATAACCCTATTAGAAAGGAAGATGAAGAGTAAACAAGACAAGGAATGGATCTCGACGGACACTTGGAAGCTGATAGAGCAGGGAGAGGGAGATGCTGATAGTAAAACAGAAGATGAACCAAAACAGTGCAATGCAGTGCAGGGATGCACAACGAAAAGGAGAACTGAGTACAACGTATAAAACACTGGACAAGGAAGTGACGAAGAATGCGCGCAAGAACGAAAGACACTTCTATGACACACTGTCAAGTGAAGCAGAGCGGGCTGTAGGTAGGAGAGACCTGACAATATTGTATCAAATAACCAAGTTACTATCTGAGAAAAGATCAATGCAGACGAAACCAATGAAAGCTAGTTACCGAAGCGGAGAAACAATGGGCTGACCACTTCACAAAGCTCTTGAACTGACCACCACCTGCAGCTTTCCCAGAAATACCATCTGTGACGGCAGAACTACCAGTAAACACAGGCCCTCCGACAAAAGCAGAAGTCCTGAATGCCATAAAACTGCTGAAATTCGGGAAAGCAGCAGGACCAGATGGAATTCCGCAGGAAGCACTGAAAACAGACGCTGAGACAACAGCGGACATGCTGACACCACTATTGCAGGTGTGGAAGGAAGGAAAGGTACATGACAGTCTCTTGGAAGAAGGGCTACCTTGTCAAACTCCTAAAGAAGGAAGACCTAAATCTTCACAGGAACTGTCGCAGAATCATACTCCTGTTCATACCAAGCGAAATACCAAGCAGCATCATCCCGCAGAGACCAAAAAATGTTCTCCATTCAAAAATACCACCGAAACAGGTTGGGTGGCTTTGGGAAAAACAAATCATTTGCGGATAAAATTGCAACGCTACGCATCATCGTAGAACAGAGCATAGAGTAGCAGTCAACTCTCTACCTCAACTTCATCGACTTTGAAAAGACCTTTGACAGTGTCGACCGACAAGTAATTTGGCAACTGCCTCAACACTACGGAGTGCCCTAAGCATATATCAACCATATTCAACAACAACTATATGCTATATGATGCTACATGCCAACCGATTCACAATAGAAAGCTGAGTGTTTATGCCTTTGAATTGAAGACAGAAGTAAGACTAGGCTGCCTACTTTCACTGATGACCTTCCTGATTCTGGTGGATTGGATCATGCATAAAACCGTGAAGAACGAGAAGATGGGTATACGCTGGGTGGATCAATGAAAAGACCATAGAAGACTTGGATTTTGCCAAAGACTTGTGTCTAATATCGCACAAACTCGAAGATCTACAGGCAAAAACCAACAAGTTGACAGAAGAAGTAGAGCAGCGAAACAGGACTTCAAGTGAACGTAGAGAAGACAGAGGTGATGAAGATACCCAGCCAACAACAGCATCAACAACAAGCACCAATCACCATTAACTGGAGAAACACAGAGGAAATAGTCTCTTTCACCTACCAACTAGACAGCATCCTTTCAACTAAAGGTAGCAATGGCGCAGATGAGCATGTCAAAACCAGGATAGAAAAAGCAAGACAGGCGTTCAATAATTTGAAATCAGTGGGGAGATCTACCGCACTCCACTCAGCATAAAGCATGAACAAAATCCAGATTTCCAACACTAAGTCGGTCAAGTCAGTGCTGCTATACGGTTCAGAAAGTTGGCGCGTCACGAAAAGCACCTCCAACAAAGTAGTGATATTCATCAACGGCTGCCCCCTACGCTGGCTAGATACAGACACTGAAGATCAGATGAGAAGACAAGAAAGAATATGCAACAAAGAAACTCTGGCTGGTAACGAACCAACCAACAACCTATCACCCAACAAATATGCAGAGGAAGAAAGTGAGATGGATTGGATTGGATTGGACATACACTGAGATGACCATTCGAGTACATCACATGCCAGGATGGACGAGGCCGTGGATTGGAACCCAAATGGGAAACGGTGAGTTGGGTGTTTATGGCGAGGGTGACATGTTGGAGGATGGTGTGATGAAGAAATGAGAACTTGTGGGCAGTCGTGGAGCCAGGTTTTGAAGAAAAATAATAACATAATGACGTTGCAATCAGTTCATGGAATTTGTTAGATTATATTATTCTGCTGAATTTGTTTTATCGGATCATCAAGATGACAAGACTTATCTCTGAGTGAGTTTGCGGGTTGAAATTCAACCCTAATCCCAGGTTTGTTAAGAATTCAACGCACAATTTCCCATTCGCCTTCTTTATAATGCAACACTGCTGAGTATTTGAATTCCATCTTAGACATGTTGAAATCAACACTAGCATTATCACTCTTTCTGTTATCAGTCCTTATAAACTTTTTAATAAATTTCGATAAAGCTATTAGCAGAAGAAGATTATCTGAAAAATGTGATGTATTTGTGTAATACCTTTCAAACAATCTGATCACACATTTACTTGTCAGGTCAATTTATATATGAAAATGAAAGGAAAAATGAAAGGTCAAATGTAATGAGAATATGAAAAGGTTGTGACACTAGTCTTTGTAATATAATCAGATAAGGATTACCAAGGTAAATTAAGTGGAACGACAAATTATTTTTGTGCGCACAGCGGAGGCTTTAGTTTACGAATGGCTAACGCTTCGGCAAACTTTAGTATGCGCCCCTGATTATTCTTCTATAATATCTTGGAGGCTGTTTCGTGTTAACCCTGTGATTCATTTCAGTATTCATTTTCATATATAAATTGACTTGACAAGTAAACTTGTGATCAGATTGTTCGAAATGTATTGCGCAAATACACCACATTTTTCAGATAATCTTCTAATAGCTTTATCGAAATTTATTAAAGGGACTAATTGTTTTGAGTTTTAGTAAATCCCGAAGGATACTGAGGGGAGGGTGTGAAACGCAGTAAGAATGATAGCTTTTTTCAGCGATGTATCAGGAATATATTATGTTTGCAACAGACAGATCTCCAAAAGCAAAGAATCTACTGACAGAGGGATATCTCTGAATGGCTGTGTAATACCAGTGAATCAAAAAGAATAAACTAAGAAATAAGAAAGAAACGGAATTTTATAAATTTGTTGTGTTGTTCCCGTACATACCGTTTAGGCATAAGTTCATAAGCTTCCATTTTGCCTGTTATGCATTTA